TGAGCCAATGACACTATCAATGGATGAGCCCATTCTACCAAGTGTGGAATCTGAGCCTTGTTTGCTACCTCCTACAAAGATCTACATGACTCCTGACACCACTAAACTCGACGACGAAGCCCTAACGGTCATTGACCAGTACGAGAAGCGATGTTCACCTGGACTTTATCTCAATCCCTATGTTAAGCAAAAGGTTGCACGAGGTCGGCCACGGAAGGCATTAATGGCAACGTTCAAGTTACCACGTCTAGTGGAGATAGACTGGTATATGGCAGAAGAGGCTCGAAGAACATCAACGAACCGTGACCATGTCACGCATACTCCTGATACCACACAAAAGCCCACATCTCATGGTGTGGAAGACATGATTGTCTCAAGACATGCCTCATATGCTGCACAATCGGAGCAATCACAAGCCGAAATGCAGTTGCGAAGCGACATAGGGACGCGGCATGACATTCAAAATCATACCCCACCACCTTCCACACCTGGCAAAGCCGCCTCAGTGGAACCTGAAGGAACGCTAGTGGGTCGCGAAAACAGCGCTGATCAAAGGGCCGAGACCGATATGGCTGAGACCCCAGACCTAGGCAAAGGCGAAACCGAACCACACACTGTATTTGATGTATCGAGGACACAATCACCACGACCGATTCCATCATTGACACGCAAGGTAGGCGGCTGGGCACCCATCAACGTGCCTGACCTCGATCGTATTTCCCAGTATCAAAGCCCTTATGCCAACAGTCCAACATTGGAACCCCAACCACAATCAGAGACTCCAGACGTTGGTCATGATAGTGACCAAGTCCCAATAGCGGATGGCTCACATGTTCTCACATCTGAGACGCGTGATGACCAAAAGCTTCCTGATGGCATGTACACGACTATTGTGGAAGCTCCTGTGCCCCCCGTATCAGGCACCAAACCAAGGGTTAAAGAGCACGGAAAAGGTGGCAGTCAGCGTCGTTTCAGAGAAAAGGTCATCCTGGATATCATCAAACGCTGCAATGGCGTGTTTCCTGGAGGAGGTGAAATTCTACGACCATTTCTTACCCTTTGGCGTGAGCGGCACTCCAATATCAAAGAACCCTCCCTTAGTACTATCAGCGAAACCCTCAGGAGTATGGCTGCCCGTCCAGAATTTGGATTAAAGCACTGGAACTTTGCCTCGCAAAACAAGAATACCCCAGGCACAACCACCCGAAGGATGTTTACATGGGCACACCTGAACGAAAGGAGCCCAGAAGTCTTGAAGCTGGCACACAATATGGCACAATACTCTCAACAAAAGGAATACACCACCCGTGTGTCGGAGAAATCTCTTTTGTACTACCCTGAAGAAATTCGTGATCTCATTGGCGACGTTGTCTCATACCAGCCAGTTCAGGCCGCCCCCAAAGACGAGAGCATCGTCCTCAACCCATCGAATCCTGACATTGAGAAACAAATAAAGGAATCTAAACAGCGCAGACAGCTGGAATTGAAGAAACAGAGGATGCTAGAAATTAAGGCTCGCAAAGTTCAAGATGCTCGGGTCGAACAGGCACTTTCAAAGATGCCTCACGATTCTGATGGTGTGCCGCGCGCAAAACGAGCGAGACTGGCAAGCCTGAACGACAAAAGCAAGCGCATTCGACGAGCTCCATTGTACTCTGCAGATATGCAGACGCTCGGCGAGGAGTCTGATGGGGCGGAGACTGTTGGACCTGACGTCGGCACGGCGGGTAAGGCTGAACAAGTTTCACTGGTTTGGATGCATCCTATCATCGCGCCTGCACCAGAACGTGAACCAGTACCAACTGAGGAGCAGTCTGAGGATGAAGAAAGTGAAGATGAAATAGCTGATTGGGAAGGGAGAGCGGCGCATAAGGATGTCGATGTTAAGGCTCAAGATCCGTTGCCAGTTATGGAGTCCGTCGAGGACCATCTCCAGAAAGACATTGCGACGACCGAGCCTGATCAAACAGAGCAGAAGGAAGACTCATCTGAATCGCTGGATGTTGAGACCGCTAACCCGCCTACCGTTGTCAAGAATAGCAAGAAGCGTGTAAGAATTGTTGCCCCTCAGGACCAATCTCCCAAGAAGAGAGCCCGCTTGACACCTGTGGCATCCAATGAGCCACAGGAGGGGGTATATACACCACAATCCAACTCTGACGATGACCATGAAGGGAGCCGTGGTATGACACGGCTCGGGCCGACGAAGCAGAGTGGCAGCACAATTCACGGTCACCAGCGAAGCAAGCGAGGCTTTCCTCCCACATTGCTTGAACGTCTTACTGGCCTTACAGGTGACCAAAATGATCCAATATACCAGCAGCCGCAGAGTGTTCCAAGATCCAATTTGGCATCACGTCCATGGAGTGAAAGGAAGAAGATACAGATCGAAAAACACGGTAAAGAACGACAGTATAGCAAGGCTGTTGATCGAGTGGATGAGTTTAACAAGCTCTTCTGCGCCTTCGTGGTAGTCTCTTCTTTGTCTGGAGAAGATGGGTCAATAGACTGGAGCCTTGTCAAACGCGTGTATGCGAACAACAAATATTTCAATCTAAACAGAGCTCAGAAGCTATGGTTCTGGATGCAGAATCGCATGGCTAAGCAGGTAAATGATTTGACAGCATCATTCCAATCGCTATACTTGGAAGCTTATGAGACTGGCAAAGTTGCTGCCATCGAGGATCCTGAGACACATGACTGGGCAGGCCTCATACGATGGGCGTCATGTAAATGTGCTTTTCCCGAACATCCTCTCCCAATTCTTCGGGAAGCACTACAACATTTTACCATTGACGAATCGAGCTACGAAAACTTGGATCGTGTTAGCTGGTTCAAGGCCACGACAGCGGATCGAACAAGAACTATGCTCCAACTTCAGTATTCCTTTACCGCTCCCCTTCATCGATCGCGGAAGCCAGCTTGGTCACCTGAAGACAAGCTTCTCAAAGCACGGTCATGGGTTCGGGCAAATACAGCGACACCACAAGCTCACTATGACGCAAATCTAGCACACGAGAAACTCAAAGACTTGGGCGAATCAACTTTGGTCAAGGTTGTTGGGAACTTTGTGGAGAAGCAGCACCTTAGGATGCGAAAACTCAAGCGCCTTCTACCAGGGCGCAATTACAACTTCACTCAGACACTGGCAAAAAAGTATGCGCGATTGTTTCAGCTCGATGATTTCATGACCGCAGTCCAAGTCAAGAAGAAGATGGATGCTGCTTTCGTAAGCGAAGATCCAGACATGTGTTCGTACAACATTTCACGATGTGAAGAGGACAGTGCTTTTGCAGCCATCATGACAATGGCCAACGAGGGAACAGTCAGGCTTGTTCCTCAGCTACCTCCCATCAACAACGAGCTCAACAGTCCGCTCCCTAAGCTATCGGTGTGGGGATTCTGTGAGGGCGGCTACAACCATCGGGCAATTGATCGGAGTCGCTTTTTCTGGGATATTCATGTTGTCCCCACGGAAAAGTACAAGTTTGGTAACCCATTGCAAATACTGCCTTCTCCAACAGCACCCAAGGGCGACCAGTCGACTACATTGTGGCACCCTCTGCCTGAGCCACCTCTTCCTGGAAAGTATGATTCACACGCCTTGCTTCCCATCTGGAGCGGTATTGACGGTCAGAATGTTACGTGGGCCTGGTGGTACCGCGTCCTAAATCTTGTGTTGCAACCGCTGGTTTTCATGGCTGGCGCCACTGCAATAGATATACAGGCTCACTGCCCTGAAAATACCACTGAGCTCTTCGAAATCCAGCTTGTTTTGGACTGGCTCGAGTCGGTCTGCGCAGTCAAGAAAACTGTCGGTGGTGGTTACACCACCCTTCCAGGCTTCTGGGGTGCTTTCGGCGACCAATTGTACGATACGGAAAACGACTGGTTCGGCCAGCATGTCAAACGGAAGCCGAAGAACCATGAGAAGCAGCGTTGGCGCATGGATTACAATATGAGACACTCTGCATTGCAAGCCCGTAATGCACAACGTGCTGATACGACCCCTGCTATAGACGAGGAAGGCGATACAAATACAATAGAAGCCGGCGCATTGGAGACGACCACCAGTCGTCAGATTTTGACGAATCCGAAGCAACAGTATCGTATCATGCAGAAAGCTCTCGATGCTCAACCATCTCAGGAAGACCAAGACAAATCCGGCTCTGTAACAGTTGACAGTCCCACAGCCACTGGAGAATATACTAGACAGAGCTCTGTTACAGATCACAGATCAAGTAATACACAAACGCCAGAGACATCAAACAACTCGGATGATGTCAAGATGGCAGATGCAAGCGGGGATGCAGGAGGTGTGGAGGATGTCGATGCCGAAGGCGAACTTGACGAAGACACACGTTGAGCGTAATCTCTGGTACCCAACTAAACGGAGATCATATGCTCTCCGAATGGCCTCTTTCTTTTGTCAATTTCTCGTTCTCTCCAGAAACTTTTCTTATTTGACCATATATGCATAGCGATGGTGCACAATGTGTGGGCTTTATACCACGGACATAAGAACATTGCAAAAACGGCAATATGTCAAGATTACTGTACAGTAGAGATCATATGAGAGGTGGTTCTAATAATTGCCATATGCAATGCAATAATATGTACAAAAACGTATTGCTGATTCACATCCAGGGGACTAGGGTGTTGTAAGCTTCTAACGTTCAATTAAGCTCTTTCACTCTCACTGAACCACATGTACCTAGATTTCGTGCATTTCCCAAATATTTTTCCATAAATACTTTCATAAAAGTATAAGTTTTGTAAAGCTCATGATCCGGGTAGTCGCGAGTAACTTGAGCACACCTAGCACAAAAAAAGAAAGAAAGAGTAGTACGAACAAAGACGTACATTCAAACACTATATTCATGGTATAAGACCCCAACCACCAACCCCCACACATCCGGCTAACTTCTCACCCCTCTCTCTCTCTGTAGTGCTGCCAGAACAATTACACAGAACCCACACCCCGCCCCCTTGACTCCTCAATGACTTTCCACCCATCACCTGCCCTAACACTTCTGACTCTTCGCCGCATCAAGATTCTTCTTATTCTGCGCCGTTCCATCCATAACCTCCTGTACCAAAGTATCAAGTATATCCTTGTCCGTCGCCGCCTGCCCCTTCAACCCCGTCACCTGATCCTTCTCCTTAACCTGCGCGCCCTCGACGATATTCAGCCCGTCGAGCGCCGGGCTGGAGATTTTCTTGGCGAGTTTCTGATTCTTGGCCCGGATGTCGATGCCGCGTTGTTGGATGTCGAGGACTTTGGTTTGTGTGGCGTTGAAGTCCGGGGTGTCGAGTTGGGCCTGGAGTGTTTGGATGCTGGTGGGGTTTTGTTAGAGGAGGGTTTGGGAGGAAAAGGAGGAGGAGGGGAGGTTTACCCTTGAAGCTCTTGGGCTTGAATGTTGAGGTTGTGTTGGATGCCTTTCTCGAGGTGGGCTTTTGTCATTGCGCAGGTGGTGTTGGCGGCGCCGCCGCTGGTGACTGTGGAGGCTTTTCCGATGTCGCAGCCTTGGTTTGCTGGTAGGGCAAAGACGGGGGCCAGGAGGGTGAGGAAGAAGAAGGCCTTCATTTTAAGTAGTTGAGGTGGATTAATACTGGGGAAGAGAGTGAGATTTAGAGAGAAGCGAAAGGACTCACACCGGGTGAGAAGCAAAAGGGAATGTTGATTAGACTGATGGTTGTACTGGAGATATTGAATAGATGGTATCAGTTACTTTTATATATTTCCAAATCTCACTCTATCCTCCAAACCTTCTTTTCTAAATCACTCGGACCGAACGAAAACCACACTTGATCGCCGTACACAGAGCTACCCAAAATACGAAAATGTCAGCATTCCAACACAGTCTGTACCTCAGTGCCGAACCATCCCGCATACCGTCCCTTGTGACGCGCCACTTTCCTACTGGCGAGAAGACTACTTGTTTCGGTGCACGAGCTCTAGAACAAATATCTCCACCCAACCACAATAGCGCCCCAATGCAGATTCCGAGCATATGGAGTTTTGGTTCATCGGCTTCGGTATACACTAGCTGGCGGTCAAATATCACTAGAGACGGCCGTGATACTTAAAGGGGGCGTTTCGCGTCGCATGTCTGCGGATGAAACTAATCGGTCCGCGTCAGGGCTTGTTGAAGCTTATCTCTGTCAAGCGAGCATGGCGCAGCGGGAACTTCGTCACGACTGAGTATTCCTGGGTTATTTTTACGATGTCAATTGGTTATGGGAGTGGGTGTGGTCTGGGGGCGTCATCATGTTACAATGTAAGACGGGAGAGTGACGAAAAGGGGGGAGCGAGTACGAACGAGTCGCAATTTCCATTCAGGGCAATTCATGCAATGCAATAATGCCTTTGGAATTTTTGTGATAATGATTTGGATAAAAAATAATTTGAGACGTAGTATTTCGACACCAAAGATTTATTTCAAGGTCGCATGTTATGCCGAGCAGGTGGAGCAGTAAAGAGTGAACCGCAGATGTGTGTATACGGTAGCCCACTTTTCCAACCGCAAGGTACCCGCAGATACTTGTCAAGTTTTCTTAGTACTCACATGTTGTGACAGATGTGCTGTGCTTATCAATGCACTGTCAAGTACTAAGCAGGATGCTCTCGGAGCAAGCGATTCTCCGGTTACATCTGCCGTCCGCATCAACCAGCCATAGGGCAGGATCAGTGCTGGTCATCAAGTCAAGAAAGCACCTTTTACTGCTGCTCTTGCTTCAAAAAGACAACACGGCCGATCAAACCATAAATCTGTTTTCTGAACCCGTCTTCCGAAACTTTTCGATTGGGGTCTTCAGTCTAAGACAATTGACGTTTATAGCCAAGACGTGGAGGTTGATAAGGCTGTTCAAGACATGAGTCTTGCCCTTGCAGCACATCCCTTGGCATGCGATGACGATGTGGGACTTGCACAAGGATCACATAGGGTGGAAGATGGATGCTGCATTGCCAAGGATCTTGGGGGACTGGTGCGTACATTTATTGCTTCCATCTCTACTTAAACATTTGAACTCAATCATCTTTCGTACTCATGAAGCTTATGTTGTATGTTATTTTCAGGGCACGCGAAAAGTATAACAGTATCCATGAAGTCATACTTTTAACTGCCCAGTGATTGCTTGAATAATGTTTAACAACGCGTTGCAAATTGAAATTTCTCAAGCAACTTCAATTTTGTAGTAGCGCTCATTGCTTGTACAGAATTCTGGATTTACGTACGCCAATACGCAATGATTGAAGCAGTTTGATGGTTAATTCTCGTAGGTCGCGCGGCAGGAGATCACGCAGTTCGTCACTGAGGCAATGGCAACAATAAATGTATGTATAGCAAAAAAGACTAATGTAAAAGTTGTTAGCAAGTACTCTTAAACACAAGTACGTCGCAATCTCAGAGGCCCTTTCGTCTATATTTTAACCACTCTGCTAGTCAACCTGGGTATACGATCCACACAATACCGCTCTACTCGAATTAGTCTAGGACCAAACAATCTACATTTCCGAAGGAAAAATATTCGAAATCTTCATGTCTGCCTCGGACTGCTATCACCCTAATTGTGCTGATCCAGATATCTACGAAAAAGACTTTACTGTAAGTAACTTTACTTTATTCAGATGAGAATTGAATTAAATTATGTGCATAGGCTTAATGCTGTTAAGAGAGAGGCGCAAGGCCACTCAAGGATATTTTTGGGGCACAAGCTTTTACAATCGAGCCTTTTTAATATCAAGATCGTCGTATGAAGTAGGCAGTAATTCTTGTACTCAATTAAATAAGAAATGCATCCGTATCAATTGGGGAGTATGGACTGGAATGGAGCGGCTGGATGACGAACAAAACAAGTTATTAGTAGCATCGAGGATAGTCGTCAGAATGGAGAATTGGAGTAAATATATGCACCATTTAGCAGTAATGAGGTACCAACAGTAGCGTCACGCTACTAATTAATGAGAAAATTGGGGCGATTACCATCTGTACTTGATAGAACTCGTGAAAGTGATATTGAGCCCATATAAATGTGACCCCACTACCAAGTCGTATGCGAAAAGTAGTCAACATGACTACGAAAGTCACTGCATGTGACTTTGCTGTTGGATGTTCTCATGTACCAAACAAACTGGTAAGAAAATGGCTTTGCCTTGATATCAAGAATACTACTATGTGTTGTGTAGCAACTGACAGCGAGTCTTCCAAACGCAATCATCCATCACCTCAGACTCTCAAGAGATGCTAAGACTGCTGGCGTACGCCTGGTGCCAGCCATAAGGACGGAACAGTATCTGATGAAGCCCGAATAATGGGTTTGTACTAACATCAAGGTATAATCTATACCGTGTGGTTCTCCATCATATGTCAAAGATGATTTAGAATCAAAGCAATGGCTTCGGTTTTGCAATTGGCAAAGGCCCCGAGGGGCTTTGGCATACCCGCTTAAGACCTTTTAATGGTGTAGAGGAGATACAATATGCAGAAAGGGACCCGCATAGTATCGCTGATCTGGAAAGCTACTGTAGTGATTCATGGTAAAAGTCGAGATGCCGAATTGATACTGAAACCTAGAAAGTGTACGATAATTCAATCTCTCAAACATACACGAACATCACTCTAAAAACCTAAAACGGCACTACTATCATTTACCTCCAAGAAACTATTTGGCTAAAACTTCCAAAGTAACCTACCCCCATCGTCGTTATCATCCCGAAAAGCCCCGCACTCCACGTGACCCCACTCCCACAGCTGCAGCCTCAACAAGCTTCATCACGCAAAAGAAAACGGGGGGTGGGCACACAAGAATGGCACGACTAAAAACCCCAATCAACGAAGTCGCGAACCCTACCTTCAAATCTACTCGACCCCCTTGAAAGAAGAACAAGAGATCAATTCTCACCATTAATCAACGATTCGAAATAACTCGAACGAGAAAAAATTGGCCCAAAATGCCCATCCAAGTCACCCGTATGACCGAATCCGACATCAACGGCGCAATCGACACCATCCAACAAGCCTTCGCAAACGACCCTTACAACCTCTGGATCTACCCAGACCGCTCCAAGATCTCCCTCGAGCGGAACCGCGTCTCCCTAACCCTCCGTTGCAAATGGGGCATCTCCCACGGCCTCTTCTACGTCGCCCGCGACACCTCCGCACCTTCCAAGATCCTCGGCTGCGCGATGTGGCTCCCGCCACACCCAGTCTCTGAACCCGAGTCCTGGGCCGAGTACCTGTCCGGGTGGTGGCTGTGGCTCAACCAGGTGCGCATGAATGCGTGGTATGGGCGCGGCGGGCTATCGACGACGCGGTATTGGATTTGGAAGGCACGGCAGGCGGAGGCGCAGAGGGAGTTGTGGGTTGATCCCCAAGGGTACTATTTCTGTAATATTGTTACCGTGTTGCCCGAGTGTCAGGGACAAGGGGTGGGGAGGGCGCTCATGGAGGTGGTGCTGGATATGGCGGATAGAGAGGGGCGGAGGGCGTATCTGGAGAGTAGTCGGTGGGAGCCCAATGGGGCCATTTATGAGAGGTTTGGGTTTAGGTTGGTTAAGGAGATGGAGTGTAGGGATGGGGAGGGGGAGAAGGATGCTGTTACGCTTTATTGTATGATGAGGGAGCCGAAGGGGCGGAAGTAGGGGTGAATAATGAGATGGGTGGGGAGAGGGGAGGAGGAGGGGGAGGAGGAGAAGAGAAGCGGTATGTGCGAGTTCACGATGAAGATGCCATGCTGTGATGTTTGAGTGTTAGACATATCCTACAATACCTCTGAGAAGGTACAGAGCAAAGCGACATCGAGAGGACTGTGGTCTCCCCTTGAAAAACAGCCAAGCGAGATGACCTTGTGAGTAATTACGTCAAGAGAGAACTCGACATTAGTACGAACGATGAGCAGTAACATGCTGAAAAGCGGCATGAACATAGCCACATAACCCACAAGGTCTGATGACTTGCTCTTTACCCATCTGATCATCATTCCCCATCGTCGATTTAGCATCAGAAACAAGACATGGCATTTCCAACAACAGCGCTACTCCCTTTCCTGCAGCCCATCAGACGTGCAGCCCAACTAACTTTTTTTTTTCTCCCAAAGGTTCTTTCGGATATACAACACGGCAAATCAAAACAACAATCAGCATTTGGAGAAAAACAACAACAAGTAAGCGGACAAAAAAATACCGCTTATCTATCCCCACGCTCAATTGCTGCCCCCCCCCTCCCCAGCCACATGCATCAACTACGTCACCATCTTACACAACACATATTCCCATGCAAGCTGTGAGACCGCAGCGAGCGCTTCGCTGCCTGCCGCGTCTCCTTGCGTATTCCCATTGCCGAAAAAGAAATAAGGGAAGAGGGAACACTCTCTCACAACGCATCATCATCATCACATAATCACATACGTTCGCTACGCAACACCCGTATTCGCGTAGGTTGGATAACAAGATTACAATACCACTCTAACCCTTAGCTGCAGTACTCGTTCGCAAGAAAGGATGCGTTGAGTAATCCGCAAAGTCGGAGCGAAACAAGACAAAATGTTTAAACCCCCCCCCCCCTTCTCCAAAAAACCGCTAACACTTCCTCTTATTAGGAAAGTGACAGAGAAAGGAAGGAAAGAGGTGTGTGTTCTTCGTCATGATCGGCAAGTCCTGCATCTGGAACTCTACCGAACCCAATCATGCAACATACGCCCTCCCCTTGTCGGATTTATGACAATGGCCCCTCCCACCCACACACACCCCTCCCCTCGTTACACCACGCTTGGCGTTAGGCTTTTGGCTAGGGCAAATCGAATCGAGACATGCATAACGCCGTTGCTTTTTTGTCTCCGGGCCGTTGAAAAACATGGCCCTGGTAAAAAAAATATGTAGGCGTACAGTACGTGTATGTGGGTGTGGGTGTGGCATGAGGACGCTTTCCTTTTCCTCTTTTGGGGCCATAATGGTCCCAATGGCCTCTGGGTGGCCTAAAAATGTGACTTACTATCGGCCCGTACAAGTTCGTTTGTAGTAACACATGTTACATACATATGTACGCTATATGTATGTATGTGTCCTTTCTCATGTACGTATGCGCCATGTGCCTGGCTGCGAGTGATCAGGTAGTTCCGGAAGATCATGGACTATGCTAACTGTCTGGGGGTAGTGAGATATAAGAGGGACTGGCTCGCTGGTGGTTAATAGTTCGCCCAGAAAATATTTTCCTTGGTGGTTAGCAAGGACGACTAAGAAAATCAGTCAATCGAACTCTGGCAAAGAAGCAATTACTCGGCACCCAGCGTGCTGGGCGATCTGACATGATTTTTTTTTTCGTTATTTTGCTTGTGGGCACTAGTGCCAACCGGAATGCTTGGGTATAAGCGTGTACGGTGTATATTCGGCATTTGCTCAGCGTTGCGTTGCAGCGGTTGAATATGGTTGTAAGGGAAGCAACATGGGTGTGGGTAATGGGAGTGGGCGCAAAGTCTTGGTTTCTACTATGTACGTGCTAGTTGTCGTCTCGAGGTAAGATTGTCGGTGTGTTCGCATCCACGATCCGGAGCGTTTTTTGTTCCGGACGGTTGCTCAACGTGACGCACGCCATACCCCCGGTCTGCCCATGATACATCCTAGGTGGTAACATACTCTATTGACGGCAGGCTCCAAGACATGGTCAAAAGCAAAATCTACCTAGGGCCTAGCGTCCAAGTAAGTAAGTACGGGTGTTAGGCGAGAAGAACATTCACGAATGGGGAAGTCACAGGGGAGCAAGCGTCTGTCTGGAACGGGTGGCCATTGGTGATCCGGTATCTGACAACGGGATCTCAGTTTGCGATTTTTGCGGACAGCGCGCGCTTGCAAGTATCCACCGAATCGAGCGTACATATAGTATAGGGTGAGCGACTATAATAGCGGATAGTACCACTCAGTGTGCAAGCCATGTCATGGGGTGACGCTTGATTGTTGGGCAGCGAGTGGCTGCGGAAAAAGCGGAAGGAGGAAAATAAAGAAATAAAAGGTCGATGAAACGCACACCGGAGGTGAGCCGCGCCTGTTGTGCCTTGTCGAGGTCATGCTGGAGCGGTCTGTTTGGAGGCGAAAGGGGGGGGCAGTTCCAAGTCGTGCCAGGCCGTGGATCGCTGTGGAGGCTGCTCAAAGGAGGGGTAGTGTAGCGGGCGCTGGTGGAGCGCGTACTAGCCGCAGCAGCGTGAAAACATCGGTGCATGTGTCGACAAAGGCAGAGGCCGGTGCTGCCGTGGTCATCAGACCGGGTAGGAAAGGCAGATGGAAGGCGGCCAGCCATGCAATAAGCGACTTGGGTACACTCGACACAGCGATCAGTCCTTTTCGTGTAGGGACCCCAAAAATAGGCGTTCAATATACGAAGGCGCCGCTAATCAGGATCATGCAGGCGTAACTGCTTTTGCGCACATTGGCAGGCAAATAGAGAGTTTCTTCGGGCAGGAGACGGGCGCTGAGTGGTTGCAGCGGGCTATAACAAGACCACGTAAGCGTATGGTTTGGCCTAGAGGCGATCTAGAGGACTAAGACGGGCAGTTTGTCGATCTGGTGAGGTGAAGAAAAAAAGCGGACGATGCATGCATAGATTCATAGTCGCACCCGCGGGCCTGTCTGGTACCGTCACTGGAGCTGACGAAGTATGTACGCAAACGATCTTGGGGCCGGACTTGTTGGTAGCGAAGAAGGGTAAATGTCGAGGACCCCTTGCCGGAGGGGATTGCACGCAGTAACACCGAGGCTGGCGTCGCCTTTTGACACATGGGCTGATTTGTGACGACGGTGGGATGCATGACTGGCAGGCAGTCTTACAGGCGGATGGTGAGTATGGTATACGATGGCGGACTAGGGGGGTGGCCGCTGGAAGATTAAAGCGGAGTGGCATTGCCGGATTGGTGCGTAGTATTACAAAGAGTCAGATCGGTGGTGTAACCATAGCTAGTAAGCGTGGTGCTCGAGGTGGCCCGACCTCGGATACCGTCCATGTGTGGTGCTGATTGAGAAACTTTGCTTCTATATTAGCTGCCATGTCGACGCCTGTTGCATTAGCAGGCGCCTTGATGCTGCCCTGATTCATGGCGTAATCCTATGCTCGTACGTGTTGCATGCAAGGGATGCAGGAGGCCGGGTCACCGTCAAGCGGCAGAAGCAAAACAAACGCCAGTGTGCGTCAAAACGAGTCACTGCCCAACCTGGCAGCAGTTGCGTGAGCAGCATAAGGGCCACCGACAAGCAAGTTTCATGAGCTGCGACGCGTCGTGTGAAGCCAAGTACAGCGCTCACATTACTTTTTGCACAAGCCTCGCGAGTGTGACGGGCTGTTGCAGCTGTGTTGGCCGAATGGGGGGGGGGTGAACGGCATGCCGCTCCTTATTTTTTTTCTTGCACCCAATGCACATGGCACTTGTGAATGTCATGCTGTCTATCTACGTAAGTACGTACATACTTGGGTGATAGACGGGATTAGCATGTGTTGTATGCGGCAGGACATGAGCCGTGCCTTCCCTCCTACTGTCAACCAGCATGTGCCGCCGGAGATGCATAGTGCGACCCGGCAAATGTCGAGCGCACCGCAAGGAGGCTCACCGACGATTAGTGTGGCTGCTGATCAAGGCACCCCAAAAGCAGGCTACGGAGAAGGGCGATTGGCTGCCAATAGGGTCAACGTTGAACAAAGTGGGCTATCGAGCCGCCTAGCAAGGCTAATGCTCGCTCCCTAGGATAAAGTGCCGCCGCGCCTGCAAGAGACTTTGGTGTTTGACGTCGCCTTAGGGCGGGGGTCTAGAACACGCATGGTAGCGGCCATGGGAGGCGGGTCTGCCTGTCACTACTACAGATGGTACTAGAGATGGCCGTGGTGAGCAACGATGTGGCTACCGAATTGACCACTTGATGCTGAAGCAACTCTGTGCGTTTCGCGCCCTCGTGTTTGATTAGCTCGACAGACGGAGGGATTCCGTGTGGTGAAGTAGAGTGGAGTAGGATATTTTGGGGGCGCGATACGAGGGCGAAAGAGGGAGAAGCAGGCAAGCAGGTGAGGCGCGATGTACATGCGCTTGGATGTGTATGTATGTACGTATGTGTGTGTGTGTGTGTGTGTGTGTGTGTGATATAGATTGTGTCGGAGGACCGATGCGGAGGCGACATGGAGACGCTCTGGCAGAGAGAATGGCCCTGTCTGTGTCGACCAAATGTGGAGATGGACTTTGTTATCGACAGGGAAGAGTGACGCACGGCCTGTGACGGGCTAGCGTAGGCGGTGCCGCTTATACCGCAATCTTTGTTCCTACTACCACTCTAGTGTCTTCGACGATGAGACGCCACGTTTGAGACCCACTCGACTTGTGGACCGCGCCCTGGTACGTCATTCAAGGGTTTCTTTCCCGTGTTGCAGATTGCCTGACTGGGCGTGGCACAAATGGGCAGCTGAATACGCATACATACGCTTTGATGAGGGCGCAGGACCCGCGCCGCGTCAATCCAAGCAGTGCGCCCGAACGAGGCCGGACATGGTCTTGTTGAAACGGCAGGCCGGACAATCTCGATTTGATGAGCCCCAGCAGCGTACAATCCGGCTAGTCGGACAGCGACAATCCGAATAGTGCAAATGGCTGCAGAGCATCTCGTGTCAAGTGACGCACGGCACGGCGTCGCGAGCTGGCTGACGAGATGAGCGATGGGGCGACGCAGGTCAGCATTGGGGACTTGAGGGTAACGCCCGTATCTTGCAGATTGGGTGCGTATGGTAAGTATGTAGTATCTATGTGTGCATGTGTGCATGTGTGTAGTAAGAGCACATAGGAAGGGAGGAAGCAAGCAAGCAAGCACACCAGCACACCAGCAACGGAAGGATGGAGGGAGTGCTGCAGCCCGGTGACCACTCGGTGCTTACTTTTCCGCGTACAATGTCAGGTTGTGATGCACAGTGTGGTACAGTTGGCTACGCCGCAAAGTAGGAGCGAGGATCCAAATGACCGAGGCAGGTTGATGAGGCAAGAGCGACAGTCACAGTGGGCATGTGCTGGTCACGGGACTTGGGCCCCATTATGACTTGTCTACTATGTAACCAGGCAAAGCAACACGGATGGATGGATGGATGGATGGATGGTCGACGACAACAAGACAGGCATCATGTGCGGAGCCAGGCGCGGATGCAGCCAAGCGGCAGTTGCTAAGGCACGTTTTCGAGTTGCATGATCACCGTTGGGGTAAGTAACGAGGGAGGGCTCAGTCAGTCAATCCGCCAGTCCGTCCGTCAGTCAGTCAGTCAATCAGTCAGTCGTATACATAGATGGAGTATTGTTTTTGGCGAGCAGATGCAGGCCCCCTGACCGGATCCTGATGGTTTGGACGAGACGACGAGCATGCGTGCGCCCGCGTTGGACCGCTGCCGATCATTCAGGCGGGACGAAACCAGGGTTCCTTCTCGGCGCTTCGGCTGCATCTCATCAGCGCCCGCTCCGGGGATTTGTGCGTGTCGAACGACGATGCCGGTTTGGGCGTGGCGGCCGTGGGGTTGTGGCTAGGGGAGGCGGCGTGAGCAGGTGCAGGCAGCATTCGTCGTCGTGATCGGGGCCGCCCAAGTCCCAAGTCGAGCGTGTGCCAGATGACAGCCGGCCTTGCTACACTACACAACACTACACTACACTACGAACGCGCGTATCGCCAGTCATGCCACACGGCGAGGACGAGAGCGAGGACGAGGACGATGCAGGCTAGCACCGGCGTCGGCATCGACGTCGTGGTTGACGAGTCCACTGCCATGGCCGTGTTTCGATGGGCAAGGCCGGGCAGGGCCAGGGCGGCGGGTGCACTGGTTTCAAGGCGTGCGTGTGTGGAGCATGGCGCTGGCCAAACGTTAAAGGGATTATTTTTTTCCTCGCGCTCTTGCTTGTCTTTCTCGGTGTGCCTAAGCCCGGGCTGCACCAATCTCCGCGAGCGTCTCCGTCGTTGGCTGTGTGACGCAGGCGGGCAGTGGGTGCATGGGTGCATGGGTGCATGGGGCGAGAGACAGTCTGATGCTGCATCCGTTGCACGTCGCGCCGCTTGCAGGGACGGGCTGGCTGCATGTCGATTTCTGGAAGACGGTCGGCTAGCCGCTGGGCCAATGGCGTCGTCGGAACACCGCCCGCCCCAGATGGCGCTTGGATACCCAAGGGCCAGCAGAGTGGTTTGCCGGGTGCGAGGGGGGAATGGCATGTGGATGTGTGGTGGGTGCGTGTGCGTATACAGTAGCTACTATGTGCTATGTATATTGTATGTATGTACATACTTAGTAGTACGACAACATGCCATGCCTCCACGGGCACATGGCGACTTACAGGCCGATACTATCGGCTGGCATTGGGTGCCATTCCAGGCCCCGTGCCCGCTTCCTATTGGCTGCAAGCCCGCTCCCGAGAAAACATGTCGTAGCGCACCCAGCACTCTGCACCTGCGCCAACCAAACTCTGAGCCCCCATCCCCATCCTCCATCCATCCATCCACATCCACATCCACACATGCAACCCATCCCCATCCATCCCCTGATCTCACCCGACCGCTGCTGCTTGATGCTGCTGCGTGCTACCTGCTGCGTCCTGCATCCTGCTACCGCCACACAGGCTCACCGTGGCTGCCGGCCTGCGCTTGGAGGCCCACGCCCACGCACTCCCCCCTCCCACAACACCAGTACCGCCGGGCTTTGCCCCGTAAATTGACTATTCTATACGCCTCCAACTCCGACTGCTGCTGGCCTGGCTGGCTAGCTGCCTCGCCGCTGGCCTGCCCTCAGCGCGGCTAAACCACAGCGCTGCCGAGCGACGGCGTCGCCATGCATCCATCCACCGTCCGTCCCCGACAAGAAAAAAGTCGACCAGGGCTAGTAGACCGCCTGGAGAGCCACCGCGCCCACCCACATCCACACCCACACCCACACCCACACCCACACCCACGCCCCCCCTCGCATGCACACACGACACTGAACCCCGCCGTGGAGCCCAGCTGAGTCGCACTGCAAAGAGTCCCACTACGGCCTAGTCGCACTACCGCGCTCTGCCATGATGGCTGCCCGCGTCGTCGTTTCCCTTACCCTGCTGTCTCGACAAGCCGGTCGTCGTCTACTTACTAGCTGCACGGATGCCCCGTCGCGCGCTGCGCCATGATACATGGTCCGCCGTGCTCGTCTGCCCTCCCTGTCCTGTGATTTGGTCATCCCAAGCCTTCCTTTTCGCTTTCTGCACCCATGTCTTGCCGTGATCGTGCCAGCCGTGCCACTGGCCCTAGTCGTCACAGCGCTCCCTCACCGAGCCATCCCTTGGTGCTTGGTGGCTCCGTATAGTCAATACACACCCGTTCCCTGTCTGCATCTATCCCACTATTACTTGTTCTTGACTTTGGCTAGTCTAGCCCTGGCACTCCTTGCACCATGACTTTTGCCGCGACCTCATGCTGTTCCAATTTCCCCGTCCACCCTTCCGCATCTGTCTATATCTCTTGGCACTCCATATACCTATGCACATGTCCCCTCCCCCTTCGCTTCAGACCAGAAGAACCGTGATCAGCTCTCACACACATATACAACCTGTCTGGACACATCAACACTCACACTCACCATCCCCCCCCGTACATGCCGACTTCCTTTCCATCCTACCATCTCGACACCATGTCCGGCCAAATGCAGCCAGCACAACTACACCGTCGCACCTCTCGTGGTTCGGCCAGCCAATCAGGATGCCGTTCGTCACGCATTGAAAAGACAAAGAGCCACCACAGCAGCCCAAAGGCCATGGAGAGGCGCAAGACTACTTCCGAGACCAAGCTATACGCCACCCTCGACGACCACTACCGAATGATGTTTGGCGTAGAGCCAGAAGAGGAGGAGCGTCCCCAATCAACACGACCCGTGAGCTGGCATCCCGCGTCATCACAGGTGCAGACTGCACAACAAACAAACTACTTTGACCCTATGCCAAGTCAACACTGGCAGCAAAACTACTCGCCATCACGAGATTCGTGCCATGGTTCCGACTACTACTCGCTCTCTGCCCGCAACTCGATGCTCGAGCCCCGGACTAGTGCTCCATCAGAGTATGGCTGGCAAAGCATGCCTCAACACACTCCCGGCTATGTCGACTCTTGTGTCAACACGCCCACCTCGGAGCCTCTCCCATGGTACCTGCAGCAATGGGCACAGAGGAACCAGGCACAAAACACTGCCTCTGCCCAGCAACAAGACCAGGACATGGACGACGAAGAGGAAGGCGAGAAGCTTGTTGCCCTTGGCCTATACGATGCCCCAGAGCCATCACTAAGCTGGGGTGCGCTCACGGAGGGTACCGGAAAAGGCCTTAAGCTCGAGGAGACTTGGCAACCACCCGAGGAAGACGAGGAAGACCAAGACGATGACGATGACGCAAGCTCAGAAGGCAGTGTCGAGGAGCCATCGCCCCCTCTGCCGCCGGTCCATGAACAGGCACAGAACATGGCAGTCCATGTCAAGTCTCAAACACCCAGCAGCATGGAAGGTCAGAGCTTCTTCTTCGACGACGACGAGACCGTATCCAAGGAGTGGTGGTTTCAACAAGTCAAACAACCCTCTATGCCAGTGCGGGACGCTGGACTAGGATATGGGTGGTTGTGAGCGTGGTCACAGCTTTACATTATTGTATATTTTTAGTCTTACACCTTTTTGATCTTTAGCACAGCACGGCGTTTTTTTGTTTTGTTTTCTGCAATGGCCCCAGTTGGGTGCCAAAAAAGAGGGCACTATTAGACAACAGCGAGAGCGAGCGAAAGAGATACCCAGCCTTCACAGGCAAGAGAGCCAGTCTTTGCATCATCGCTCACACCGAGGTCAGATGGAGAGGAAATGCACGTATAGTAGTTACATAGTAGCAGTAGTATAGTAGAAGAAGGCATGACTGCAGCCAATCAAACACAATGACAGACACATAACAAATACCGAGTCCATCTTCCAATGACATGGCATGGGTGACTGACTACAACGGCAGGAGCAAGGCAGCAGGCAGCCAACCAGGGGGGAAGGGCACCCTCAACACTATCCCGGCACAACCACCACCACCACCATGTGCTTGAATATCGAATGTCGCTCGCTTGCCTACTCCTCATTACTCAGTCATGTTATCCATCGTCGCCGTCAAAGCATCGGCCTGGTCGTGCCATGGCGCAAGCTTCTTCCACGCTTCTAGCCACGCTTGCTCAAACCTTGGGAAACCCTACATGCTGGAACAGGACGACTAGCTTGCGGCATGCGCCGAGGCCAGGGTTGGGCGTCTCTGTCCCAAAACCCACGTCGAGCCCGGCGACCCAGCAAATGGCGCGTCGGCGACATGGGGCCGCATCCTCCGGGCCCATTGCCCTTCAGGTCCCAGGCCAGGCTTGCGCAAATTGATCCAACAAGGCGATTGTGTCACACTGGCCGGCAAAGGCCCGATGAGATGACCACCATCATCATCCCGTCCCTCAGCCTCATCCGCCAAAGCACTGACGGAACTGCCATCACTAATCAACGCCTAACCGACAACTAACCGACGGCCCAGCTATCCCTCTCTGACTTGTCCTCTCTCATGCCGCCCCTTGGCCCGTCCACCAATGTGCCGCCAAACGGGGACCCATCTGCATCCTTTTCCCCATCCATCGCCCAACTTCGGCGAGACCCGCCATAGTTGCCTCGTCCCAACTTTCTCACCACGCCGCCCATGTCTGCCACGCTCGGACGCTACCCACGTAGCGCCCAATAGTCTTTCACACGACAAAGGTTCCAGAGTATGGGGTGCCAGATTGCCTTTTGCCCCGGCTTTAACCGCCATTCTGTTACCTCATTGGCGCGATGCTCCACTCGCGCTAATCGTCTACAGTCCAATCCAAGACAGTTTCTTTTCATTTCTTTTTATTTCCCAATCGTTTCGCATCTGACGCGTTCTCACGTGCTCTCTTGCTTTGAGACGCGGACGCAAATCAGCCACTCCACCGGCAGGGGTCCCACTGCCCTAGAGACGCAACCTCTTTCTCTTCGCACGCCCTGAGGCTCGGGCGTCTAGAACAAAATAACTCCCTGTGTCCATGGACTCGAATAATAGTACTCGGTTTGTTGTGACTGCGTGGCGCAATAGCCATGAATTGCTTCAGCTACGCCACGACTTGTACTGCTCTGAGACGCTTAGAAGAGAAAGGGCTGTTAACAAGGTGAGCTGACTTCTGTCTGTCTGGTCGTCTAAGAAGCATAGTTCCAGACCGACGCAAGGCAAGAAGCAGTAAACTGATGGCGGCTAGGTTTTTGCGTGGCGCCTGCGTAAGCTAGATGCTCTACCTTTGCTACTAGAGTCGACGGCAGATATTGTTGATGTCATCCTCCAAGATGGGAGGGGCGGGCTGCAGCACAATGCCCTGCGGCTGTTGTATGCAACAGCACTATCAAGGTAGGTTTCCCAACCGGCGGTCAATGTTGCCAGATGTGATTGATCCTTGTCCGGTGTCGAGATACCTATTACAGAAAATGCTTGGAGTCAATACCCTTGTCTGTATCATTCACATGCTTCGTCTTGCCTCACCCAGACCCAAGCATTAGGGAATCGAGACAAATACAAAACATAGACAGATCCTCGTCTAACGAGTGCGCGTAGGTTCGTAACCGGCCTAGCAGATACCCAGATCGACTTGACGCGTGACCGCCCCTCGTGGTTCCCCGCTGGAAAGTCCCTCCAACTACCCCTCTCCCTGCTGGAAACACGGCACCGCATCGTCCATCGGCATTTGCCATCGCTTGCAGAGCTGAAGCGTGCTGCCGCAGACTCACTCGAGTGGCTGTGGGAGTGGTACTGGCGGCAATTGGATTATGCCTTTGAGACTGGTGCCGGCGACGGCGAGGCTGAGGATGAGTTGGGGTTAGAAACCAGAGCGGTAGTCAAGGAGAAACTGCAAGCCGTATTGAAGTCTTACGTCAAGGAAAGAAAGAATGAGATCAAGCAACGACGACAAGACAACAAGGCGGCTCAAACAGCCTTGTCAACGTACACCTTGCATTTCTCCGCCAATACGCCAACACAACGTATTCTGCTTGACCTCCTCGTAGACGACAAAATGATTCTGCCCACGGACAAGAAACTAGGCGCCTCCATGTCTGGTGCCTTTCTCATCTGGACCCCTTTACTCGCCGCGTTCTGCACTTCATCTACACTCTCCATCAACGCACTCGTTACTCGCCTCCTCGGCCAGCTCTCCCTGTTCAAGGTAAGCAGCCATCATACTACTACCGTGGAATCCGAGGATCCCATCAAAGAAGCAATGTACACCTGGCTCCTCCACATTCTCACCTCGTCCGACTGGGCCCCCGCAAGACGCGTCGCTGTATCAGCGGAGAAGATGCAAGAAGAGGTTCTTGTTCAGATCTTCTCGGCCCCATGCTTCTGGGGCTTTAAACTCGCAGAGGCGTTGCTGGAGCAGGGGAATGTAGGTAAAGTGGAGTCTTGGCGTGCTATTTTACTTGCTGCGAGGGGTGAGGGCGAAGTAAAGGAGGTCGATATGGATGTTGATGCTGAGGCTGAGAGTATAACGGCGGCGTTGCCTGTACGGGGAGTTGGAGACGGGAGGCAGGAAAAGATTCGGGGGCCTGTTAAGGTGTTGGGGATGTGGAAGAGTAGGCCGATTGGGTGGCTGGCTGAGGGGTGGGAGAATGATGAGTGATATTTTCGCTCTTGTAGAAGGGTTTGGTTTGTTGGTATATTGAGGAGGGGTTTTTTTGTATAAAAGTGTTTTTGTATAGAAGCGATATAAAAGTTTGAGTTGGCCATACGGAAATACATATAGAGTACGAATACCCCCTTCTTGATTTATTCTGTCTTGATAACTTCTCTTCTATAATATTGACACATGACATTGATGCTCTTTTCATGTCAGATGTCAATGTCTAACACAGCATACACATGTTATTCGTACTTGCTTTTGTCTTTCCAAACTTACGTCGAAACCCTCCCCTCTTTTTTTTTTTCAATTGCTGTCTGTAGACTGTGGGGGGAAAAAACCCACCCAGGACTCGAGAAGCACAAAGGCAAAGATGGTAATAACATTGTATTGTTACAGAAGCGAAAAAGGGAAGGATTTATATCTTCGCTTTTACATCAGCGGGTAAGATGCGATCTTCGACCATGCGCATGAGTTTGATAGTTTGTTCCGCCAGTGTGAGGGTGAGAATCTATTTTCGTCAAAAGTCAGCAAAACTCGGAGTCTATCCTTGGAGGAAAGGGGGGAAAAACCCCCCAGAGAGAAAAAAAGACAGAGAGGGGGAAAGGGGAAGAGAAAAAAACATACCGTATGCGGCAATATCCTGGCCAAATGCGCAAAATACCCCTTATACAACGCCAGCACGCCCTCGGTCCTAACCGTCCTAGCCAAACAATCAAACGCACTCTTGTACAAATTCCCCGTCTGATTGTACATCCGCGACATAACCGTGTCTGGAGGATGCATAACACAGCAGACGACAAACCCACTTGCCGTACTACTCGCAATATGCAACGGCATACCCTCCTGCATCCCCAGATGCTTGACCAGTCTCCTCTTCGCAAAAAAATACGTCGGCAACTGTACTGAGCTGCCAAACCCTGTCCTTACCATCGCGGGCCCCACTCCCCTGTACAATCCCTTTATACCTTCGGAAGAATAGATCTGGCGCATGCCGTCTAGCGCGTTGCGGTAGTGGTGCTGGGTGCCTACGGGAAGAAAGGGCGAGTACGATTGCAAGCGGGTTTTCACGAGGAAGAAGGGGGAGCCGGCTGCGGCGCCGAGGATGCCGGAGGAGGCGCCTGCGAAGAGGTTTATCAAGAAGGATTGTAAGTTGGGGTCGTGGTAGAGGGTTGTGGTGAGGGTTTTGCGGACGGGTTCGTAGAAGCCGAGGCGGCAGCCGTTGAGGGTCATTTGGTAGATGTACTGTTCTATAGTATTAATATTGTTCTTTTTTTGTGTGTGTGTGTGTGTGAGAGAGAGAGAGATATTGGAGTTTGTGTTCTTGGGGGGATTTAAAGGAGAACGTACTGCACATCCTAACCCGCGTAATAGGCCTCGGGGCCCCTCGTTCTTGAGAATGACGCTGACGCCGTGGAAGACTCCCCGGTATAACCGCGGCGCATCGCTCTTTGCCTTTAGCTCGCCTTGTAGTTGTAGTCTGGGCGAAAGCGGTCAACCAGCCTGTTCGCTTGCGGATATGTTCTTTTGGTTTGAAGGCTAAGCTATTGGGAAGAGAGTGATTATTTTGCGCACCGGATCTTGACTGTTTCGAAGCCGTGCGTCACTGTCACGGCTCCGCATGCTGCTATGCCGCCGGCTATGAAGGAGCTGAAGAGGGTAGGCATTAGTTTTTGTGTCTTGATTATTTATAGAGAATGTCTTACCCAAGGGTTGTAGACATGCTGCGCCTTTTATGCGACTGAGCGCTCTCTGACTTGGAGGTTCCGAGCAGGTGTATCGCCGTTTGAGGTCCTACGACAAAGTCGCCGTCTATCGTTTCGTATGCGTGTCGCCGTTTACCGGATGTTCGTCAATTTCAAGGGGGAAAGGAGTGTAGGGCTCGGAGTCAAGACCGTGAGAAAGTAAAAGAATTGAGAAGTGTTGTAGTGTACAGAGGGCAAATGCAGGGCATAGTAATTGTGAATAATCTCTCGGGGGTCCGGTTTCGGCTCAAGGCTGGTTGACGCTGTGACCCACTTTCTACCTCGCACCACACTCTCATGCGCGCATTCCGCCGGCTCTAGCTCAGTCCCACGGTCGCGTCGCGTCAACCCTCACGCCTACGGAATTGCTACTCGACGCACATGGACATGTAAAGGAGATATCGAGCTAAGGATTTTCGAGCTCCTCCTCATCCAAGCACTGTAATGGCTGGGCTAGCGACGCCCGGCGGAGGGCCTCCTCCACCGCCTGCAGGCCCGCCGACACAAAAAGTGAGCGACGTCATAACGAGCTTCCGGCCTCAAAGAGTAAGGAGTCCCTTTGGCACCCATGACACCTTGCACCCGTATATTTACCATTTCTACAGCGCTTCAAGTCCGGCGGCCACGGCACCTCCATTACCTCGCTCGACTTTGACGACTCGGGCGAACTCGCCATTGTAGCCCGCGACGACGACACATTGCAAATCTACAACTGCAAAGAAGGCAAGCATGCAAAAGAGCTCAAGAGCCAAAAGTACGGCGTCCACCTTGCGCGCTTTAGTCACCACGCCCAGAGCATCATCTATGCCAGCACAAAGGTTGACGATACCATCCGCTTCCTCTCCACCCACGACAACTCGTACATACGCTACTTCAAGGGCCACACCGATACCGTCACGTCGATTGCCCTGTGTCCATCCAAAGACGATTTCATCAGCTGCTCGCGGGACAACACGGTGCGCTTGTGGAACCTACAGTCGCCAAACTACGTTGGCCTGCTCAACCTGCATGCGCCTTACCTCGCTGCCTACGACCCGTCGGCGACCGTCATTGCCATCGCCTCGCCGCCGACGCAATCTATCCTCCTCTATGACATGCGCAACTACGACAAGCCGCCGTTCGCCACGTTTGACTTGCTAGAGTACGAGCAACGCTTCATGGGAGGACAAAAGGTGGACTGGACAAAGATGGAGTTTAGCAATGACGGCAAGAGTCTAGTTGTAGCCACCAATGGCAGCGGCCACTTCGTCCTCGATGCCTTCTCCGGCGACATCTCGCACTTTTGTTACCGCAAAGCTGGATCCTCGGGGCGCTTACCACCCGCATCGTCCGTTACCAATGTCAGTGGCGCTACACGCAACGGGGACACGCCTGCAAACGGCCAAGGCGATGTATGCCTCACTCCAGACGGCCATTTCTTGATTGGAGGCAGTGGGGAAGACGGCCTGTTGGTATGGGATATATCCAAGCCTCCTGCGCCCAACAACATCTTAGAGCCAATGGAGAAGCTTCCGGGTCAAGGCAAGGGTGCTGTTGTCGGGTATAACCCTAGGACGAATCTGCTCGCGAGTGCAGATAGAGATTTGTATCTCTGGCAGCCGGATGCCGATTTGATGATTTGAGGAGGGTTTTAAGAAGCCTCTGGTGCTACATGGGTGTTTATGGGAATAAGAAAAACAGTCTGGACAAGAAAGGCCGGACCTGGGCGAGAAAATGGATGCGCCAAATAAAGTGTAATTCGAGCAATCTACCCTAGGGCTATCATCGTCTTGGAAAACAGGTACAGCAAGAAGATAGACACGGTGGGAAGCTGTCCTCGGTCCGAATTGTAAAAAGTCCACGGGGGATGGTGCTGCTGGATGAGTAGTAGGCGAAATGGGACTCTGCGAAGAAGAAGGCCATGCTCAAAAAGCATAGCAATACAACCAAACTTGCAAATACATAGACACAAAGGTAGCGGATATGTTTTCCGGATATTCGACCACGTGACGAATGCGAACCAGAGCGCCAAGAAAGGCACGGGCTAGCCATTCCTTTCAGGCGACATCTCGCTTGAGACTGTCTGCTGCCATTGATCGATTTGCAGATCTGACAGAGTGCCCAAGGCAAGCGAATGACCAACCCTGCCACGGGCATGAACTTTGCAGCAACCCGAATCGAGCCGGACCAAAGTGAATCAGTCGATGAGGGGCGCCTTGTGCTCCACAAAGTTGCTTTTCTGACGCTCACCCCGCACAAGGATGGATTGTGGCGCTGAGCCTCGCACACAAGTCATTTGCGTTGAGTGAGCACAGATGGTGACGAGGTGCGGTGCTTGGGTTGCTTTGCATTTAGGCCCAGCACAGTGGGCCATGTTGCAGACACGGGCGAGTGTTTGTCCTTTGCACAACAGCATGCTGAGATTGGACACACGAATGATAGTAGCGAGCATGGGGTTGGTTGACAAGACAGGGTGCAGACACAGCACAGAGGCAAAATATGACGGCTCACAGCGGACTGTGAAACCATCGTATACAGGGCCGACGCGTCGCCCATGTTGCATGTTGAGGGCCATGGAGCCATGGTCGAGGCTCTGGAGGGTTTGTGCTACGCATGTACAAGCGGCAGCTGAAGAGGCAGCCAACAGGCTACGCAACCCCAGGATTGCCTAGGTCGCTGGCGCCCGCAGACCCCGGCCGAGGGCGAGGATCAAAACTGGGCCAGTAGCCGTGCTTGCACCTGGAGCCGTGAGATTGCCGTCGACGGGCCCGCTGTCATCTGGCTCGCCCTGGCCAGGATAGCCCGGATGCGTGATGAGAGACTGACGACGTGTTTGCTGAGCTCGTGAGTGCGGCGATGAAGAAACGAAGCAGTGGTTGGCCGTTGTCGGAGAGCGAAAACAGGTCGAGATGGGCTCTGGGGTGGCGAAGGAGCACGTTCAAGGACCCCCTGGACCCTTGAGCCGAGCCCAATGGCAGTGCTGGAGGCTTTCTCCGCCCATGACATTGTCGCAAACGCCTCTCCCCACAAGCAAGCACATAGAGGGGATCCATGACGGCCCCCGTCTAGATGCAACAGCCTCACCTTTTGGCCAGCAGAGTTTTCACAGCGCCCGTCGAGGAAAAGAAGCACCGTCCAGTCAGATGGGCGACATGTCGACGGCACTACTGGTGCACACCTACTGGGGTTCTCCGCATCTTGCCCATAGCGCTGGGTCATTCGCGCCTTGCCTCGTCAACCAACTAGCCATATCACCACGCCCCTCTCCTTCTGCCACTCCCCGACTCCTCCCTGGCGGCTTACCCTGCCTCGACTCATCGACTCTTTTACGCTTCAGACCCTTCTCGGTATCCCAAATTGAAACCTGTTCGCTGCTCAAAATCGTGTCATCTGTGCGGGCCATGTCCGTCTCTCCGCCCTGAACATGGTCTCGTGACATGCTTCCATCTCGACACTGGTGCGTGCGGTCCACAGAGCCAAGCTTAGCTTCGCCTATTCACTAGCACTGCATTGGTTTTACGTTTGTTTCTGTGGCCTCGTCCCGTGCCCGTCAACTAAACTATACTCTCACCACCGACACTCTCCACCCTCTACACCCGAGGATGCTAATCTGTCTGCTCAGCTACTCCTTACCCAATATCGTGCATGAGTTTGGGTAGCGGAGGATGTTGCGAGCCGGTACCGAGAGCACACCATCAACATTGAACCAGCACCCTGGAACTGTCTGGACCGCCAACAGTTCCGCCACGTTACCATTCATCTTGCTTCCGCCGCCAGCCATGAAGCTCACATTTCTGCCTCGGCCGCCGATATCCGCTTCGAGGAAGCGTAGCCGAGCTGTGGCTGATATCGACGGAGAACATTCATGTGTGCAGAAAAAGAAACGCCGACTTCGACTATTTCTCATTACATCACGACTATCTCCACAGTTTTCACATCCAGCATCCAACATTGTCGATCGAGGTAGCTCAAAGATTGCAGTATGGGCCAAGAAAAAGGCCTTGGGACGGAACTTGCTTCCCAAAGCCGCCATCTTGAACGGTATACGGAGACGGAACATCCTCATGAGAGACTCATCTGGACCCAGTGCTCGAGTGTCGATTGTCCAGGAGAAAGAAAAGGTTCAGCTTGAACTGGCTCGTTTAGAATTCACTCACGGAAGCGTCGACACATATACTCATCCAGTCCTACTACAGCATCCATCAGTCCCACCCAGCGCCGCCATACGAACCAGCAATCGCTTTGTCATGTCCGGGTCACCTACCAGTTCTCCAAGCTCGTCGAGAAGCCCTTCGCCCACGTCACACGGTTCTCTGACATCAGGTCCTAATGAGACAGCATCGTTCCGCTCACCAAACGAAGCATGGGTCTTGACTTCACCCCCAACCAAAGGACACTCGCTGCATAGAGACTACCATCCCCTACCGCCGTCTCCGCTGGGTGTATCAAACTACGATGCTTTCGATGCGGAGGAAGATGAAGTAGACCTCTATGCGCATCTAGATGACGAAGGACTTCTGCCAAGTCCATTTGATGAGGAAGATGACGATGAGGTTATCCCTTTCTCTCCCTCTGCTGTGACCACCAATGTCTCTACGACAATACCAACCAGTACGTCACATGCTACTAGTATGTACTCGGACTACACCATGCCAGACTATGGCCATGTCGACACAAGTGCCAACTCATCATGGCTAAACACATATCCAACCTCTCATTCCGCATCAAAGCGGACAGACTCGTTTGCGACATCGCCCAACTTCCGCCCTTGCATACCGAAAAAGTCGATATCACCAGAGATGTATGCAGTAACCCCGACGACGTCTGTTTCGCCAAACTTTGCGCCATCGACCCCGATATCAGCGAATATCACACCCATGGCGACATCGCCCAATTTCGTTTCTACAATGGCACCGCCGGTAATGTTTCCCGAGTTCCCGTCATTGGCCGCTGGGGACTCTACTGCAAACTTTCCGCCATCATTGACGTCACCACGTCCGTCGTGGGCGAAGAAGGTGAGCTCGACTGAGGAATAAATGCTTTGAAAATCGGATGGTTAATTCTGTCGTTGTTTCAAAAAAAATCAAAAAGGTGAATCCCACCAGGTGGGTTTTTTGCATGCTAGATGGGTATGGGGGGAACTGGACAGACACATGTAATTGTATTCGTCTTGCACAGGAGCATGGAAAAAAAGGATCAAAAATGAAGGGAGTAACAAAAAGGGCAATATGGGAAGGGGTGTTAGCATGGGAGGGAAACTGTATTTCTGGCGGCCAACATTATGTATGCATTTTTTAGTATATGTAAGATATGTGTATATGCGAATACATACAAGCAGGGCCTATCCTGGAGTTTTTTTTTCTGAGAGAGGGGGGCAGCAATTTAAAATCCGAAGTGCTTTATCAAAAATGAACACGGGGGGAAGGGTTTTTTCTTTCTCCATTTCCACTGTTCTGAGAAGTTTGTTCTCTAATCTATGACAGCTTCACATCTGGTACGGCTAACTGCTACTGTTGTTGTAACTTGCCCGCCCGATCAAGCGCAATATCACACATGGCCTGTATAGCTTCTTGCCGCTCAGCCGCGATATCGCCCCGCGCAATGCGCTCACGCATGTTTTGCATGATTTCCGGGCGTGAACGAGCGTTTACGAAGACACTGTTTTTGATGTTCGTTAATCAACGTCTATGCCTATATCCCCCCACCAAAAAAAAAGAAACCGCACATCGAGTGAATACTACGTAAAAGACAATAAGGGATAAGGAGGAAATGGGAAATGTCTTACACATATCTCAAACCCGGAAATACAGCCTCATACTCCTCATTCAACACCTTGAGTTCCTCCCCTTCTCCGCCCAAATTCGCCTGCTCAGCCCGGCTCTGCTCGCTCTCTACTTTCTTCGCTCCGAGTCTCGGGTGCGCACATAATATCTCTTGCAAGCGTGCTGCATCCTCTGCAGTGGATGAAGCGGCCAGAGCGCGCAGTTGCGTTCCTACGGTTGTGATGAGGACGGTGTAGGAAGGGAAGGTAGTGCTGCGCAGGACGGGGAGCGTGAGGGTGTGGAGGGCGGGACTGGGCTCGAAGAGGAGGTCAAGGGTGGAGGTTAGGGTTTGGTCGGGGGAGTGGGGGAGGGAGGAGATTGGGGGGAGAGAGGGGGGCATTGTTGCTTGTTTTTTTCTTCTCCTTCTTCTTCTTCTTCTTCTTCTTCTTCTTCTTCTTCTTTGGGTTGGAGATGGGGTAAGGTGAGATGGTGGCCGTTTTGCTTTTTGATGATTGGAGTACGAGGCTGGATGGTGGGATGGATGGGTGGCACGCTGGGAGTAGTGGACCGGGGATTGGGGAGGTATGACGTCTTGTGGGTTTGGGTTTTTGGTTGAAGAGTGTAGTAGAAGCGTGGATAGATAGTCAAGAAGGAAAGAGATGCAACTGGTTTCTTTTGTCGTTTGTTTTAAGACTTTTTTTCCTGCTCCCTTCGGCACGGCCGCTGCCGTCCGATCAGCGATGCGGGGATAGATGCATGGCGGATGATGCTGCGGGTCAAAGCTGCATGATGTAAGGGGAGCGAGATGGTCACTGGTCTTGAAGATGCAAATGGGTGGGTCGTCTTGGTGCGGGGCAAATGCGATTGCGATAGTGGCACGACGCTTCTTTGGGTCTTGGGCAGACGGTGGCTGGCTAGCATCCTGCTGGCCTCGATATTCATTGGACGCGCATCGTGTTTCTGGCAGCAAAGATCAAGGTGAGATATCTTTTGTGTATATACTACTTACCAAAGTGTCGTCATGTAGCTGACAGTTTTACGGCTGAGAGGGCCATGCATCGAAGAACAAAACAACTTTCAAAGTCTAGAAATACCAGGTTTCAAGGAACAGCCATGATGGGGCAGCCATCTCCCGTTGTGACCAGGTGCAAGACATGTAAAACGGCGGGTTGCTTCTTTGCCGTCATCCCATGTGTGCCGTTGGCGAAAAGCAAATGCGCAATCTGGGGCACCAACGGCCATCAAATACGCCGACGGTGACGTGACAAAAAACAATCATAGCTCATGCAGTGCCTGGCTGTGACTCTGCGTGCCTCATGAACACTGATGGAGTTGTGCCGTGTTCCTGCGTCGGGTGGAGAGAGAGAGAGAGGGGGGGGTCTACACTATCAATGCAGGCTCCATTGCCACATGGGCCGCACGAGGTGGTAGGATGGTACCCTAAGCATAGCGCAGACACGCAGGTACCACAGCTCATGCTCCAAGGCGTCAAAGGGCCGTTTTTTGTGTAGGCGTACAAACACATTGTTTTGCTTTGTCGGTGAATAGTTCGGGTCGGCAGCAGTGGGGACTGGCAGTGGGAGAGGGAAAGGTGCGGGCTAGGGGCGTCTTCAGGGTTGCGCGCCGGTTTACCCCTGTGTGCTTGTGTGCCTGAAACGCGGCGTCTCCACGTTTGGCCGTCCATTTGGCCTTGACTGCGAACTCACGTCCCCTTTGCAGCTGCCGGGTGTGCTCAGCGCATTATTACCAGACCTACGCACATGGCTATTTGCACATGTACATGCGCACATACTTACATACCATACATACTTGAGTGTTGCTGAAGCCGTCGCCTTGCCTCAGCGACCACTACACACACACACTCTCTCCCTCCCCATGGCCCGTGCCGAGCACCTCTGAGACCCTTTGCTCTCTCTCTCCTCTCGTATCTCTCCAATTGCGGACCCCCGGCTAGGTTGACCCCTGTCCAGCTTTGACCTCCTGGATATCTTGATTGCCCGTCGTCGAACGGCCAGCGGCGACGAAAAAAGAAAGCCGCCTCTTTCGCTCTGAATACGCACGGCTTTGGAGAGAGTCTGTCCCCACACGCCCGGCCCTCTCTCTTTGCTCTACGGCTACCATCATGTCGCTCAACGGGCTCGACAATGTAGAAGTCACACAGGCGTATCAGGGCGCCCTCGCCGAGGCTGGTGGTTGGTACGACTCTCCTGCTGCTTCTCGCCTGTTTGTTTGCGCGCGCAATCTGCTGACATTTGGCCGTCTAGGTTTCTGCTGAGATACACATCGAGGGACTCTGTCGAAGTCCTTAAGCGGGGCACTGGCGGAGCAGGAGAGGCGCGCGCTGCCGTCGCTCAGTACGAGGACAAGTCACCGCTATATGGCCTCCTGCTCTACCGTCGGCGCAAGGTCTTGGTCAAATACGTGCCTGATGGGACTTCGCGCCTGCTGCAAGGTATGCCGCAATGCTGACTTTGCTGCATGGATTGCTGCTGACTGCCCATCTGTAGCACGTGTCGCTGTCCACTTCATCAACATCTCGGAGAAGTTTGCGCCTCACGACATTGTCCTGTCCATCTCCACTCCAGAAGAACTTAGCGATGCTGCCCTCGCATCAGCATGCAGTCTGCACACCGCCGCCCCTTCGAGCTCCTCGTCCAGCGGGTCATCGCGCGGGCCAAAACTTAGTTGGATCCAGGAAACCGCTGAGGAGACATGTCAGCCAGACGCAAATGAAAAGTTGGTAGCATCGGAAACGGTGGATACCAGTATACCCACCATAATGGAGCCGTCTAGAAGTAGTACTGAAGAAGATCCTACACGGTGTGCCTCTCTCACGTCGCAAACCGAGTCTGTCCCGTTGATACTGGAGGAAAAGGTTGCTGACCACAAGATTGCACCAAACATCTCTCATGTCACCGTTGAGACAGTGACTGAGCCCCCAAAGACACCAGAAAATACTGACCTGTCGGACCTGCAAGACACGTTCAAGAACTACGACTCGCTGTTTGAGGGCGGACCCGAACCGAGAAGCTCGTCTCAGACAACGCGGCCAGACTACAACGAGCTTTATGAGCACTACTACGCGCAGTACACCAAGCCCAAGGTCAAACTGGGCCCACGGCCACGCCAGTCGCTCGAAGGAAAGCGCCCAGCCACGTCAGGGAACACGTCACAAGACATGGCAAGACAGGTGGCATCGCTTCCCGCGGGGCTGCGCTCTGCGGCGCGAAAGGCGGCCCAGAAGAAGGAGTCCAAAATTGCCTCGTCCAGCGCTGTTCCCACCATTGCGGTTCCTCCACCGCTCGATTTGCCTCCAATGCCCCAGGTGCCACACTCGCCTGTTTCGTCGCTATACACGCCGCGCTCGCCGATCAGTGTCAAGTCTATGCCTGTTGCTGCGTACAAAAGTCACCTTCGAGCCACGGGAACAACGCAAGAGCGGACGAGGCTGATGAAGGCCCTGGAGCTGCGCAAGAAGCAGCAGCAGGCTCAGCAGGCGAAGAAGGACAAGGCGGCCGGCGAGTCGACTGTAGATACTGAGGAAGCGGAAGTAGGCGAAGAGGCGGCAGACTCGGCGGAAACGACACCTACCGAACATGGCGAGGAGCCTGAGGCAAACGAAGAGACATTGGTTGGTGACAATCTGCCCACTTCCCAAGGCCCAAGCGATTCTGGGCTCGTCTTTGCGGACAACCCAACGGAAGGAGACGACCTGAACTCAACTGTGTCGATATCATCTCCCATCTCCGCCCAAACCCACGGTTCGTCTGGCGCACCATCAACGCGGCCGTCGTCCCTGTCCGAAGATGAGAGCGGACTAGACGACCCACAAAAGCGCCAGGGTACGCTAGAGTCCCAAGCTCCTGATCCCTTTGACGAAGAACAATCCGTCGACAGTACACCTACCGTGGTCGCTGACAGCACCACCCCCCCTCCGCCCACTGACGCCCACGACGAACCCACGCAGGGTCCGCTAATCACCCAACGGGCGCCTTCTTTCGACGACGATGCAGACAGCAGCAGCAGGAGGAACACGCTGAGGCCCGCCGAGGACGACACCCACGCCCGCCGCCGCTCGAACCGGGAGTCGACCATATACATGCCTTCAGATGCGGCAGCGCAGCCAGGACAGGGGCCAGCCACAAAGCACAACAGAGAATCTATGCTGTTGCCCGCTGGCTCAAAGAGGGACAGTTGGTTTGAGTCCAAGGGGAAGCGCCGTGCACAGCTCGACCCACTCCACGTCAGTGCGGAAAACTCCGAAACCGAATATCTGTCCGACGACTCCTTCATGGAAGAGTTGCAGAGCGCTACAGTACATGAAGCCAAACCCATGTCCGTGTCCAAGTCGCCCATCATGCCCTTCTTCCCACGCAAGTCACCGTCCCAAGCTGAGCTGTCGACGCCCCCCAGGTCAGCATCGTCAAACTACCCTGCTAGTCTTACACGTCCCTCCCCCGAACAACAGCCTGCTCGCAAGGTGTCTGGCGGCTGGCCGCCGCCACCACGGTCTGACACGTCGACGGCCCCCAAGAAGATTAATGTTTCGTCTGGGATCTCACAAAGAATCAAGGCTCTTGCCGAAAAGACCAATAGAGAGTCGGCTTCTGTGAATCCTGCAGCCGCTACTCTGAGTGCGCCAAGTTCGTCTGTTGCCCAACGCAAGTCTTCTTTCTTTGCATCCTCGCCTCTTGACACATCGCCCAATAGCTTGTCTGCCTCTCGCAATGGAAACACCTCGATACGACCGTCGTCTTCTGCCTCAATGATTGACAGGAAACCGTCGGGCCCAATCAAGTCGACCGTATACAATGTGCAACAGGGACCTGAGAAGCCAGAGTCTGTTCAGGTCACTGCACGAATTGTTCGTGATGAGCGAACAATGAACCCTACCCTAGCCATGCCAACCGAGGGCACGCCGCTGGACCTCCACCAGAGCCCCCTGATTATTGACCATCAAATAGCCACTCCCGCACCCAAGAGCCCCCCTCAGCCGAAACCGGAGACACCAGCCTCTCGAGACACTTCGTCATCGCACTCTCGGGACCACAGTCTGGCACCCTCGCGGACGTCTTCGGAGAGCACATGGAGGACATTTGGTCGCCGGATGAGTGAGTCGAGGTCTGTTCACAGCCATGATGGCGACGAGAAGAAGGAAGACAAGAAGGAAAAGAAGGAGTCGCGCACGACTAAGATGTTCAAGCGCATGTCTTCGTCCATGTCTTCCATGCCCTGGAAGAGCTCGAGCAGCAGCCTGACACTTCCGGAGAACGACATGCGGTCGACATCGTTGTCATCGCTGCGGGAGCCACCACCTCCCATGCACGTTGGTGACTTGAATGTTCAGTTTCCCGACACTTTGGTAAGTTAATTGTGTGTAAACCGTTTTGACTGCATGCTAACTTTACACCAGCTCTGGAAGCGAAGATGGGTCGAGATCGATTCTATGGGCAATCTTGTCCTTAGCCCGTCAAAGCACAACGAGAAGGGAATCGTCAAGCGTTTCCACCTCAGCGACTTCCGCGCTCCATACCCTCCAGATCAGGACCGACAAGAGCTGCCCAACAGCGTCGTCTTGGACTTTGTTGATGGCCGAACGCTGCAGTGCGCGTGCGAGACATACACGGCGCAAGCCCAGGTTCTGCAAAGTAAGTTTTTTTGAAGTTTGATGATACATGAGACATGCTGACGGTACATAGTCCTCCGTGAAGCGCACGATGCTTGGCTCGCATACAACCAGGCGCAGTAGAGCCCTTGCCCTACAGCGCCTACACCCTCATTAGATTTTCTTTATACTTTCTCTTAACCTCCTGGATGCAGTAGCCAGCGACTCCTTATTCTCTTTGTCACGACGTACGACTACAGCATCAAGCACCACCCTTCTTTCCTTGTATTGGATATAAAATGGTTCTACACTGGGGCTGTGTCATTTTCCTTGCCTAGTTTCTTCTTCTTCTCTTAGCACATTTTGTAGAGTTTTGTTTTTTTCCTTTGCATACCCGTTTAGCGTTTGGGGGGAGGCCATAGGGCAGGCTTGGAGCATCACCATCATCACCACCAGCACTGCCGTCTTGTTTTCTCTTCTTCTCCCGTTTCTGGCACAAGGGGACCAATTTGTATAATATTTAATGCTGCACTGGAAGGCAGACTGGCAGGCTGACAGACAGTTGCTGGTACTTTTCAGGCCAGGGCGGCACATATAGTCTGAGACGGCTAGAATGCAAGAGAGCATTAGTCCTCTTTTGAGCGACTGTGCAGCTGGTGTGCTTCAGAGTGCCATGTGATTATGTTACCATATGCTTGTCGGGTGGCGGCGGGCTGGGCGTGGGCTGGCGGGGCTGGTCGGCCAGGGTGGAGTAAGCGAGGGGAGTGCCTGGCGTCGTCATACAAGCATCGTGCATTTGATGGATGCGAACATGTGCCAGGACAAGAGGGCAGCAATGGGTCATGATGCTCTGCGCAATAGGGCCTACCCTTGCCCCCGGCTCTCTCCCACCTGCGCTGCTCTGCTCTTCGTGCTCTCTGTCTATACACACCTGCTATAGTCTGCGCTCCAAGAGACCAAGAGCCGCCGACATCTATCGAAACGCGCCCCGTAAACTCCGCACTCCGCATGCACATGTCCAGGAACCGCTGTCGCGAACTCTCCTACACACACACACACCACTCCTCGGCCTCGGGTCCCACTGCCACAACGCATCCTGCAGCAACTACGCGTCCATCGAGCGAATAGCCCTCCCGTTTAGGCTACCACATCCATTATCCCACCGTGCCTCAGCCTGCCAACCGTACAAATAAGCAACTCTGTGACCCGCTTGGGGCTCTCCTCGAACCATGCCGACGTCGTCTGTCCACCCGTTTGCCTCTCCCAACGCCATTCCGCCCCGCACGAGCTCCACGGGCATCCTGAACCCTAGCCCAGGCAGCCCCAAGCAGCCGCCCTCGAGAACATCCGTCCTACGCCCCTTGAGCGAGATTGACTGGCTGGGCCAGAGCAAGAAGAGCAAGACAAGCCACTCTGCCGAGCCGCTGAACGCCCATCTACAAGAGCAGCAGTCCGCGCCCCACTTGGCTTCCAACAAGCCTCAGGCCGCCACCGACGGCATCGACTCCCACATGGACACCACGACCACAAACCACGATGTCGGCGCAAACTACCCTACCCCGCTGTCCCCGCCCTCAGAACACTCTAAAGGCATAGGCGAGGAGCTCATTTACGGAAATGGCGTCGCGTGGACAGAGGAGAAGGAGCGCATATTGCTAGGGCCATACGATTACTTGTACGGACATCCAGGCAAGGATATCCGTAGCCAATGCATAGCGGCTTTCAACCTGTGGCTCAAGGTGCCGCCGGAAAGACTTGACATTATTACAAAAGTAGTGGGAATGTTGCATACCTCGAGTTTGCTGTGTGTATCTTCGTCAACGTACTTTTCGACTTTGCCGCTAACTTTAGTTCCTTCTCCGCAGTGTCGATGATGTAGAAGACTCGTCTGTCCTCCGCCGCGGTATCCCCGTCGCTCACGCAATATTTGGCACGCCGCAGACCATCAATTCGGCCAACTATGTCTACTTCCGCGCCCTCGCCCTGCTGCTCTCCATGAACAACCCCAAACTTATTGAGATATTCACCGAGGAGCTCTTGAATCTGCACCGCGGCCAGGGCATGGATCTCTACTGGCGAGACAGCCTGACCTGTCCCAGCGAAGCAGACTACCTAGAAATGGTCGGCAACAAAACAGGCGGCCTATTCCGCCTAGCCATCAAACTCATGCAAGCAGAGTCGCAAACAGAAATGTAAAGAACCCTTCTCTCCCTTTCCTCATTGCTACCGAAAAACTAACAATCTACACAGCGACTGCACCCCCCTCGTCTCAACCATCGGCCTCCTCTTCCAAATCTTAGACGATCACCTCAACCTCTCACCCACATCCGGCTACACCTCCCTCAAGGGCCTTTGTGAAGACCTCACAGAAGGCAAATTCAGCTTCCCCGTCATCCACGCCATTCGTGCCGACCCCTCCAACACCATTCTTATCAATATCCTCAAGCAAAAGACGACGGATGAGGAGGTGAAGAAGTATGCGCTCAGGTATATGGAGAGTAAGGGCAGCTTCGAGTATAGTAAGAGTGTGGTGGCCGAGTTAAGGGCGAAGGTTGAGGAGCATATGCAGAGGATTGAAAGGGTGTTGGGAGAGGAAGGGAGGGAAGGGGCCGAGGCATTGAGGGTTATGTTGGGGAGATTGGTGTTGAGGTGAGGGAATCTTTTTCTCTGCAATTTTTCCAGAGGGAGGGAGAGATGTAATAAAGGTGTTTGTTGCTTGATTGATCTTGGATGGTGACGATGAATCTTGTTTACGGCCTTGGAGTAGTTTGAGACAAAAATGGTATACCCAAATTTTCAATACAATCGTCATATTTTTCAGAGGAAAATGATTTGTTTGTTCTTGGCCTGGTCCTTATTATATTGAAATGTGAAATGAGATAGATGCTCCCTGTTCCCTGCTCGTAGAATGGAAATATTGAGAGAAAGGTAATGCCGTATGCCAAACGCCAGTGCCATCATAATGCAAACCCCGTCGCTCCCAGAATTCGAAATATCAAGATGATTCCTTGCCCTTGCAAACTCCAAATCCATTATCCCGCTTCCAAACAAAATACGCTCAAGATTTCACCTTCTTCGCCATCTTGTTCTTTGGCTTTGCCAGAATCCCATCCCGATGCGCATCCAAGTACTTTGCAAGTTCAGCCTTGAACTGCTCCACCCTTTCCTCAGGCGAAGGCACCGACTCGTCCGAGTCGCAGGGATCCGACAGGTACGCGTCATCCAACATCACAACATCGAGAGCTGCATCGCGCTTGCCTTTTGCCGCGCCAACAGCTTCCAGCCAGGGAAACGCATCGCGGTAAAATTGGTCTGCTCCGCGGCGCGGGGAGCAGTATTTGTTGATGCGCACATGGACGACCAACGAGGTGAGATTGGTGGCCCAGGCGAGGGCGGCAAAGCACGCGTTGTTGTAGACTTTCAATCCGCGGCTATGGAGCCAGCCCAGAATCCGGAGCTTCTTGAGGCGCTGGGCACGCGTAGGCCCAAGGTTGATGAGGAAGCTATAGAGTGCGAAGCTGTCGATGAAGGTGAGTTGGTTGCCATACAAAATGTCAATGCCCTCGCTGTAGATTTGCTTGTTGACGGCGAGTAGTGATGGGACAAGAGAGGTGTGGTCTCCATCGGCATCGAGAACGTCTTCGACTACGCGTTTGGAGGTTGGGCTGTAGTATCTGCCACTGGCGTTTGATGCGTATTCTGCTGACACGCGGGCGGCGACGCGGCGCTTTTTCTGGTAGGTACCGACAAAGTTGATGCCGGATGGATCATAGAGCGCATAGTTATATATTGTGTTGCGGATCTCTGCAGGAAGGTCCAAGAAGGGGAAGATCTTGCGCTTTGGAAGTGCTTTGGTTGTTCGAGCTTTGGGCTTCTGGTAAAGCTCCGTTAGTATAGGCCACTCTCGTGCACTCGGTCGTGCATCGAACCTTTGCTTGAGGGCTCTCAAAATCAGACTCGGTGTCTGAGTACTCGAGGTCGTCAAGATGGTATGATACTTGCGTCCTCTTGCGCTTTGAGTAGCGACCAGACGCAAACGTCTCTGCAGAAGCTGTGGCGGCAGACATGATAGATTGGATGGAGTTTCTGAACCAATTAGTCCGAGAGAAGTTGAGATGCAATTGAATGTAGTTGGAAACGGAAATGTGCCTCTGGGTTGCTTTAATAGAATCACTGTGGTGAGTGTGGCAATGTCAAGCGTTGTTTGTTTTGGGTCTAGTGCAGGCTGCAACGAGGAACTGCAGGGATTAGCAAGGCATCAACTCGACGGCGCAGGCACCGCCTGGTAATATCGGTAGAGGTGGAGATTGCACAGCTTCGCCTCAGATTTACATGTAAGCGTCTGATGTTTGGTGGCGAAGCTTGAAGTGAAGGTGAGGAAGGAGAGAAGGAAAGGTCGAGACGCAATGGCGTCACTCCGAGCGCTTAGCCAAGCACCCCACTAACCGGAATGAGAGGGCAAATTATCATTCACCATCACCAGCAAAATGTCTTCAATACGATCGCTCACGTCCTTTAAGCTCGATTTGCCTCCCAGCTGCATCGAGTTCTTTCCGCTGAACCCGCAGTATGCAGTAGTCGGCACGTACAATCTTGAAAAGTCAGATGAGAAGGATGCCGCAGGGAGCGCTCCACACGATGGAAAAGTCAGTGCCAAAAATCAGCAGCGCAACGGCAGCTTGATATTGGTAAAGGTGGATGGCGACAACGTGTATGTAGAAAATACTGGCACTCAGTTTTGAAACTCCTTATGTAGTAATGTTCACATGCTGACTCCCGAAGCAACATTATTCAAACTCTCGCCACGCCATCAGCCATCCTAGACATTCACTTCTTGACGCATGTCACAAGCTCAAACTTTGGTGTTGCAACTTCGACAGGAGCTTTTGCTATCTACGAGCTTCAGTCGTGGCAGCGCAACCCTAGCATCAGCCACATCAAGACTATCCAGTATTTCCCCGAAGATGTACTCATCACTGCCTTTTCATGGCACCCAGAGTCATTTATGGTCGGCATGACGCTCTCAAACGGGCAGGTTTGTCTTGGTGTAATCGACACGGAAAGCGAAGATGACTCTCCCACTAAGCTGGAGGTTGCTTCGCATGATTTGGAAGCATGGACTCTGGCGTTCCTTCCTGATGGCTCTGGACTACTCTCTGGAGGTGACGATAGCACGCTGCGTTTTGCTGAACTTTCTGATGGCTCCGGAGTTAGCGTACCTTGGATGGATGGAAAGATCCATGGTGCAGGTGTTACTGCTATTCTTCCCGTACACCTGGATACCCAGGGCCTGCTCGTTATTACCGGTAGCTACGACGACCACTTAAGGCTTGTCCACGTCCCTATTTCCGGACGCAGGCAGGTTCTTGCAGAGACCAATCTTGGAGGTGGGGTTTGGAGGCTCAAGCTACTTGATCGGAACCCGAAGCTGCCAGAGAATCATGGCGTGGAGAAGTGGAGGTCAGAGCCACCTCCTGAAGCTATCCTCTTGCTTGTGAGCTGCATGCATGCTGGTACGAGGATTGTCAGGCTCACCAAGAGTGCTGGAGAGTGGAAAATCGAGGTGTTGGCGAAGTTTGAGGAACACGAGAGCATGAACTACGGTAGTGACTCCCAACCTGAACTAAATGGTCAAGGCCAGCGCACATATATATCCACGAGCTTCTACGATCGTTTGCTATGCTTGTGGAGATATTAGATAGATATTACATTACTGTATTGAATAGGACTTCAAAATGTTAAGAGGTAGTAAAGTTCCTAATAAAATTGCTATGCAAACTAAACTAAAAAAAACTTGAAGAGAAAAACAATTAATTAAACGTCCTTGTTCAACAAACTGTCCCAATCAATATAACTAAGGTTAACATTATCCAAATCCAAATTGTCCATACTCAAGTCCATAATACCAGCGGGGTCCAGCCCCATGCTGTCTTGGCCCAACTCTCCCATCTTGGCATCATTACCCTCGACATTATTCATGTCGACGTTTTGCAGAAGAGAAGCATCGGGGACGTGACCTTCCTCGTTTGTGAAATCGGTGTTTCCGGAAAGAGTTGTATCGAAAGTGTTGGATCGCGTTCTTCCCTCCTCGTCGATCCATATCTGAGGAACTGCCTCCTGTCCGAACGAGGAGGCGGGAACGTGGCTTGGGCCCGCCACGAAAGGTTGGGCTACCGCTTGTTGCGGAACTGGCTGTGCAAGCGCAGTCTGGGGTTGGGCTAGGGGGAGGAGGCGGTAGGAGCGGTATGCTTCTGGGACCGGCGGCACTATTTCGATGGCACCGTTTTCGTAAACGCGAATATGCTCGCGAGAGAGATCGAGCGTAGTCGTTGAAACCGCTTGGTACCCAACGTTTTTGGGCCCGTTCTCGACAACGGCCAGCTTGTTGAGCTGGTATGCCGAATATGTGGCGCCATGTTGGGTGATATGGTCGCCGAGGTTGCTGAAGCCAACTTTTTGTGGCATGACAAGTTGGTATGTCGGAGCTCCGTTGTAGTAAAGCTCTTGAATTGTCATCGGCCATCCAGTCTGCTCGATTGATGGGTATGGCACCCATATGAAGCCGAAAGGCAGTTCCTGCTCCTCGGCAGAAACTCCTTGTCGCGTCCAACTCGTACCGTTAGCCACGATTTTCATGTGGCTGCCGCTTTTGGTGCGGTAGTGACCGGGGACAGGCTGATGGTTGGATTTGTTCAGTAGAGCCTGATAGGCCTCGTATTCTTCATCAAGGAGCCTAGCCTTCTCCAGCTCCGCCTGCATCTGGTTCTTGTGCGCGATCGTTTGGTTCTTCATCTTGGAGTATTTGGAGACCATTTTGAATAGCTTGTCAAGGGGGGGCTCCACTTGATCTTCGGCTTGGTGATTGGTATAAGAGAGATTTGTGGTGGTATTTAGCTTGATGAGGGCACTTGTGTGATGGTCCTGTCAGATGAAGAGATGGAAATGTTAGTAGGGAAATTCCCCTTCATTTATACTCACAGGAATATACAGATAATCACACGATACGAAAATACCTCATACAGAAGTGCGACTCATCGCTGTAATGACCCAGTAACATGTAATCAATCAATATTTCATACCCCAAAGTCACCAGTCCAGACATAATCGGAATCAACGACATTGGCTGTTGTAAAAATAGCATCTTTGTTGTCAGGGAAATACACGCAATATCTTGAATATCAAAGCAATCAACAACTCTTCATACGACTTTAACTCGACTGACCTTGGGTTCTCATGTCAGAAAATAGCTCAAAAAGACCAGGCAGACTTCTATTGCATCAAATCATCGTGAGCTCCATTAATAGTAGATGGCATGTTTGGGAGCAACCGCTTCAAAATAGTGCTGATGACTCAATAGGAGGTAATGAGCGGGCCATCGGCGCTGAAATCACCAAGTAAATGCCACTCACACTTGGACAAGGGAAAACGATAACTTCAAACAGAAAATGAGCGACATTGTGGACGAAATACACCAACTGATAGGTTTCATTGCAGGACAGAAAACACATCTGCTATGCGTACTGGCTGTCAGATGTTACACAGCTATCGTGAGGTTAGGAAATCATGGTCCTCCCGGTATTTGCTTGGAGACAGGGGTTGAACCAAAGTTAAAAGTTTACACAAACAAGCCATATGGATTCTGGTCCTTTATCAAATTAACAAGGAATATGGAAATGGGGACGCCATAGCCACATCCATATTGCGAAGGAAAGAAAGAACATGTAAAAAAATCGATTTCACATTTTTGTCAGTGTGTGGTATATCAAGAATACCATAGGCGAATGTGGGATATGCGATAATGAGCAAACCATCTCCATTGTGCTTGAAAACAATATGTATTCCACGCGCTTACTATCTAAACGTTCTAAAATGAATATATCCAGCGCCCAACGCTATGCTAAGATGCAAAATATCATAAATATGGGTATCGTAACACGTAACGCAACGCTGGAAAAGACAACAAAATACCGCAAACTCCTCATCTTCTCGCAGGCAAAGATAACATCCCATCTGGAGGCGCCTCAACCCCCTTGCCATCCTTCTCAGCCAACAGCGCCTTGACCCTCTCAACTCTACTGACAGCTTTCTCCAGGCGATCCAGCCGTCCCATCTTCTCTCTATCCCTACGTTCCAGCGTCTCGATTCGTTCTTCCAGTTTCGCTCTTGCCCGCCGCTCCTCAGCAACCATCTCGTTCGCCTGGCTAAATAGCTGCACGCTAAGCTCCTCAATCTCCGTATCCACCGTTTGCACGCGCGCCTCAGCTTTTGCACGAAGGGCTCGCTCTCGCTCTAGCTCGTTAATCAGTGCGTAGTCGTCTTTCGGTGGAGGCGGTGGAGGCATGGCTCCAGTATTCGCTGGAGAAGGGAAGCGGTTTGTGATGAAGGAAAAGCGCGAAGCCCTTGTCGAGTTCGCGGTGGTGGGACGTGGGGGATCGGCGTCGACGGAGGGGCGCGGTAGGGCGCCGTTGAAGGTCTTGTCGGATTGCGAGGTTTGTGAACGCAGTGGGCTGGGAGCGCGCTGGCTATCTTTCAGAACGCGTATTTGGTCCTCGTAATCCGCACATCTATCGACTGAATGCCTGTTAGTCTATGTATGTAGACTTGTAGGTAGTGTCTGCTCGGCGCATCCTTAGGCACGTACCAGCTGCAGTGGCTTTCTCCTTTAGTCGCTCCATCTGCGCTTCCAGCTCCTCTATCTTTCGCCTTGCTTCTTCGAGCTCCTTCGTATTCAAGCTATAGCCGCATGACGGACAGTTGTGCGTTTGGGTATCGTTTGCGGTGTCTTTGGCAGGTTGTGGCGACGCGGGCGGAGAGACTTCGAGGGTTGCTGCCATGATACTAGGCGCGCGAGGTAAGAATTAGGCTTGGAGGAGTTTTCGGTTGACAGCTTCGCGGCAGGTGGACAGAATATAAGGAGAGAGTGGGGTATGTCTTGTCGCGTGGTTGTTGCAAAGGACCCTTGTGGTTTCAGCGTCAGCGTGATCATCGAACCCCTGTCATCCATAGCCAATGCAGGGTCCCCCCGCGCTAAAGCCATTTACGGTCTGGGTGGCTTGGCCTGCGGGGAATATCCCAGGCATCATACGCACTTTAATCGAGCTACAAGAGAATGCACAGCACCCACCATTTGTAAAGAGAGTGATCCTTATGTGTTCTGTTTCTTCATATTCGATCTCTTTCATTTTGAAAAAATCTATCGCCCTTCATCCGGTCTAAATTTGAATCTATGAACCATACAGCCGGGAAGCTAAATTTAGATGAAGCTTCTTAGGCGCCAACTTCTCAGCAAACCTAACGAAGCCATTCATCTTTACAGTTAGCGGCTGATTATTTCTATATTTCATGCGTTGACGTATCGAGATAGTCTCAAAGTATACGTCACGCGAATGTAGCCTTGTTCACTTCTTCTCATTCTCAAAGTTTTGTCAGATTTCTTGCTGGATGCGCCTCCCTGCTCTTTAAACCTGCTAGAAGATCACGCTAACCACGCCCTTACCCATATTTCTCTACTTAAATCATGCGCCAAGCTATCTAAGATCAGGCGCTGCAAATGCCGCAGCTTCGTGTGCTAGGCAGATTTGTTAGTTTTCTTGATCTTAATGTTGAGCCTTCGCATGTTTGCAATAACACTGTTTGTTTCACATTATTTCAGGAGCTCATGAATGCTGAGATGAATGATCAATCTGGCTTCTCTTTAGCCATATAGCTGAGTAATGAATTGACCACACACTACTCAAGCTCTGTGGAAGTGAAGTAATCAAACAACACGCTCGAATATATGGTCGCAATCAGGTCTTCCTTCGTGGGGTATATAGAACTCATGCCCTGATTCAATCAAACAATTCCAAGCACGGAAGAACAGCAAAAGAGCCGTCACATGGATAACGACTTGGCTATCGTCTGAAGTTCATGTTCAACACGAGATAAATATTGATGGAGCTTAAACAGCATACTCGATACGTAAAGAGGCGATTCAAGTTTGAAGAAAAACATTATTTCTCAAATTTTTATCTTATTACTGGCATTCAAGCTAAGTTTTCCATAATTGTGATCATTATAGATACGATCTTCTATCTGTATGCCGGGGTTTTCATCAATGCACACCCCATGCGGAGTCGCCCTTGTTGTCTCGTATTTCTCAGGCTGTTCTGTCTCCTTCAGTATATACTTATCGCTGTCGCGATCATCGTGGTTTTCCGACCATGTTCGCTCGCACGTTGGCTTGCTACCAATTGTGAACTGCTTGCTAATATTGAACACAGGTATGCCGTTGTTATAAGGACAATTATCCGGGTCGCTAACTAGGAAGGAGGAGGGTAGTATGCGATCGATCATGGAGTCAATTGGTTTTCGCAGAAGTGGTAAAGATGCGATGAGCACGCCAACTGAGAGCTCACACGCTGACCATACGGTCAAATTACTACACTCCCAAGTTGAATCCCGCGTCTTCTTCAAAGCAGACATTTCGACCGTCTTTGCTATTGAGCATGCTGTCGCACTATTCATAAGTTAGATCATTTGATCCTGTGAACAATACCTGCAGACTCACACCGAACCCAAACAGAAGACAACTCGAAATCCTCGTTTCGCGCACTTGCGTAACTGGGTGGTCGATAGATATACAATCGGTGCAGCAATATCAACGAGATCAGTGACGCAATTCAAGACAGCCTAGTACAGTATGAGTGAGGCAGAACCAATTAGACAATAGCTTTCGACAAACCTGGGTATATGTAATGATTTCGTTTGGCGTCATGAAACATTTTGGTTTCACACTCTTATTCCAGTTTGGTTCGAAAGGTGTCCGACAGAACATACCCATGATGGGAAGGACAAATTCAGAGTCGTAACCATGAGAATTGAGGCCCACACTATTGCGAGATAGACTCGTGAGAATTTCATCAGAAGAAGACATGAACAGATGGAATATTTGAGTATCGCACGATTATATTGATGGTTTGTCCAATCCAGAGGTAGTAGCTGTACTGGAAGATATAATAGGGCTTCCTGATGCTAGGATCCATGGTATGACGACCTTGGCCGTGGAAGTATGTTCTGTATCTGATTCCTGTTGCTACAATGCTGAGCATCTAGAACAGGTATCGGCGAAATTTCAAATCGATGAGTAACGACAGAAACTAACTGCTGCAGTGGTAACGAGATAGTCGCTCAGACTGATTTTACGACTAATTTTGATGGTATAGCTGATTCTCCACGCGAGCACTATAGTACTCAACACGCACAAGATGGTTGTTGGGGCTAGTATGTTTGGGGCTCGGTCTGGCCAGAGCTTTTGCTGTTTTTCTGACATAGTAGGTAGATATGATTTGTTATTGCGTCAAGAGGATAAATTCAACATCAAAATGCAATATGGGAAAATGTTCGGCACAATATAGCGTATGATGCGCTTCAGGACTCTGGGAACTCTCTAGGAACGCTTACTGGACAGGCGCAACCCATTGAAATTCATAGAGTAATGACTAGCAATGCAGCATTATACCAACCTTCCAACCCATTTGGCGCCCAGTTCCCCCTCCCGAGCCTAGCTAGCGTGCGGCTCAGCAGATCGACTACCTTCCGTTTCCCGCCTTCGCACCTTCCCGCTGATGAAATCGCACCAATATCAGGCCTTCGCGATGGATTGATTGATTTTTGCTGCCTAGTCTTCACACAATCTACATCTCGGTCACTGTGGCACAGAGCAAATCTCCTGATGCAGATATACCACTCAACTATCCTTGCAATATTCGTTAAACACCAGAACGTATAACAAACCCTGTGTTTCCCGTATGGCTAGGCTATATAACCCCCCTTGTTACGCCTTGTATCTATCTCTCTACGGATTTCGAATATGACGGGAGTCTGCATTCTCCCGGTATAGTAGTAAGAATTGCCATCAGACAGAATTAAGACTATGAAATCTAGTTTAGTAAATAGAAATTGATGGTCATAACACGAGTGTAACGAGTAAGATGGTATTTACGGGCGAGCTGGATCTGCATTGCGGAGGTAATGCACCCAGCATCTCGGGAATCACTACACATTTGCTGCAAATGCGGTATTGGCTCACCCTCTTGGCAGTCACCCAGACCCTCTTCAGTTTCGTTCCATTCTTGATTGATTAACGTTTTTTTTTGCCTCTGATCAATGCTGTTTTGAAGAAATGATGTTTGTCTTAATCTTTCTTTGTTCTGTCGACAGCTGAGCGCTATGTAGAAGAGCGCAGGTTCACTTTGCTGCGCGGAAGTCATCATCCGGACGCCCTTACAGTTCGAAGGAGCTCGTTTTTTTAGCGAGGAAATCGCCTGACCTATGCGCTCATTTTCCTTAACCAAAACACTACCTTTTTATCGCAGAAACATTATGAGAAACTAAAAAACCGTAGGGGTGACCAAACCGGACAATTTTAAATAGCTCTCTCTCTCTCTTTCTCTTTTGATCAATTTCATTACCTTTTTGTATCGTTGTTTTGCTGTTTTGGGCGCACCCAGTCTGGAGTGGGTATATAGATCACACAATTCCTCACTCGAAACGAACTTCTTCGTATCTAGGGAAATTACTGCAAATCCTTCCGCTTGCGACATGTGACAGGTCTAGGTTCGCTGCATACACAACCAGCGAATCATCGTCATGCGGAGTCAGTTGTGGAGTTCGCCAAGACCCGTTGTCCCGTCCCATTCATCCCCTCATCGCGCATTCCGTGCTAATGATCTTCGTTCGTCTCGAACAGGAACCGCTAACCATGGAAAAAGATATGAAAGAGGAAAACATGGCCGATATGAGCTGAAACGATGGCGTTGAGGGATTGATGGTATAATTGCAGCTCAGCTGTGGATCCTCAAGCCCTGCAACGATTTTGCCGCAATATGGAGAAGTCGGCCAGGTCGTACCATCCAAATCCCTCAAGTCGCACTGCAATATGCGACTGCACTCAAATGCAGCAAATGGTAGACGTGTGGCAAATGCCACGATAACTTTCAGTTATTGATATGCATATCTACAATCCGGCAGTTGTTTGGTAGCTACTTCGAAATGTACAGTCTTTGCAATCGAGTAATGGAATGCTGGGTGGGAGGTGTAGCGTAGGCAGGGTATAGCTCAAATCCATCAAAGCTGGTTTGTCAACCCAACTTTCCTGTCATGCTAGTGTTGGGTGCTCTTGCTCTCGATATCGCCATTGATCCACATGTTTCATCCAAGGAGCAACAAGGCGTGCTACCAAGAAGGCGTTGAGCTAGTCAAAATCGGTTGGCTCCAAGGGCCATTCTTCAGCCAGATGTCGGGCGAGATATGCATGTAGGAACGTGTTGCCACGCGCTAAGATTCACAAGGCTAGCTCACCAAGCCCATCTACCACGTGCTCGGTGACTTAGTACTACTGATGCTAATCAGGTTGGAAAACCGACTCATGTTCCAATACCAAATTTATGCACGTACATATACCGACATGAGACTAGAGATTGCGAAGGAAGCCGGTAAAGAGTTAAAGAGCCTTTATGAATCCGCTTCTCGAGATCTTTGTCATTTCCTCCATGACTCTTTGCAGACCTTTCTTTAAAGGTACAAACTAGACCATCTAGGAAGGATGAATTCTTTCAAAATCATAATAGTAGCTGCTCTGCTGGGGCTTTCGACCGCCCGAGAGACCTACGATTACGTTATTGTCGGAGGCGGCATTTCTGGCCTAGTGGTTGCGAACCGCCTTTCCGAAAACCAGAAGAGTGAGTTTGAGATATTCGCAGAGACTTGAGTGAAGCTGATGTTGTGAACTTTAGAGACAGTCTTACTTATAGAAGCCGGTGGCGCAGATGACAATCCAAATATTCGCATTCCCCGTGGCGCCACTTATGCACTCAATGAGTCTCTTTTATGGCCCGACTATGTATCCCAACCTGAGCCATTTCTCGGAAACAATTCATGGAAGGCTCGTGTAGCGCATGTTCTCGGCGGAGGTTCTATTGTAAACGGAATGATGTATGACCGTGGGTCTGCTGCCGACTACGATGCCTGGGAGGCATTGGGTAACAAGGGTTGGGGTTGGAAAGGGTTGTATCCATTCTTCAAGAAAGGAACAGAATTCGTTCCTCCACCCGCGGAGACCATCAAGAAGTTCGGAATTACTTGGGATCCCGAAGCGTAAGACACCACATATCATTTGAACTTGAACTACTTCTAACTCGGCTAATGCCCAGTTACGGAACCGGTCCATTGAAACTTGGAGTCTCGGACACACAGTACTCCGATATCCTCGATTACTTCAAGGCGTTTGAAGGTACTGGTGGTGCACATAAGGCTCTCGATGCCAACAACGGAGAGGCCTACGGTACCTCATGGTACCCAAACACGATGAACCCAAGAACTGGCGAAAGATCGCATGCTCGAAACTCCTACTATGGCCCTGTGATGAGCCGTACGAACTTGAAGGTTGTACTGGGAACTGTTGCGACTGAGCTGGAGTTCTATGACGGTGGGAAGCTCGAAGCAAAGGGCGTCAAAACCATCGAGACAAAAACCGGCTCATCTAAAACCTATTACGCAAGGAAGGAGGTTATACTGGCCGCTGGTGCAATTAATACACCCAAATTTCTTCAAGCCAGTGGCATTGGACCAAAATCTGTTCTGGAAGCTGCAGGAATCCCCGTGCGGCTTGAGCATGATGGTGTTGGTGCAAACTTCCAAGACCATCCTTACACCAGTATTGCGTTCAACATCACAAACATCAGTACGCCAAACGGGAGATCCTTGGACACGGACCCAGCATACAATGCTTCCGCCTGGCAGCAGTACTTTGCAAACAAAACTGGTCCCATTACCCTAGCTCGTGGTAACGCGCTAGCTATGATACCACTCCCTGTTGTCGACCCGGAAAACTATGGCAGTATTGCGGACCGGGTACTGGGACTGAAGGATGACGCTTATTTGCCTTCCATCTACAAGAACAGCAAAAAGCTACTCAACGGCGTCAAAGCACAGCGTAAAGTTCTTGCAGATCTTTTCCGAAACAATAAAGCTGCTATCGTAGAACTCCCCATACCAGATGCCGGTGCATTCATGCTTGTCGGCTTGGAGAAGCCAGTGTCACGCGGCAGCATTACGATCAACCCCAAGAACCCACAAGGGCCGCCACAGGTCTTCTGGAACACGCTCAGCAATCCGATTGACAAAACTCTCTTTGGTTCGTCTATTCGCTACCTCCGTAAGGTCTGGGCTGGTCCAGAACTAGCAAAGTACACGCCAGTTGAAACGTCCCCTGGCGCACAGTACAAGACTGATGATGAGATCATTGATATTTTGGTCGGAAATAACGCCATCCTACCTTCACTGGCACATCCTTCTTGCAGTTGCCCTATGATGCCGGAAGATATGGGTGGTTGCGTATCGGACAAACTCGCCTTTTACGGAGTCAAGCATCTGTCTATTGTCGATGCCTCCATCATGCCTCTGATTCCCTCACAACATCTCCAAGCGACTGTGTATGCTGTCGCTGAGAAAGCTGCTGATATCATCATCAACAGAGGTTAAGGTGATGTAGTTGTTTTTTGGACATTCACTGTATATATGTAAAAAGAGGCAGCTTAGTAAACAAAGTGCTGTGTAAGCAACAGGCTCCCAAATATAGATTTTTTACCTGTAGGCTTTATCGTATTCCACTTGTGGATTTGGCGTCCTCTCTTTTGTTTGGTCGATGCTTCTCATCGTCAAAAGCCATGCGATGGTGTTTCTAATAAGAGCATGTAAGGCCGACCTGGGGAAAGAGCCCGAAGCAGTAGGCGCGCTAGCCTAGTGCGTGACGTCCTAGTAACCCAACCTCCACCCACTCTCCCGGGTGACATGCAAGCTAACCCTCCATCACTCTTATCTCTACTCCTCTGCTTACATGCATGCAATCAGCTCTATCCAGATGTCAGCATCGTTGGCTGTCGCCTTCACATTTATCTATTGCGACATTCGGATGGCGTCCAACCCCCCGCTGTAGCTTCCCCAACGGCGGAAGGTGGCCTTTCTCGGCGTTTTCGGCTGAAATGCTCTCACAAATCTTAGGGCTTACGATGCTCATGCTAACAAACGTTTCATGAAGCGACCAAGACAGATTAATTATTTCAAGCATACTCGATAATTGCAGAAATTAACCCTGCGCTAGGTTCGTTCCGCTTCTAGTATCCCACTTTTCTCCGCGTATGGGAAATGATGGGGAGGCACCGTGCGCCTTTACTCACTTTCGGGCTGTGGACGCGATATTAATTAATTGCAGAGATTTAGGATCAGCCCTGTACATGCATCCGTGAGCATCGCATCCTTTCCAATTCGGGTGAGCTCATCTGCATTCGACAATGAAGGCAGCCAATTGATACGGAGTACAAAATGAGTAACTGAATGTCACGACGCAAACAGCGCAATGATCAGATAACACGTCTCATTAATAACATTAGCGAAAGGTATGCGCTAGCTTTGGTATATCGCAAGACTAATAACCACCAACGTCACAACCCCTGCAACAGGCATCATGACAAACACACAACTAATCATGACTGCATCTAAGATGAGGTCCTGACCTGCTCGACGCGGACGTGGTCCTCCTTCTCGAAGCCGGTGGTACCTCCGTGCTGCATAATGTCCTCGTCAACCTTGCTCAGGTCAACGTGGGCGACCTCGGCCTCATCACCATCGAAGATCTTGGCGACCTCCTCGAGAGTGGGTCCGCGGGTCTCGACGTAGAAGACGGTAACGAAGATGAGTTCGAGGAAGATCCAGCACTGGTTGAAATTAGCAATTGTTCTCAAGATTTTCCTGTAGTGAATCAACTTACAGCGTAGATGGTGTAGAACTTCCAGGTGGGGTGGAGGTACTGGAAACCATAGGGGTTGACGTATTGGTTGATGGTCAGAGCAACTTGGATGAAGAAGTTCATGATCATGAGACCCTTGGCACGAATCTTGAATGGCAAGATCTCGACAGTGTAGGCAACGAGCAAACCAGACCAAGCCAGAGCGTAGGCAACGGAGAAGATCCAGATCATGGCAATGACAGCTTGACCAGCAGCCTTGCTCTTGGTAGCCTCTTGTTGCGATGAAGCAATGGTCCAGACAATGAAGGTAACGCACATGGCTGCAGTAGCAGAGATGAAGAGCGGGCGGCGACCGACGCGGTCAACAAGCAGAGCGCAAGAAACGGAGACGATGAGTGAAAGGATGGTAAGACCACCGTTGATACCAAGCTGGGTGTCAGCATCCTTGATACCGATAGAGTCGTAGACATCAGTAGCGTAGTAGGAGACGAGACCGTTGCCAGACCACTGGGAGAAGAGACCGAGAGATGCGAGGAGCATGAGCCTGTACCTGTTGCCCTTGGTCTTGAAGAAGTCGAGGTAGCTGGAGCTCTTCTGGTACTGGAACTCGAGGCGGAGAGTCTCCTTGATCTCAGCATATTCGAACTGGACAGTCGCGTTGTCAGCATCGCCGTTGGCGTGGTACTTGGCGAGGATGTTAAGAGCCTCCTCGTTCCTCTCCTTGGAAATCAACCAACGTGGAGACTCGGGGATGAACCAGATGGCAGCCAGCTGGATGACAGAGGGAGCAGCCTGAGAGAGAGCCGGGATACGCCAGCACCAGTCGTTGTCGATGCGCTTGGTACCGAAGGTCAACCAGGTGCAGATGATGGCACCAACGTTCCACAAGCAGTTGTAGACTGCAGTAACACGAGCACGGTGCTGAGGGTGGCAAAGCTCGGTAAGGAGGAGAGGCGAAGAAAGCTGGGCCAGAGAGTTACCGAAACCCATAAGGAAACGTCCACCCATGAAGTAGTCGAGGTTCTGGGCGGCACCCTGGATAGCGGCCGCAGCAATCATGATGACACATCCAATGGTGATGCATGATCGACGTCCAAAACGATCGGCAATGAAGGGAGCAATGGGCAACGAGGCGATGGAACCGATGGCGTAAAGGGCAGTAAGAAGACCAAGAGTGTCACCCTTGGGGTCGTTGAAGTAGTCGGTCCAGATTGGGAGAATACGCAAGTTATTCAACATGGAACTAGAAACGGTCAGTGTATTGCTGATGGAAACGCCAATGGTATGTGCTTACCCATCGTAACCCGTGGTCGCAGAAGCGATACAGATGAAGAAGGCATAGAAGTAGAGCTTGCGCAGTCCAGGATCCGACCTCCAGTCGACCCTCTTGAGATGAGGAGCTTCGGCTTGAGCAGCCTCAATGTCGGCCTTGCTCTTGGCCACAGCGCCAATTTTTGGCGTAAACTTCTGGGCGAAACCCATGATGTCCAATACACCTCGTCCGAAGATTGTTGGTAGAACGGAAGCAACGAGAGAACAAGGGCAGGTTTGGTTTGAGACGCACAACCAAACACGGTCCTGTACAGCAGGGAATATAAGCTGTTGACTTGTCGGGGTGGGCTGATTGCAGCTGAACCTGGAAAAGAAGGATATGGTCGGTGGACCATATATATGCCTCCTGGTCGGGGAGCGACCATCGCGTGTGGGACCCAGGCTCGAGAACTACGGCGGTCTAGCGGACCGGGTAAATGCGTCTGCGTCTAGAAAGTCGTGTGGTACTTTCGCGGATGAACCGCCGTATGGGGTAGAGTGGGCGGCAAATCGACCAAAGCGGTGGCCGCAAGGGTACCATAGCCAGGCCGTGGGAGCAGCCTCGGCATGCGGGACGAGCAGCCGTCAAGGAAACTAAGCAACAGACAAGACTGGTCTTGTCTAGCCATGTTATTTGTTGGCTTCTGGCCAAGTTGGGTTGGCAGACGCGGCTGCATAGCATGGCACCAAGGCCCGTAAGCCAAGGCCCGTGAGCCCGGTGTACCTGGCGAAGCTCACGAACAAGCATTGAACGGTCTTACTTCCGGCGCAGCTTTGGCACAACAATTCCGCCAACCTTCTCGAAGGCGGTGATCAGCTGTCAGACAGGCGCAGGCTACGGTTGAATAGATTAACCTGTCTCTAGCCCCTTACTCTAAGCTCGACTTCTCCAGCGACTGAGAACGTGGGCCTGGCAGGAATTTCCCCAGGGCTGCCCCACCGGGATTAGAGGGAGGCATACAATGCACGCGGAGCCGAGGTCAAGGGCCGTTAATTGGCGGTAAGGAAAACAAGGCGGCCCGTGTGGTGGTGTAGTGGGCTGCCCAGGGCACGTGACATGTATTCAAGCGCCAACGGCGAGGAACCGTCATTCATGGGTTGCGAACCCGTCCATCGGGCCGCCCTGCTTGTAAGTACTCTAAAGTACTATCTATGCGACCTCCGCGGCCCCTCCACACCTTGCTTTCAAGCACTCCGCTTATCTTTCGCACCATCAGCGCCTCGCACCGTCCCCAGAAATCTTTCCCCATGGGTACGTCTTTAGTCGTCATGGATACCTGGGGAAGTTTCACGACATACCTCGCCATGCCATATATCTACATATTTCCCTCCACCCCCATTCCAACAGCCGTGTTTCTTGGTAGTGCATTCTGCACTGTCCAGATCCTTGATTAGCGTTCTTCCACTAATTGTTTCCCAAATACCCTGCACACGGGAGCCCTCGCTTATGCCTGGGCGCATTCTGGGCAGTACCGCCAACGGGTGGCTGGCATATTTCTCCATGACAGCTCTCCATGACCCAACACCCGTGCGACCATCAGGCAAATGGCATTGAGGCGTTCCGCCGTGCCACTTCATACCGGTTGAATGGCAGCAAATATTGCGTGTGTTGCCCACAGCTCGATCTGGCCCCGACTGAACTCTCAGTCCCGTCAATGGATCCTCTGGCCGCTGTGCCCTTCCCTCTGGAATCCTGCCTAGAATTCACATGCGGTGCGGCTGATGCGGCAGTTGCTTATGCATTGCTTGTTTTGTTCGTATCCAAAACGAGGAATGAGTAGTCTTGGCTGGTGAACATGCCCTATCGCCTACCCTGTCCTACCACCATATCGCCAATCTCAGCCTCTTGATTGGCACCCTCGACCGTCGAGTAATCAATTCTGGCTGCATCCACACCTAGCTGCATCCGATGCGCTGTTGGTGTGCTGGAGGAGGCCTGATAATTTCGCGCAGTGGCTTGCCTTCGTTTTGGAGACCCATCAGCATCACGAGGTGCACATGGTACCGTGTCCGGTTCCCCAAGCAAAATTGCGGCAAGAGAATACTGAGTACCCACAGCGGCCCTCCGTGATCCACAAAAATAAGTCTCCATATTTTCACGCCGAAATCGCTTAGCTACTACTAAGCTTGGAAGATTCGTTGTGGAGTGAGCGTTTATGCTCTCATCATCCCTACCATGCGCAACCAGTCATTGAGGTACCTGCGCCCGAGACCTCTTCATCAGTGGCTTTAACACAGCCAATACATAATGGTGCGACGTTAGAAATAAGACCCCCCAAGCTCCAACCAAGATCTTGTCCCGCATGCCCGCGTCTAAGCTTCGCAAGGGCTACGCCACGAGAAAGCACATTATCCTGGATCCCCCGCCACCGGGGTATTAGGCTAAATTGCTACAAATCGCGGCATCACCTGACCGAATCGGTGGCTGTTCCAGAAGTGCCTCAGCTACTGTTTTCCTCAAATAAACAAGAATTGGATGGCGATTTTTTTTATAGATCTACATGTGATCGCTCGTGGCGCCACGGTCAACGCAGTATCACGCCCCCAGTGATGAGTCCAGCGGCGCAACACCGGTTCTACTATTGGAACTTTACCCCAATTTTCTGACGATCACGCGAACCGGGACAGTTTGCGTCAAATACTTAACATTTGACAGATTTCTCCACAAGTATGATTGACTTTCCAGATTGGGCTGACATGAAAACTCCCGATTCTTAAGTTTTCATAAGCATTTACATTATTGCTGTTTATTCGAATGACCTCTGGATTTCCATCACCATCGTAAAGCTACGAAATGGCGACTTTAAGAAGCCCGACTTGCTTTTCCTCACATATGCCTAAGGAGGAACAAACGTATATCGCAACTATCTTCTCCCCTCATCCCACGCATGCACAGGGACGATCAGACCAAGCGAGATGCCGTACGAACCGAATATATGCCTTTACATGGCGATCCTCCTAGCACAACAAAGTAATGTTGTCATTATCCTGAAAGAGGCTTTGCTAGATCCTGTCATAGGTGTAGAACAGTCCCGGTTGGCAGTATGCAATCGTCAGCCAAGACACGCCTTACGTTTAGCACGATTTGCCATCACCTGATAGCTGATGACTAGGGCGCCACAATATTGGAATGTACTCGCCACTGATATGTGAGCGTCTGTACAAAAGCGACTGGAAATGGGTTTCAGATCATATCCGGTTGCACAGAAGTAGGACAAAGTACTAATACCACACTTGAACATGTTGATATCGTGTGTGCCCGTGAGCTGACAACCATAGCTCCCCAAACACCTCATCCTATTTGTGCCTTGTTCCAGCACTAGTGATGGAAGTTAGTGTGTTTTTACAACGTACAACAAAGCCTTTCTATCCGACCAATATTCACAAACTAATCATGCCTCTTCTCTACAACTACAACTCCTGCTCCCCTAAATACTAAAGACGTCGTAGAGTTATTCATAGCAACCATGGAAGCCATCTTTGAGAATAAACCAGACTCACATTACTTACCTTTCTAGACAGTAGGACACTGATTCAGAGTAACAAAGCACTTAATAGCCCGATTTCTATAAGACACTCTGCTACTTTACCACCTACCGACAGAATCCTCGACCTTGCTTCCATCTCATCGCCACATGGTATATATGCAATACGAGTTCCTCGGAGCCAACAAGTCTCACAATTTCGAATCGTCATATGCTACAGTGTTACTAAAATGGTGAGCGGAGAAAGGCAAGTTAGATTCTTAATTTCTTGGTTTTAATCTGGCTATTTTAACCAGAATGAGAAGTTTTGGACTGATGGGAGTGCTCGGGCTGAGTGGGTTCTGAGCGGAGAAAGAGTTGTAGCCTTGATGAGGGAGGTGGAGCAGCTGATATTTGCCAGGATCTCTTGATAGAAGATACTTTCCTAAGAATTTGAAAGATTGGAGTACTGGATACGGCAATGCAGGCGTGTTTTGCGTCAGTGAATGGGTCTTAGAAAGAGATTGTATTTTTGATGGATTTATGGTCTATTTGTGGCCTCCACCTGTACCAAGACGCAGTACCCGGACCGTACATATTTCATATAACGCCTCCATTCCCGCTCAAAATATAAAGGCTTGGTGATGGGCATTCTTTCGAGCGCAAACCCAGCAAACTTGAGACGGGCAAACTATTACACCAAACTCATATGAGACTTGAGTCATAGACTGGTATGCCAGCAGGGTTGCTGCTAGCTTTGACACCCAGTTATCACCCGTCCGAACGACGAACATGCCTTTTGGAGCATCAAGTAACTCGTTCCAAGTGTCCACCGCCGTAATATATTCTGATTCGGAGTTGAGTTCGTTTCGTGTTGACATGAACCCTGATCGTCAAGCCTACGCACCATTTGAGATGGATTCAAGTACACCCCCTTCCCCTCTTCTTCTTCTGCCTGTTCTTCTAGTTCTTCTTCTAGCTTTTCGTCTATTTCTTCTTCTTCTGCTTCTTTTTCATCATCCTCATGTGGCACATCATCTACATACATCGCAAAATCAATCAGAGGTCAAGGGTCTACGTTAGCAATCCATTCGCCTTTGTCTTGGACAGAAATGACAGACTCGAGGAAGTATATCTGACTGTCATATGCTCCTCGCAGTCCGTCGAAGGGAGGGACAAGGTAATCAGTAAATGACAGGTGCATGGACGTGTTTTCGAATGAATGAGACGCAGAACCGTCAAAACGATCATAGGAATCAACTTTCCAATTTCCGGCGTCAATATCTCGCATTATAGGTTGCTTTGGAGGTAGGAGAAAGTTAAGTCCTGGTTTACCGATGTATGCTTCCAACAATGCAGGGGCTGAAGGGCAGACGCCGTCGAAAAGTGCACCGAGTTGTCTCGCCAGCACACGACTTGAGCCAAATTCGGCGTTCTCTTTGTGTTTTTTAGAAAGTGCATTTCTGAGCGCTTGGTATTCTTTGGGTGCTTTGCATTTAATCAAAGTAAAATTGAAGTTGATGTTTGCCGCCGCTACTGTTACTTCGTTTGTTGCAGCCGCTAGTGCAGCTTGGAGCCTACCGATGGCCATTTGAAGTATTTAGATGTATAACATAGACAGAGGATAATGTGGGAAGGAATCAATGAGATAGTCGTTGGTGAGAGTGGATTTATAGCCCTATGTTGCACTGCCCCAGGAGGCATTCAGCTCATAGCCTTGTTGCCTCGTCGCCACGCAGCACCCCCGCATTGGACAATAGACACAGCCTTGCCAAATGTTATGTCAACGCACGCTGCCTGCGCTGAGATGGAGTGTATATATCTAACTGCCAATACTATATGATAAGCTCGTGGTCTTGTGCATGCCTTTTAGCATAGTAGGTGGCGGGCGTAGTTTTTTTGACTCGTCCCTTACAGGAGGCTGAGGTTCACTATTGCCCTACGATAATCTTCCATTTCTAATGTAAACCTAAGTGAGGGTTCCTAACTGCTCGTCTTCCTTGTTAGAGGAGGAGTCATTCCTGCGGTTACTTACAACATCTGAAACCTTAACAATTATCTACAGCGTAGCTAAGAAAGGGTTGTAGTTTATAATTAGGCCTATGGGCCTCTTATTTATGCGTATGAAGACGATAGACGATAGAGTAGTGCTAAGCAGCATATGTTAGGTAGCCCGCTTTCTATATACCGCATAAATACTGTATAGATCATCTTAGCAAGAATAACAGTCTGTAACAGTAACTAGGGCCGTAATATTTATATTATCCTTATTATTAATGATAAATGCTACCTCTAGAGTTGCACTAAGATAAAGACAAGAAGATATTAAAATAGCGACGAAGTTAACTTCTAGGTAAGACCACCGGGGGGTACTTTTTCGCATTAAGGCTCCAGATGGCGACTGAGGAGGGTAATGGGAGCTCTACAGTCGCTGTTTCTACTTTGTTGCCCATCTCGATGAGACTAATATCGCTTCCAGTAGGGTTCTTCTCTGCAGAGCGATAATAATTCGCCCGGGAATGGGGCGTGCTACCAATTGTAGCCACAGGGATTTTACTAAACTGGCCGCTACCGCTGTTTGTACTCTTAGAATTATGAGTACCCATGCTGGAGCCCACCTTCTGGAGGAAAGAGCCCATGGACACCATAAGACTTCCCACACCAGATATGCTGAACATAGGTCGTATTCTGGGAAGGCAGCATGCAATGAGAGCGACGTTGGTTTCAACAACAGTCCAGAAAAGACCATGCGAGGTTATGCCAGTGATGTCGTAGGTAGGCATACCCATGATGTACTGCTGGTCGAGGGCAGCAGAGGGTGTGTTCTGCTTGATACAGATGACCATGCGAACAATTGCAGAAGCAACAGCGAATCCTCCAAGTAGGAAAACACCACACAACTGAATCTTGCGGAGAGTGGGCATTTGTAGACGCCAGATCTGTTGGAACCGTAATTAGCATCAAGTTCTCTTTTAACTACCGCTCATCAAGACTCACCCAAGGAAGTGGCAGAAGTAGGATGCACAGGTCAAAAAAGGCATCCAAGACTGTGAACGCGATAGTCGCTTCAAATCCAAAAGGGCAATTCTCGGCAATGCTTGCCAGAGAACCCCAGTTGGCAGCGAAGTTCAGGCGGCAGTCGAAGATGAACCCAATGAAGAAGGCAATTGTGAAAGCGACAGTGATGATAACGAAGACCAGAGAAGTCCACTGAAAGCTAGGCCATGCAAATATGCGACGGTAGAGGAAGAGGAAAGCGAGTTTCGTAAAACCAATAGCCAACGGCTGCATGATGAAGATCATGTACACACACTACTATAATTTTAGTCTAGTAAACACACTAGAACGGAACAAGGGGAGTCACCTTCTCTAAGATTACTAGTTCTGGTGTAGTGCTGTTGATCCAGCCCTCGACGTTGCTAGGATCATTATGACCACCAATAATTCCCTTAGCCGCACCTGAAATGATGATAAGCCAAAAAACCAGCTTGCTCCTATTTGAGTTGCGTTTTACCATAGATCATAACGGTGGAAACACCAATAGTTGGGAGAAGAGCCAGGAGACAAAACAAGTCATCGAGATGCTTGCTGAAACACGCATCTCTAAGTCCGTTCGCCTTGTATCCTGCCACACCCAGTCGAAGGGCGACGACAATAACGGTCGCGGCTGTGAGGGCGATACCAGTGGTCAAGCACGAAGTAACGTTGATGTATTCGTAACCCATTTTGCCGGTGATTCAGCGGCTTGGAGACGGTAGTATGAAATGACTGTAGTGATACTGACAAGTGGTATTCATTTGGGTTATGTACCACATGGCATTCACATCTACGAAAGACTGAGTTTAATCCATACTTCAACCCGCATATATACCTGCACATTCTACGGTACACCCTCCGAACTTTGGTTGAGAGACCTAGTTGCTTCCGGATCCATGGGCGCAAGCAAGGCTGCCTGTTGCAGGCGAAAGTGACGTGCATAGGCCCCATAAACTGGAAAAAGGCAATGAACGACATCTAGAAGGTCGCCCACACGTCGGTCTAGATTCGATATCCGATGCTAGTCTAAGGAAGAGGACTGATCTTCGATCGCCAGAGTGGAGCTAGACTCAGCTCGACCCACGGTATTGGCACCTAGGGCACGACCGCAAACCCTAATTATACGCCATCTCGTCAACTCTTGCCCCGCGCACGGTGTATCAAGCTGGCCATCGTGAGTATTTGATTTGCAGGTTTGCTGCAACGTCTTCCAATCGCTACCTCTCACATTTGTTATCACCATGTTTGCTCGATACAAGCCCCTATCATCAGGCGACAGTGCTTCGGAACATAGTCCGGATCTCGACTCAACGCACAGACGACTCTACCGAGTGATAGCACTAACAGTGCTTACAATCGCTAATGTCTGTGTACTAGGCTTGTCCATAGCTATCTGGCGCACCACACCTACCACCAGCCTTGCTACGCCCAACATCCCCGATGCACAACCCAGTGAACTTGCTAGAGTAGAGTCGCTTCCTATAGAGTTCATTCCTTTCTATTGGAATACGCCATGGGGTTCGCCTAACGCGTCGGAAGCTGATCGGCTATGGGACAACATCAACACTGCGCACGGTCATATCGCAGTGGCCCATGAGTTCGCAGCAGAGAACCACGTAAGTTAGCTCGAACTACTTCCCTTGAAACCATGGCAGTGTGGGTCAACGGTTGATAGCTAACACATTCAAAAGTGGCCTTCCTCCCTGGACATACCCGGAAAGCCTGGTAAAGGATTGTATCTCCTACAGGCCTACCACCAACTGCACTGCCTCGTACGTCACTTGTCTGATTTTGAGCTTTTCTTTCTATCAGCAAACTTCTCTAAGCGTTTTACTACAGCGTATTGTTCGCGCCGCATACTTAACTCTAAAGCGCCAAGAGCTCCCTATCTTCCCTTCGGATCACGTCCTGCATTGCTTTGACGCCCTCCGTCAGCACATAATGTGCCACGCGGACAACACTCCACTCTATGGCCACGGCCATGGGACAGCTGGTGACGGACAGCTACACCAATGCCGGGATTGGAACGCGCTTAGGGATTATGCAACAAAGAATACGGCGTGCTTTCGCGACGGTAAGCCTGGTATGAGCTTTGAAGACCGGTTTGGCGTGTGTGATGACGGAACAGATGGCTTAGAGGAACATGCGCCGGTACTGGCAGTATCATAGGAAGATGTCTTGAGAAGCCGTTGCATCAGGGTGATGAGACCCTTCCGGGTCTCTATAGGTTTTTCACAGTTTGAATGTCGTTACTGCACTGTGTTATCAACATGGCCGAATTCGGATTTGAACAGCCAGCCATGATGTATACCATAGAGTAACTGTGCTATACACTATGTCTGCAAACATATTTTGCGCTAACAATTATGATAAGGGGGCAGAAGAGCTCTACGCCAACAAAAAGGGTCCTTGGCTTCTCTAAAGTTATGTTTCTAGGTCTGCGATCTAGGGGGCAATGTCTAGAAATGTCGGTAGAGACTGTGGCTTGCCTGGTTCCCCTTATTCTAGAGATTTGTGGATCTAAATAACGCTAATTGGTCGGACAAAATACGATTACATAAATAGTGTATACGTTAGCGCATATCGTGGAGGCGTCTGTAGTTACTCCTGTGCACCAAATAATGTAAAGGTTCCATGATTTGGGGGAAAAACGTGTGCTGGAAACGGTGTTCTGGCCCAAAGCGGATTGAAAAAGTAGGGTGCGGCTGATTCTAGAACCGCCACATCATCCCCCGAAACTGGTTGATACAAGCTGCGCTATCATTTTATGATTCACTGCATGCGTGTTGAAACTTTCAATCACCTGTTCGCACGACTACTGCGAAACCTCAATTATGCGGGCGTTTTTGGTCTGAGTGCCCTTTTTATCTATACCTGTTTAAGGATAGTCAATCTGTACCAAGGTCTGGAAACCTCACAAATTTGATATCTTTGGTATAGAGAGCGTAAGGGGTAGAGTTCTGGCAACCAAGGCGTTTCGGAATGCGGACCGGATACGATTAATTCGCTTTGAGTCAACTATTCGCAGGGGAGTTGACAACAAAAAAGATCGAGGCACACTCCACTACGAGCTTTCTTCAACGCGTATAAAGCGTCAGCGGAATTCCAATCAATCTAGAATCGTCAGCCTCAATCATCTCCACCTCGTTTCCACCAGCATCTTATATTTGGTTATCCTGGTCATCAAAGACTTCTCTCTCTTCGTATTGTAAATTGTTCAACTACTTCGAATTTTCATAATGCAGCTCATTACTCCTTTCTTTCTACTTATAGCTGGCGTGACCGCCTCCCCTCTTATTGGAATCAACGTTGGGGGCCTCAGCGTCGGTGTTGCCCTTTCTAGTCCTCTCATTAATTTAAGTTTGGAAACAAGCAAGTCATCTTCTGCTGTTGCTACTTCTACTAAGGGAACGACTACCACTGCAACCACGGCCCCGACCATTACTGCAGCCTCTCAACCGACTATGCCTTCGTCTTTCTCTGCTCCGGTCCAGGGCCAAGGCATCCTCACTCTTGACAACCTGCCTGCTATGCCAGCCGTCATTGACAAGAGTCTTTCTGGTGTTCTTGGCGTTGTTTACGGTCTTCGTATGTCCATTCCCTAGCTCACTCTTATATCGCTATTCTTCAAGCTGCTAATATATCCTTTCAGTGTCTGGAGTTTGCAGCACTGATTATAAGTGCACTATCACTGTTGCAGGATCTATTCAATCTTTGCTTGTAGATGGCGACAAGTACGCAATGAATAGCACTATTTCAGCGTGGTGCGATCAGGGTCGGTGCTACGGCTCTGCCGATATCCCTCTTACTGCTACCGCTCCATTCATCATCACTTGCGACCACTTGACTGGAGGCACCAGTGCATGCTCGGCCACTATTTCAGGAGCTGCTTCCGCTATCTTCACTAACGGCAGGCAAGTAGGTAAGTACAGTCGAGATTACTGTTCTCAAAACACCGCTAATAGACTTTAGAACTCTGGGGATGGATCACACCCGCTGGTTACTGCAAGGATGGTATTTGCGTTGCTTCTATTACCGCGGTTGGCGACCCAATGTACTAAGCGGAGCAGAATAACTAAGATTCCATACTTGTTGTTATAGCGTGAGCTAAGTTAACACTGTATACATTCTCTGCTTAATTCTTTTTATATCACATGTATAAACATTAATGGCTTCGGTCTTCTGAGATGCATTTGTTGGAGAAAAACAATTCTGAGATTTATTAAGACTAGTAAGTAAAGCAGATAATCAAAACAGCAACCACGCGCATCCATCCTCAGCTCCACTCATCGACACCGTCATGTGTCAACACGAGCGATATGTTTGCGACGCCGTAAAGTCTCATCCCTATCCTATTAAACACCCAGCGCTTTACCGTAAAACTAAAGAACTATACCTATCTACTCCTTACTCTCGTTCAACTACACCCTCTCTATAAGCTCCCTCTACTAATCATTTAGATGTCTAGCTTTTAAAGCCTCTTTAATATAGACTATGTCTTCTTAAAGCTACTACGTAGTATCTAACTTAAGTTTTAACTCTAATGTATTAATAGTTATAATATCTACGCCCGACTAGTATATTATAAGCGTGTCTAAATTACTTACGTAGGCGTACTCACCTATTTACTAGATCGCCTATAGATTAATAAGGCTAGTAGAGTCTAGGCTAGCCTCTAATCTATAGAATCTATCTATTATCTTGTTAAGGGCGCAGAAGCCTTCGAACAAGTATGCATTAACCTATATTACAGAAGAAGAAGGATAAAGAAATCAAAGCTATCGTACGACGTCTGTGATGGGCTGGATAGCCTATCACAGTTCAGATGGCGGCGGCCATCTTATGTATCAACTACGCAACGATATCAGCATGCTCTGATATCTTGTGCCAGCCTTTTTGGCGCGGTGGGCGCGGTGGGCGCGTTGTAGTTGCGTGCGCAGTCTCATAGGACTCGACCCGTTACAACGTCTCTCGCTTTATACTCTTGCCTTAGGTTCCTTCGTATGAATAAGGTTTCGTGACTAAGCGGTGTGAAGAGGACACTGTAACGGTTCGAGTACCTACCGAACCAACATCCGAAAGGGATCCGAACATGGGCACGAACTAGCCTAGGGCAGATCTGCTGATATAAAACCCCACCCATTCTCCATAGTAGCTCGAGAGATTTTTGATATCCTTTCGTACAAGGCCTATAGGTGTCTATTCAAATCAAGGCTCGTTTGACGTCCCACGCACTCCCATATGCCTCTGAGTGACACTACTGCCGATACTGATCCGAGTAGTCTTGCCTGCGCCGTTACAGGCACGTGATACAATCACGTGTTTCACTCACGGGCGTAGCCCATTACAAAGTTAAGTTATAAACATTAATTATATTTAAATAGTTAAATTACTAATATACTAAAGATTACATATATGAGCTTTTAAGTGGTTTAATTATTAGTAGAGATATTTCTATTTTCAAGATCCTGAAGTAGATACTGTAATAGGCAGGTTAAAATAACCGTGCGCGCAGCTACTCGCGCCGTCCACTTGACCAAAAGGTTGGCACAAGACAACAAGCTTGTCTTGTTGTCATGGTAGCTGGATATATATACTCGGGATCAGCGGGCCCCGCGTACCACGCTAATCGCTTACTTGGCATAGCCAAGTCATCAAGGGCATAGCCCATCACAGATACCTGTTGGCCAGCCTATATAAGACGGTCCCGCCATGCACGAGCCAGACGTCAAGACTTGGCGGCGCATGGCATTGCATAGCCTCAATCCACAACGACATTACGAACACCACGACGCCATGAGCCAAATGTGGAGCCAGCGCCGTCTGATACGAGGAACCAAGTCTTGGATGATGTTTGGGATATGTCCCGCCCAGACCCGACACTTGACATGAAGTCTCCTACACTCGCTGCTGAACCCCATATAGCGCTACCGCTCGTCGCATCGTGCATACTGCTTGCTGCCGGACTATAGTACCCATACTCTCGTTACCTTGACATCGCATCATCGAACAGCAACCATGTTTGGAAAAGCACCACTTCTTATCCTTGCGGCGGCGGCATGCATCCAGGCCGACTTTATGGTGTACACCGAGCCTCCAATCCCCACATCCGCGATACCCTCATTTCCAAACCCATCGGACGTACGTACCATCCGCTGCATCAATCTTACATCCTGCTAATAAATATTCCAGGCTGCCAGTTGGACTACTTCCGTCCTCCTCAACGCACGACTCGCTTACGCGTCTTTCACAAGGTCCCTCGGCGAGCCCTATCAATCCTCCCTCACGTCCGCGCGCTCGGAAATCGATGCCTTTGTCTCAACTGCCTCCAACTATAGCATACCTCCTGAAGTCACCATGGCCGACGAGACACCGACATTCTTTTCCAAGCCAGAATGGTACACTGCGCTGCCGAGTCGGGCAAGGGCTTTCAAGGAGCAGCAAGTTAGCGACCAGTTCAGTATCGTACGAAATGTCATTGCGGCGCGGGTTACATCGGCAAGCTCGACGGGCGCGGCGATGCCGACAGCAGTTCCGGGACAGTGGTTCGGCGCCGAGTTCGGCGTCATGGCTGCGGCGGCCGCGGCAGCATTCTTGTGAATTGGAATGGCTAGAAGGGCGACCTAACATAATTCAAAAATGATAAACGAGATAAATAGGCGTTGCGGATAATTTTGGGCATGGAAAGCATGGGAAGTCATGTTATAAATCAACTACTCTGGTGAGTAGAAGGTGATCTAATCATCATGCGCGAATGGAATAAATCAACTCAATTTGAACAACCAACTCACATTATCTGCGGTTTGCTTTTACCCTATCTTCTCCAGGTCCTTGAGAAACCTACAAGCCTTGTCCATGAAAGACCTAGTGCGACCATCAGTAGTCAACTCATGATCAGCATCTGGCAGCACACCACTCTGGTCACTCGCCAAACCCATTGGCATCGCATCCACCCATTTCTTCAACAGCGCCTCTTTATCCACGTTTGGCGGCACTATCTCGTCTTTCCCAGACACGATAATCAATGTCGGCTTACCGAGTCTACCAAACGATGATTCATGCGTGGAAGCAGGTAAATCAGAAGAAAAGAAATCGTCATCTCCCCCAACAGAGACAAGTGAGTGCCAGCGATACGCACTAATCGGCGACGAGAAAATCGGAGGAATAAGATCTGACGGCATAATCTGCATCTCCTTACCCTCTGCAATAAGATCTTCAGCGTGCTGAAGACTAGTATGCAGGAACTTCGGAGGCATGAGTAAACTCGCAGTCTCGCGATCCGAAGTAGGCGCTTGCAAAATATATCCGTTGACTGGAGGCGATGCTGGAAGCGTAGTTGCGTACGTCATGATAGCCTGGCAGCCTATTCATTCCCGGTGGAATCAGCGCTTTTTGCTTAAGTCATTGGGAGGTGAAAGAGAATAACATACCAGTCGAACTCCCCATCAACACCACCTTCTCCTTCCCCACGCTCTCTCCCTTCAGATACCTCACCAGCGCCGCAAGATCCTCAACATCGTTCTTCAGACTTGAATATCCGAATCCTGTGTAACTGCTCCGCATCCGGAACTCGAATACGGAATACGAGAGGGTATCTGTTTCTGTCATGTTTTCCATGGCACTGTCTATCTTGAGAACCAGACTTGATGTTTGCGGTCCGCTGGTGAGACCGCCAATATATACCAGCGCATTGGGTGACTCTCTTCCGCCATACTCATACGCGCACGAGTGCGGTGTTAGGGAGGTGAAGGGATGGATACGGACGGTGTAGGGGCTTGGCATTGTATATAGGATAGTACAAAGATGATGCCATTGAAGTAGGATTTAAGGCGAATAGATATAACATTTCATAGACAGGACTGAAATTCGAATAGGTAAGGTCTTATTTGTATGTGTTTGTTGGGGCGGAGTTGTGTTGCGTATAGAGGCATACGTGATTGGCTGCGGGATGCAGTGGGGGTACGTACTTAGTCCGCCTTACAGTAGTGCGGTATGGTGAACGATCCATAACTTTCTAGGCAACTCGAATGGCACTTGTTCATACATGAGTATTGATAGAAACATCTTAGTCTCTTCAGCTGCGTCATCAAGCCAGTCAAATATCATGGTGCAGCCATTAAAGAGAGAATACCATTGGCACATGTCTGCAATTGCAGTATGGAACTCACCCAGTGAATATATACTTCACTAAAGCAACTCAAAATTGAACAACACTGAAAAAAACATCTTCCCAACCATCATATTAGTAGATACAGGAATTGGTAAGCAGATATTATCCCAACTCTCACATTTCCATGAAGCATGGAATACCCAGAGCAAAGACGAACGTTCTGTACATCCCCCGCTAGTTACCAGAAGTATCACAAACTTTACACATGAACCATGGACCCCTGGATTTTCGCAAAGTCAATACATCAAAATAATTTTAATCCAGAACTTCAAAATCAATAAAGTAGACTCCCAGCCTACTCAACCACCCGTAAAAATCCCAAACTCCCCACCTCCAACCGTCCCACCAAGCATCTTCTTAAAAAGCAACTCCCACTCCTTCCATATCCCACTGCATCCCATAGTCCCTCTCCCACCCCAAAAAAAACATCCTTCAGAACCTCCACCACCCAACCTACCCTCTCTCCTCCAATGAACCCACCACACCCGCCCTTCACCCCTGCCCCTCCAACTCGGCAAACATGACGTCAGCGGCCCCAATCCCACTTTACCACCACATCACGCATGATGCACAAAAAACCTCACCAATACAATGACCCCCTTCCCTGCTTATCCGAGAAACAATGTCTTCTTCTGAGATCTAACATACCAACCTCTTGTCTCCGCCTTGCCCCGCTATTCTCCCCTCCCCCCCCTTCCCCCCCAGCCAAACGCACTCTACCAAGAAAGACAAAAAGGAACGAAGAGGGAAAATGGGCATACCCTACTCCCGCCAAATAAACGCCGCCTTCGAACAAGTCACCCCGCTCGTCGCCGCCGGCTTCACCGTGCTGCGCACAACACGCGACATATCCATTTTGCTTGCAATAATCCAGGTGTTGACTGTTGTGTTACTGGCGCTGATACTAGGGGTCTTGGTTTTGATTGTTTACTGTGTGAATCCGGATTTGGAGGTAACGTCTTTTTCCCTTTTCCTATTCACTCTGATTTTCTTTTTCTTTTTCACTTTGCAGAGGAAGGAGGGGGGGTGGGGTAGGCAGGGGAACGGAAGAAGAAGAAGAAGAAGAAGAGGAAGAAGAAGAAGAAGAAGAAGAAGAAGAAGAAGAAAGGAGGGAGATAGGAAGGGGGTGGGGGCTGACGAGATGGTTAAACAGGAAGAACGACAACGCATCATAACGCCCTGGCTGCGCTACGCAGCGCGGATAAGTATCTGGGGCGTTATTAAATTTGTCGTCGGGCTCGCGGTGATATGTAGTGCAGCGAGCGCGGCGGTGTGGAAGGGTATCGTGGCTAAGCAGTGGGTGGAGGATGTGGAGTATGAAGGGAATGTGCGGGCGGAGATGGCGTTGGAGGAGTTGGATGAGGAGAGGGGGGATGATGAAGGGGGGAAGAAGGTGGGGAGTAGGAAGGGGAAGAAGAAGTGAGGGTGCGCAGTCTTCTTGTTTGATATATTCTCGTGTGTTAAGAAAGAAGGAAGGAAAGATAGTATTCGTGTCAACTATATAACGTCACGAAATCCTCTTCGGTGCAGTATACCCACCCCGGTCAAGCAATAACAACGCAAACATTCCGCCCATAACTGGTCTCGCCTTGAACTCGATTCCAGGAGGAAACGTTCCATCATTCGTCTGGTACAAATCTGTAAATGGCCTACTTGTCGGCGTCTCATTCACCCAAGTCGCCAGATCATGCAAAAACATGTCTCGAGTTTCGTCACTCGCGATAGCGGCGCAAAAGATTTCCCAGTCGGATTTGGTGTAATATCTATTCCGCGTGTCGAGAGGGACACCATATTTTTCTTTAACTGTGGGGTAGAATGCGGATTGAATATCATAGACTTGTTGAGGGACAAGGTCGAGCTTGAGCAGGCGGTCGTTGTAGAGGTTGTAAAGTAGGCCGTGGGTGCTGGCGTTTCCGTAGTTGAGGATGGCGTGAGGGGGGCTGGTGGCGTTGTTGATACCGAGTTGTTGCCACTGAGAGATGTAGTTATGCGCAATGGACGTGTAGTTTTGGGCGTCGGCGGTCTCGTTGATCAGGCTTGACATGCGCGACATGGCTTCGATGCCGATGATGCCCTTGAGTGCGAGGTTGGTTTGGTTCACGAGATGGCCGGCGAAATCATCTGTTGATAGTTGTTCTGCGGGGTAGAGGCTGTCTTGGACAAGATACTCGGTCCATTGCTTGAGGATCTTGTAGTGCTGGCGGATGTAGTCGGTGTTTCCGGATAGCTGGACATATTCCAGGACCATGACCATGTGGTTTCCGCACTCCTCTAGCGGCATAGGCTCATCTTGACCATCTGGATGGCCCGTCGCATTCGGGTAGTGCGTACCCAGATCGTGAATTGCCCACTTGTTCGGATAGTGCCCGCTCTCCTGGTTTTCGAAATGGGGATCGAGCATCAGCTTCATCAACTCAGGATTGGTGTAGTAGAAGATGGGTGAGGCGGGATAAATCACATCCACCGTCTGCGTGTTGCCGTTTGATGAGATTTCCTTGAGAAACAGATAATGCTTCTCCTCGGTTCCGACGAGTTGAGTAGCGCCGAATGCCTGGCGGGCGGCCAGAGTTGTCAAAATGGCGTAATCATCTCCTCCAGCTGCCTTTGAGTCGCTTGAGATTTGATCATCGAGCTCAGTGGAGAGCTTGATTGACTCAGAATAGTCTTTGTAAAAGAATGAAAGTGCTGAAAGATCATCTGCAAAATAGCTCTTCCATAATGAAGGTAGAGTCGTAAGTCCTCCAGCGCCCAGAAACTGGATGGCATCGTCTTGACACACACCGATGGTAAAGAGTTGACTTTTCCCTTCCGAGCCTACTTTCTGGAGATCTAGAGAATAAGCAAAAATAGGCCATTGGTCATTGATTGCTCGGAAATTGGTATCTTGTGAGTTGTCGAGCTTGCTGTTGTTGTGGAAAGTTTCGCGGACTTTGGCATCAGCACCGGACATGTACGTCAACCCCTCTACTGATTTAGTCCCGTAGTACTGAACATGTTAGACTCTAAGCATACAGTGACAAGTAATGGCAGCACTCACCCAGTTTCCCCATTCTGCTCGATCGCTGACTTCGCTAAACGTCTGCTGGTTCTGCTTCCACACCTTGTGGTAGTGTATGCCGTCTGATGTGGTGCCAAAATCCCACTCGGCCATGGCACCGATGTCACCAGATGTCCATTCTATCCAATTGTTAGCCACTTGTTGCGTTCCCTGGAGGAATTTCTACTTGCCAGCACTAATATCAGTGTAGATTTGAACACTGTGCTCCGAGCCATCTAACGCAGAGACTTCGACTTCCATGTAAGAGAAGAGGAGTGATTGGCGCTGAAAGTCGGTTGGAGTAAGTGGTGACAGAAACGTGACCTTGAGTTGGATTTTATTGTCGGCATTGAAGGTGAAGATACTTTTCGTTGATGTGTACTCAAAGGAGGTTTGATTGGCAAAGTCCTTGAAACCGTTGGGTGCGCCCATCCAAAGAAGAGTTTTTCCATCAACCTTGATCATGCCCGCCCAGCCTAGCCACTGGCCGCTGTAGACAGTTAGTTTAGATGTTCAAAAATATTTGAGGAACAACGCACGTCCAGAATGATGGCCATTGGCCTGGTAGGTACCCGCCATTTCCACCGCTGCTTCCTGCAGGCAACCATGTACTCAGATAAGGACCTTTGACAGCTAGTGGCAACGACGGAGGACGCGCCGGAGTAAAGGTCGAGGTGGATTGAGTTACAGCTGTTCGAAGCAGGCTACAGAGCCCGACTAACAAAGGAAGATGCATAATCAGCACTAGGCGCTGTCGCCAAGTGAATATACGAAAACTTGGGAGAAGCCATGGCCGCCAGATGTTATATACACAAGTTTGATACGCCCTTGTCCGGGGTCACATTGCGGCCACTGCAGCTAGCCATGGGCGAGGTAACAGGTATGCGGATATGAATAGAAGGCGCCAGAGTTAAAACCGAAAGCTTTATGGGTTAGGTGATCAGCACTAGTCTCAAGTGGGCCACTGAGCAATCTCCTCATGGCCGTGAATGGCAACGAGCAAATTCCATATGAACATAAGCGGCACTTGATCTCGTTGATGCGAATCCACGTGGGGACATGTTGGTATCACTTTGCGTTGTCAGTGGTACATCCGCAAACATGTCTCAACGGTGCGACTAGTGTGGGGAAAATTGACCACAACGAAAATCAGACCGGTACCAAAAAAAAGTTGAGTAGAGACACGGCTAAGATCAGCGGTACGTAAGTCCAGCCCGTTCTTAGTAGCACACCTGACCTGATTCAAAAGATTGTGTTCGACCTGCCAGTCTGGATAGAGGGCACGAGGCTCTGCAGTACAGCAGCGCTTCATTTATTGAGGACCATGAAGAATAATTAAGTCGAGCCTGATCATGCGCCTCGCTGTTAGCCCCTTGTTGTGAGATCAAGGGGTTGCATGGCAGGCCAGGGTTTTGTCCGAGTGATCTTGGCGAACGATGGTTTGCTTCATGCAGGAGCGGATTGAGCGCCAGCAGACTTGACGATACCTCGTGACTCTACCTTGGTTGGTGTTGAGGAGTGACGCAGTACAGATGGCTAGCGGCAAAGGGCACAAGATAGGATGGGGTTGCCAGGCGCTGCTTGACGTTGGTATTAGCACGGGCGTTGGCGTAGGCGTTGGCGCTGATGCTGGTGCTGGTGCTGGTGGCAGCATGATCGTACGCACTAAGCAAGTGCTAGCAGGTGCATGATGCGGGGAAGGCTTGCATGCACCCTGCCGTATTTTACCTCTATCAGGAAAGTGCCATCGGCTCACCTGCAGCTTTACAGTCACTCGAGCATGTAATCACACTGGACAAAACCAGGCTGTATAGGCCAGAATTCATGGCTGTCAAGGGATCACTTGAGGTAGCATGGCCACGTTACGATCAGAGAGCATGTGTTCTAATGACCTTGTCAGTCTTCGCCATAAGAGTCAAGCAGTGTTCATTCTACAGCTAGGATCAATTTAATTGACTTCCTCATACATACAACAATCGGCTAACGTGAGCCTATGATGCGTCTTTCAGACTGCAACACGTTGGACCAAGGTAGTCACTGCTACCACAGCGCCAAGTAAAGCACAATGCATCATGAGATCCTTCCATCCATAGACCCGACCCTTCCAACCATTGCTGAGCCAACGCCAGAAACAACCATAATCGTAAGTGAAATGAAGGAAATAGGGTATCCAAAAGCCAATCCATGTGGCTAAAGCGAACAATATCAGGTCATGGGCGACGACCTTGGAGTGGGAAATTAATGTGAACAAGAGAAGGAAAAAAAGAAAAGAAAATAGAAGCGATGTCAATAGGGTATCCCCAGTGCATGATATAGCCCGACCCACGCAACACCAGACATAATTTTATACAATCAGAACCCACCGTATCACGACTGGGCAACCCATGGACGGCGAACATTCTCGAAGCGCTCTGCACAGCCGCGAAGCCAAGCACAGTCCAACACATCGTGGACGTTCCACCGCCTCTCGCAGTCAATGTCAAGACAACCCCGGACCAGGGCCAGCGCGTCCTCGATAGAGCCATCTTGGGCGGCTTCCGAGTTGCGAATGGCCTCTTCATCCCATTGGCAGCTTTGAATCTTTTCCATGGTCTTGATGTCAAGACCGTCGTTGAAGGGCAGAGTGGCGGTGAGCAGAGCGTACACTACAACGCCAAATGCCCACATGTCGGCCGCGGGAGAATAGACAGGCCCAGATGTGTTGAAGAGCTCAGGAGCAGCATATTGTAAGCTGCCAGCAATCGACGTGCTAGTCTCGGATCCATCAAGAGGTTGCGGCTCTGGTCCATCTCGCTGGTCGCTAATGATGAAGTCGGCCATTCCAAAATCGCACAATAGGACATCGCCGCCCTCGCTTTCCGCATTGGGTACAGTCATGTCGAGGAGACAGTTTTCGAGCTTGATGTCGCGATGCACGACCTGAACGTCATTGTGCAGATAGCGCATAGCCGATGCTAGTTGGTAAGCATAGCGCTTGACCAGGTGGGCTGGCAGCCCATTTGCCTTCTTCTTGCGCGTCTCTCGAATCAAATCAAACAATGTTCCGCCCCTGTTCAGCTTGGTGATGCAGAATGTAGCATAGTCGGTGGTGTACACTCTCAGCAGAGGAATGATATAAGGATGCCGTAGAAAGCGCCAAATCTCCACCTCGTGGTCAAACTGTGTCTGAATCTGTTCATTCTCCAGCTCAGACTTGTTTTGCTGCGTCTTGTGCACAATCTTAACCGCGTCAACAACGGGTTTGCCATTCTCCATGCTCGTAACCTCCTTGACAACGCTAAAGCCGCCGTAGCCGATTTGCTTTCCAATAATGTACTCGCTGTCGTAGCCAATGCCCTGACCCTCGTCATCCGGTTGGGGTGGTTTGATGGGTGCCTCGGAAGCCTTGTAACGCGCAAGGAAAGAAGCAGCTGGTGACATGGATGATAGCGAGCGGCCAGAGCGGGTAGATGATCGTCGACTAGCACGCCTGATGCTTCCATCCTCGCCAATCTCGGACCGGAAGCTCTTGTTTCGAGGAAAGCCAATGCGTCGTGGGGAAGGCGAGAAGAGCGGAAACTCCAAGGGTGAGGTGGCCTGCATTGGCGAAAGCACGTAGTCGGACGGGGTCTCCAGCGGCGTCTGTGCTTCATCAAGCGGTGGTGAGGCCGTAGCATCAGACGTCAGCGATGCAACCTGGTCGGGGTACTCGTTGTCTCGTGCCAGACCGTCAATAGGGGCCTGGGCGAGGGGGAATCGAGAGCCGCCGACGCGGTACTGCATGCCTCTGCGTGCTGCATAAGGCAGCTCGAGATAGTCGTGCTCATCAGAGTAGCTTCCGTTTTCAGGGTGGCGCGACCGCGACTGCGACTGGCGTGCACTCTTAGGGACGGGCACGCCCAGGCCGACACCTTCCCCAGAGTCGAGGCGGACCTCGTCATTGAAGCTGATGCTCGTCTTGCGCTGCCGGAAGCGGGCCAGGTAGTCATCGTCGCTGCCGCTTCCGCTGCTGCCTACGGCGAGGGAGCCGACATGGCCGAAGTCGCCCTGCTGGTCGGCGGGGTAGGGGCCATGGGAGGATGAGTTTGGGTCTTGAGCAGCCTCAAACTCGGCAGTCAGCTGCGACGGGCCATGGCCGGCGTGGGGTGAGTCTTTGCGGGAGAGGGGCGCGAAAGAGGCAAAGGTCGAGGCGACGGGCTTGCGCGGCGTCGAGGTGTCGAGTCTGAGCTTCTGGAAAGAGTGTGAGGGGTCTGAAGTCGGGGCCATTAAACCGGTTGTACAGTGAATGCAAACCTCTGTCAGCGCCGGCGGCGGCGGCGGGCGGTCGTAGTATTAATGTGCGTCGTGGTCGTGGGGCTGAGGCGAGAAAGGGAAAGCAAAAGGGAAGGTTTGCAGCAGCCAAGGGCGAAACCGGGAAGGGGAGGTAATAGGATTATGTCGTGGTGGGCGGGAGGCAGCGACGTGGTGCTAGCGGGACGGTAAAATTACGGTCGCGCCCGGGCTGCGATGTGCCTGCGTAGGAATGGCTTGGGGGTGGCAATGTCAATGCTACCGCGTAACGAGCATGGAGATGGGCCGAGGGCAGGAGGTGAGCAATTAAAAGGGGACGGATGCTGGGGGAAGGGTGTGCACGAGTGTAGGAGAGAGTGTGTGCCGCAGCTCTTTGTCTTTCTGTCTTTCTTTCTTTTCGTTTCTTTTTTTTTGCGCAAGCCTGACGGCGGTGCAGCTTTTGTGGCCGGCCCATCCCCCACGCAAGTTGTTAATAGGCGGCAGTCAGCAGCGGGCGCAGGCAAGTGTGTGGGTGGTGGGATGGGATGGGATGCAGAGCACGTGAGCAGCCTCGCAGCCATGCACGCAGCTGTGGTAGCGGGCCTATGGGAGCTCGAGGGCGGCGCCGGAGCGAAGATTTGCGCGGCCACCAGAGGACTCTAGTCGACCGTTGTTGAACCTTCTGGGCGAGAGACTGCCGTGGTTGGTGGCAGCAGCGACATAGCCTCTGGCAGCTAACATGATAGCCTACCCCGCCCGGAGGCAACATTTGGGCTGCGCTGCCGGGGTCATGGTGGTAGGAGTATGTAAGTACAGTGTGTGCGGCCCATGTGTATGTACTCTTACATGGACAAACGCATGCGAGGTACATGTGCCGGTCTAACTGCAACTACTACTATATTTTTGCTGCTGTGCGTGGTGCTGGCGTCGTGGACAGACAGACGGACAGACAGGGTGGGCCTTTCGGGAAAAAGAGGGTTGGCGGTGCATGGCCCAGCTGCGGCCCGCAGGACACTGAGCACAAGCAGGACGGGCAGAGTGGGTGTGCAGAGTGGGTGTGCAGAGTGGGTTTGATGCTCCTGCTCGAGGCACTGCTCGAAACACTGAGACTCTGCTCGGCTGGCCAGGGACGAATGGCGAGGGACGCATGGCGACACTTATCGTGAGCGCAGCCCCGGCGTCTTTGCTGGCCTGGCGAACACGTCAAGCGGCCGGGGCAGAAACATGACGTCGCCCGCTGTGCTGGACGCCGCCCCGGTTGGCTCACCGCAACAACAGCAGCAGCTAGGCCGTTTGCATGCTGCCCCAGGCCCGTTTGGTGGACGAGCGGGCGTGCTGCTGCCGTTGATGCTGTCTGGCGTGCATTGCGCGTGTCTAATCTCGCCTTCCTCGACGCCTCTAGGCGACCCTTGCTCCCTTGCTGGCGCTGGCTGCATGCCCGGGCGACGCTTCCGCTCACTAGCACCACCAGCTCAACTCCCGCCAAGCAAGGGCGTGCGCGCATCCAACCTCGACACGCCCGCTGGGTGACAACATCACCAGAGCTCGTCGACCCCATCGCACCGGCCCCCAACCCAAACACCGCCATCTCCGCCATCACCACCACTTCCACCACCGCCGCCGCATCCATCCCAACCTGCCCGCCCTCTGCCCTGCGCGACTGGTCCCGCTGCACACTCGACTTCTCGCTCCCACCCCATCACCACTACACGCCTCCGCCCGCCCGGACTGCGAGCGCCAGCGCCTGTAGCCATGGGCATCTCCGACCTCTGCTACCGTTTCTTCTGCTGCGGCGGTCAGTATTCTCGCAACTGCATGCCTTGCCTGAGCCTTGCTAACTGACCGTCGCCCTCTGCAGCCCGCTCGAGGGACAGCATATACGATCCTGTGCTCGCAGATAGCGAGAGGGAAGCTGTTGCCGACCTGCTTGGCTTCCTCGAAAATGTACGCCCACCCGCCCTCTGCACCACCACCACCACCACCACCACCGCACCCTGCTAACCTGCTCACAGCGAGCCGAGACCGATTTCTTCTCTGGGGAACCCCTCCGCGCCCTCAGCACGCTCGTCTACTCGGACAACATTGATTTGCAGCGGTCGGCAAGCTTGACTTTTGCCGAGATAACAGAGCGAGGTACTTGGCCCAACCTCACCACCATCATTGACACACCTAACCACCCTTGACACAGATGTACGAGAGGTCGACCGCGACACGCTCGAGCCTATCCTGTTCCTGCTCCAGAACCCAGATATCGAGGTGCAGCGTGCCGCCAGTGCCGCCCTGGGCAACCTTGCCGTAAACAGTATGTATACGCTGCAGCTCTTGCAAGCTTCTTCTAACTCTTGCAGCTGAGAACAAGGTGGCCATTGTCGCTCTCGGTGGCCTGGCACCTCTGATCAAGCAGATGAACTCGCCCAATGTTGAGGTGCAGTGCAACGCCGTTGGATGCATCACCAACCTGGCTACCCACGAAGACAACAAGGCCAAGATTGCACGATCAGGCGCCCTCCAGCCCCTCACCCGCCTCGCAAAATCAAAGGACATGCGCGTCCAGAGGAATGCGACTGGTGCGCTGCTCAACATGACACACTCAGGTATGGCTGCTTTTCTGATTAGTCCATGGTCCATGCTCACACGATAACAGACGACAACCGACAGCAGCTGGTAAACGCCGGAGCAATTCCCGTACTCGTTCAGCTGCTCTCTTCGTCCGATGTCGACGTTCAGTATTACTGCACCACCGCCCTCAGCAACATTGCCGTCGACTCGAGTAACCGCGCCAAGTTGGCACAGACCGAAGGCAGGCTGGTTGGCTCCCTAGTCCACCTCATGGAGTCTTCGTCGCCCAAAGTCCAGTGCCAGGCCGCCCTCGCCCTTCGCAACCTTGCTTCTGATGAGCGTTACCAGCTTGAGATTGTGCGCGCTCGTGGTCTGCCGTCTCTTCTTCGTCTCCTCCAATCCTCATACCTCCCGCTTATTCTATCCGCCGTCGCATGCATACGAAACATCTCCATCCACCCCGCCAATGAGTCACCTATTATTGAAGCCGGTTTCCTCAAGCCCCTCGTAGACCTACTCGGCTCCACTGACAACGACGAGATTCAATGCCACGCCATATCCACACTCCGCAACCTCGCTGCTAGCTCTGACAAGAACAAGCAATTGGTCCTCGAGGCTGGAGCTGTGCAAAAGTGCAAGTCCCTTGTATTGAATGTGCGACTTCCAGTGCAGTCAGAAATGACTGCGGCAATTGCTGTACTTGCACTAAGTGAGGAACTGAAACCTCACCTGCTGAACCTGGGTGTCTTTGACGTTCTCATCCCGCTCACAGAATCCGAAAGTATTGAGGTGCAGGGCAACAGTGCTGCTGCATTGGGCAACTTGTCGTCAAAGGGTAAGTCTGACTCGTCTTTGTTCTATCAGCCACTAACAGAAGCAGTGGGCGATTACTCGATTTTCATCCAAAACTGGACAGAACCCGCCGGCGGAATCCATGGTTACCTGCGCCGTTTCCTCGCTAGCGGCGACCCAACGTTCCAGCACATTGCCATCTGGACACTCCTACAATTACTCGAATCCGAAGACTCAAGATTGATGGAGCACATCAGCAAGTCGAACGAGATCATCGACATGGTCACCGAGATTGCCGAACGCAACATCGAGTCGGACGACGAAGACAACGAGGACGGCGAGGGCGAGGTCGTCACCCTTGCACGCAGATGTCTTGAGTTGTTGGGCAAGAGCCCTAAGACATTTGTCGAAGGATAGAAGACCGTCAGATCGCACTTTATACCCTGTTTATCGGTTGTCGACTGCTTTTTGCGCTCCTGTTCTCACCGCCGTATTCAATTTTTTCTGATTATGCGTTCATGTTGAAGACTGCTTCCAAGCATTTGGAGGGTTGGCGTTCAGGAGCAGATGTATCCTCAGTATCTCTAGCGAGCATTGGTGGAGTGGGCTTTTACATACATTGGCATGCACACATGTTACCACTACTCTTACTCCCCTACACCGACGAGAAAAAGAAATTTGTAATTGATAGATTTGGAGGTTCTTGGGCATCGTGGAAATGAAACTGACGGTGTTCGTTTTTTCTTTCGATTCCTTGACCCCCGGCCGACGTGATTTCGCCCAATGCCCATGTTATGCTTGGGTGATATATGTAGTCCAACGGTGATCCTGATCCAAATGCGTAAAAGGCCTGGCAACAAATGCAACCATTGTAATTGGCCGAGTCCAATGTCCCAGCGGAAAGCCCTTGCTAGGTGCGCCCCTCACTCTGACATGTGACGTCGCGTTACTTGAGCTAACGTTGGATCGGCATTGCCTTATCGATAGCCAAAATATTTGCGACTTTCCCGAGTCACGCTCCACCTGCTTCACTCAATACAACCACCACAGCGATGCCGCCCAAACAAAGAGGAAGTGGGACTATACGTTCCCGCGGTGTCGCAAGGGGAGGATCGAACGTAACGAGAAATTCAACAGACGCAACCGAATCCGTGCAAGATGCGACCCCGCAGAGTACAGCTCCTGCAGCTGCCACCGGAGATTCGATTGGGCTAGTAGTCCCCAAGGAAGAGGACAGTGACTCGAAGCCCGTCGTAACCGAAGAGGTTGCACTGAATGCAACTGAATCAAAAGCTTCGTCTTCAGCGACGGCATCGTATGAACGCTCTCTTTCACGTACGACACCAATGGTGCTGATGACTATGCGATAGTGCTGCCGAATCGCCCCAGCCTGGCGTAGAACCGAGCGCTCGCGCCCCCGTGCAGAGACTAGGCAGTTTGCAAGGCTCAGTACCTCCTTCCCGATCCGCATCACCATCTGTACGCGGTCGCGGCGGTACAGCTCGAGGCAAGAGAGGTGTCAAGACGCCCGCGTTCACAGGTAGACGAAGCAAAGAAGAGCGAGACGCCATCGCAAAAGAGCAGGCAGCCCGCGATCGCGAACGGACAAAGGAGCAGGTCGCTGCAGACAAGAAGAGAGAAGCTGACGCATTGAGAGCAGCTAGGCGTGAGGCCAACAAACAGAAGAATGCACGAGGTGGATTCAGTGGAGTAGCCAGCGGACCATTCTCGCTAGGAAGCTCCAGAGAAGGCACGTCAGGATTTTCGAATATGAGCAACTGCGCTGACTGTGGATTTAGACAGGAAGAACAACCCAAACCGTGGACATTCTGGTTTTGGCGCAGGATCCGGCTCGCGAGCAGAACGCATCAAGAACGAAGATGGCGGCTACGCAGGATCTAGTCGGTCTGGAGGCGGAGGTGGTAGCGGAGGCAGTTCTTACATGAAGAGAGAAGATGGCGGATTGGTTTCCTCAGACGATGAAAACGATATTAACCTGCCACGCAAAGATATCGACCTGATCGAGATCTCTTCTGACGAAGACGAAGCCAATGACAAAAGTGTGCCGACACAACGTCCCGCAAGGACAGCATTACCTGTTCGGATAGGACGGAAAGAACACCAAGAGCGAACATTTGGTATAAACACGGAAGCCAGCTCGGAGGCCTCTGCTAAGATACTCGAACAAGCGGAATCGAGCGGACAGTCGCTGACCACGGCTGCCACGGACCAAGCTAGCAGAGGATCAAAAGCCAAGTCAAAGGATGTGGAGATCACCGGCTCTCGGAAGCAGTTCAAGGGTGTTTGGAATGACCCGGAAGATTCAGATGTCGCTGTCAAGACCGAACCCACCAGCGATGACGAGAACATGGCCGATGCTGAACAGGTTGGCTTATCTAACGCTCCAGCTCAGCCGGTGGAGAAGGAAGAGCCACAATCGCCGGATGCTGAACGGAAGCCGAAAATCAAAAGGAAGAGCATCGCCGAACCCATCCTCCAGACTGACGAAGACCGTGCAGAATGGGCGCGTTTTCAGTCAAACTTGCGCCACATTCGAGCTGAGCTGGGTCCCGAAGAGGTGCCACCCGTTGACGGGACTGGGGACGTAGCCATGGCAGATGCTGGCAGTGCAGAGAAAAGACCCACAGTGCGAGATAATAACGTTTATCTCTTCCAGATCCCACCCCTGATGCCAGAAGTGGAACCGCCGTCTGTCAAAAAAGAGGCTTCGGATGCTCAGCCCCCTCCGCCACCCGTTCAGGCTTCAGGCAAAGCGGATGCGAAGGTCAAGGTCGAGGAAGGAAGTTTTTCAGATCCTAATGCCAAGACCAAGGAAGGGGTCCGCTTTGGAAGTGGACTTGTGGGCAAACTGCGCGTACACAAATCTGGCCGTACAACACTGGACTGGGGCGGTACGAGCTTCGAGCTCACGCCGGGGAACAGATCCAACTTCCTACAAGAAGTAGCTAGTGTTGAGATCCGTCCAGAGAACCAGAGAGCAGCGCCCGAAGATGCAGGGGATGCGATTAGTCTTGGCAGGGTCAAGGGCAAGTTTGTGGTGGTTCCCAACTGGGCGAAGATGCTGGACTAGGACATGAAGAAGATGCTGTCTAAGTACACTGTGTTTCCCATGGTGTTTTAGCTCATCAACAAGGTTAGGGCTGAAACGACACAAGTCTTGTAGCGTCGCTATCAAAGTACAGTGAAGCAGTGCCTCTGGGGGACTGGCCTTTGAAAAGGCTGCGCTAAGCTCCACCCGTATAATTCTCATTGGTGGGCTGTGAACCGGCAAGCATCACAGTGTGCAGTTGCAATCTGCAAGCGTTTTCTGTCGGCCCGTTGAGCTGCGCATGCGCACGTGAATATGACACATTTTGAGCTTGCACAAGACGCATGTCAGGGACGTCGTTATCGCCATTCCTTGGACTTGATTTCGAGTAGCCAGCGCCAACGAGCTAGACCGATGATACAGGACCAGATTACACACCATTCCCGGGGCCGAGCTGCGTGACACGACGGAAGAGCAGCCGTGGCGTAAGACGAGAGCGGTGGTAGGGGAAGGTTTAGCGTAGGTGACACGTGCGTGGGATCGAGATCTGAACGTCGTGGGCAAATGCCATGTTGAAAGCTGAAAAGGCCAATGCAGCCACAATGGAGCCCCCGCGCATCACTAGCCCCTCGGCAGGAATGCCGGTGCAGGTTGTGGTAGGCGATTTGCAGCGTAAATCACCCTGGCCAGCCACCTAGCTCGTCCTGCTCCCTGTTAACTGTCACTGACTGCTCTTTCTGCGTCCGCATCTCAAGGGTGCCGTTCATCGATGCGAAGCCCTCCCAGACGAGGCATGCACCCACCATCACCTTTGCAACAACCACTCCTGGTGCACATCTCGCGCCGCCCGCGCCCGTCTTGGGCCTCCCTGTTCGTCCGCGGTGCAACCACGGCGTTATCCACGCAGATCCGCCATGGGGCATGTGGATATCCGTCAGCTCTTCGACGGCGACCCTCGACCAACTTTTGTTGTTGACTGCGACTCCCCTTCATCCGCCATCTACCATGTCAATATCGCCTTGCTTGCTATCCCACAAATTGTCTTATCACTTAGTTCCCACAACGCACTGAGAGACTGGTGGGATCCTGTGAGCCTCAGTTCCGCTCGCCACCAAAATGAGTTCCGCCATGGTAGGTACCGATGGGCCAAGTTCGTCGTCTGCCGTCGCTGGCTCGTCGTTACCATTGTTCAGCAGCCACCCCCTTCGCTCGAGAAATCAAGCTGCTTTCCAGAGCCCGCGAGGCTGTCTCGCATTGTCTCTCCTCTCTGGGCATCTCAGCCAGATACCATCTTCACTGTCAAAATCCAGTCGCCAGAGTTACGCCAACACATTGAACACATCCGCAAAGTTGATTGGTCAAAAACATCCCTAGGCCCTATAAGCAACTGGGGATATGAGCTCAACCTACTTGTGACGACTTTGATGCTGGAAACCCGCCCAACCGCTCTCTTCCTCGGACCCGAGCGGACCATCTTGTACAACCCCGCCTATGGCGCAGTCAGTGGGTCGAGACACCCTGCCATACTGGGTCAGAGTATCCTAGATGCATGGTGTGTTGGACGCCACGACCTGGGATCAAACTTTTCTGACGAACCAACAGGCCTGAGCTTGCAGATCCTATCTCGACAACCATGGACCGCTCAGAGCAAACACGCTTCGCCGATGTTCCTGAAGAGGAATTTCACTTCATGGTCGAAAGAAATGGTTTCGTTGAAGAGGTCTTCTTCATGTGGAGCCTTGTACCTCTTGTCGGTGTCGGCAACATTACCGGCATGTATTCCATCGTAACAGAGGTCACGAAACAGAGGTAACTACCTCATATTCTTCGCCAAAGAAACCCCCCATCATTAATCATACCGATTCAGGCTGCTCGAGCGTCGCGTCAATGCTTTGTTAAGGGTGGGCCAGTTAGCCAGCAAAGCTAGAACAACCAAAGAGTTTTGGGCTCAGGTAGGCCAAGCTATTCAGCCATCTGAGTATGATTTTCCGACCGCCATTTTGTACTCAAATTCTGAGTTGAATGAGGTACCAGACGCTGCAGATATTAATACTGGACTACCACGTCGATGCACTCTGCAATGGACCATCGGATATAAACCCGACCACTCTGACATACCTCAGCATCTGGACCTAGATCAGGATACTGGCTTGGCTCGCGCTTTTTCTGCTAGTACAAGAGATGGGCCTGAAGTACTTTATCAGGAACAAGATGGTATATTGCCAATGTCATTGTACACAGATCTTGAAAAGCGCGGTTTCGGAGACCCACTGAAAGTCTTCCTTGTTATTCCAATACGGACTTACGACAACAACATTGTAGCATTCCTTCTTATTGGGCTTAATACTCGTCGGCCATATGATGACGAGTACAAGGATTGGATCAGTGTCTTCTCCAATCTGCTAGGAGCTTCTGCTGCGCTAGTAGCACTCCACGAAGAGGAGGTACGAAGACGCAAACTGCAAGAGGAACAAGCCGCCCGAGATCGCGAAGCCCTTAATGCTGAAGTTGCAACTCTTGCACAAGAAGCTAGTAATGCCGTGGAAAAACTTCGCAACTTCCATGAGATTGCAGACCAACTCGGACTTGGATACTTTGAGATTGATGTTGATGGGATGCTGGTACATGCTAATGTAAGGGTCCGAATTGCAGCCTGTCAACATCGGCTGATGCGACAACAGGAAACATACTTTGTTCAAACTGGGCACCAGAGAGAGTCTGCAAATTGCCCACCTTTTGCCTTCAAGCAATGTATTCACGAAGATGATATAGCCAAGATCGAGGATCAATGGGAGACTCTGATAGCGGGAGAACCAGCTACGTTTGAGGTTCGTTGGAAGAGACACTTGAATCAAGAAAAAAGAGACAAGAAGGCTAGTGACGACTATCTTTGGACGCTTTCAGCTTGTGTGCCTATCAAAGACGCAGACGGGATCGTTACAGGCGTCTTTGGCTGCAACACCGACATTTCTGCCCAGAAAGAGGCGACCGAAGCTGCGATCATGCGCTCAGAGGCAGAGCGGCGCTTAGCCAGTTTCACTGAGCTGGCACCAGTCGGTCTATATCACCTTAACCAGGATCTGTCTATGAGGTACTGCAACGACCAGTGGTTCCGTATCACCGGTCATGAGAAAGTCCCCATGGATCAAGTAGACTGGCGGAATATCGTCGACGAAGACCGGATAGAGGCTTGCTATCGCGACGTAGACTTGACCAGATACAAGGAAGGATCACATACATTTTCAACCAATCTCAAGAAACAATGGACAGGGCCAGATGGAGTCGTCACATCAACCTGGATCCTGGTAACAGCCACTGCGTATGCAGATGGCACCATCATGGGGACAATGACGGACATTTCGCAGCTGAAATGGGCCGAGTCGATTCAAAAAACCAGAGTTGAAGAAGCGCTTGAGGCGAAGAGGCAGCAAGAAAACTTCATTGATATGACTAGTCATGAGGTAAGTGACTCTCACAGACTTTGCGTGCATCGGAAACTGACTTTCAGCGACGCAGATGCGCAATCCATTGAGTGCGATGGTGCAGTGTGCCGACTCTATCATGGGCTCTCTGGGCGAGATGAAAGCTCTCGTGCAAGGCGAAACCCTCGATGCACAGCCCGACCAACGAGCACAGCTAGCAGACCTTATTGATGGCAGTTTAGACGCTATCGACACAATACAGGCATGCGCCACACACCAAAAACGAATCGTCGACGACATCCTTACTCTCTCAAAGCTTGACTCAAAGCTTCTGGTCATCAGTCCTCTGGTGCTGCAGCCAGCGACACTTCTACAAGACGCATACAAAATGTTCAAAGACGAAGCCAACAAAGTCGGCGTCGACCTCGAAATGCGGTGTGACTCTTCCATTAAGGAAATGGAGATTGACTGGGCCGTCTTGGATCCGAGCCGTGTTCTTCAAATTCTCATAAATCTACTGACCAATGCTATCAAGTTTACGAAGGACCAAGATATACGCAAGGTCGAGGTTATCATGGGTGCTTCTCGGGAGGTAGAAAAGATGCCAGAGATCGAGTATGTGCCACAAGAAGCCTTACGAAGGGATTTCCTCGCTCAAACTGAAGAGGACCATGCAGGCGAAGTATTCTACCTCAACTTCACAGTCAGGGACAGTGGATGTGGGCTCTCGCCTGAACACAAGGACAAACTCTTTCTTCGATTTTCGCAAGCCACACCAAAAACACACGTTCAGGTACTACTCGGTCACAGATGCTTTGTCATTCTTATCAGTATACTAACAACCACTCTAGTATGGCGGGACAGGCCTTGGTCTCTTCATATCCCGGGAACTCACCGAACTGCAAGGCGGCAGCATTGGTGTGGCCTCTGACCAGAATATTGGATCTACATTTTCCTTTTATATCAAATCACGGCGTGCAAAACCACCCCGAGAAAAACGCACGGCTGTAGATGCAAACCCTACTCTTAACGGCGAGCCATCTAGAGGCACCAACGCCGACATTATTGGAGACATGAATGGCAACCATGAGGCTGTAGTGGTTGATGCCCTTGCGTTGCCAGAAGCAGAAGAAGTCATGGAAGTAGAGAAACAGCATTACAATATCCTCGTTGTCGAGGACAATCTGATTAACCAGCGGGTTCTGTCCGCTCAACTAAAGAAACTAGGACATACGGTGCAAGTTGCAAATCACGGCGTCGAGGCACTCTCCCACTTATCACAAACGCCATTTTCAGCCACACCTACTGCCTCGGCCTCTGTCCCTCTCAGCGTGGTGCTTATGGACATTGAGATGCCCGTCATGGACGGACTGACGTGTACGCGGAGAATCCGAGAGATGGAGGCACAAGGCGAGCTGAGCGGCCATGTACCGATTATTGCAGTTAGTGCCAACGCGAGACGAGAACAGGTGGAATTGGCCAAGAGCGCGGGCGTAGATGGCGCAATATGCAAGCCTTTCCGGGTTCCCGAGTTGATAGACTTAATTGAAGGGCTGGGCATTAAGTAAGAGTGGCTGATGCTCAAAGGCAGAGCAAAGGACGCGATGGTAGGCGCAGGCGCAGGCAGCATGGACACCATCGTAGTTCTTGGGCTAGACAATGAACGTAATTGAGATTCAAAGAAAGGTCCGGGCCCCCGCGTCTTGAGACGCGTCCGAGCACGCGTCGTCTGGTCAACTGCAGGTCGTGGGGACTGGGTAGTGACGCCATGGAAACCTTCAATAGATCTCGAGGGTGTGTGCACGACGCAAGGGGCACTCACTCGTGTGAAGGAGGCGTGAAATGGATCAACGACAAAGTGGAAGTGTGAGCCAGCCACTTAACGCGTCCGAGCAACGCGTCGTCCCTGGCGATACGTCGCCCGAGTGTCATGGTCAGCCATTGTCAGATCCTCATCAGCGAAAAATCTTATCTGATCCGAGGCCGGCACGAGCAAAAGACCATTGTGCAGCCAGTGCGGACTAGCAGACGGCCTAATTGTGGTTTCAAATGCATTTCCAAGACTGATATCAGCCGCCAGGCCCCAGGGCCTAGCTGCTCACGGAAACGGCCCTTGCATGTTGTGGTGGGGACAGGTCGAATCGTAGCGCGTTGCGACGCGTCTGGGTTTTGGCACAGGTTGTGGCTGGGTACGCAGCTGAGCGACCCTTTTGCAATTCCTGCACATCTGGGGAGGAAGAATATGGGCAATATGGGTGTCTTTGGATTGCATGCAGACACAATGTTGCGCGTAGCTACTTAATTCATCTAATTTTGTGGTCGAAGGGCTGGGAAAAGCATGGTGATGGGTGTTGCGAACGCATGAGCTCATAGCGCACTTTTCGCGTCGAGGGGGTACTAGCGGCCGCAAGCGCGATCGCCTTGTCACGTGCTCGCGAGTGAACGCGGATTTATAGACTGAGCGCGTCTCTTCTCTGTCCCTCTCGACACTACAACGCACAACTACTTCTTACAAGCACATCCACCTGTCTTGTCTTCTCCACGCTTGTGTCCTTCTACACCCGACCCAGTGCATTATTATCACCTTTTTTCTTCGCTTCACAAACAATGTCTGCTCTTCAGTCTACACCTTCCAAGCAGGTACGTCACGCTACATGCGGGACATGTACTTCCACGCGACGCGTCCATACTAACGCGTCATACAGGTGGCATCTGCAATTGAGTCTCTCAAGATGACCAACTCACCAGCAAAGACACTCGACTTCTCGGACTCAGACAAGGAAAACGTTTTCAAGCCCATTGTCGGCATTCCAGATGACTTCGACGCCAATGTTGAGGACGTCAAGCCTACAGTCGCGTCCTCCATTAAGGCTGAGGAGGCACACGAGCCCCTCCTTCAAGAGAACCCGGGACGCTTTGTCCTCTTCCCCATAAAGTACCACGATGTAGGTTTTTCCACTTTACGCGTCTGTTGGCGCGTCAATCAAGTCTGTACCATGACTCGTGCTAATTGATTTCTCATAGGTCTGGCAAATGTACAAGAAGGCCGAGGCTTCTTTCTGGACCGCCGAAGAGATTGACCTCTCCAAGGATCTCCACGACTGGAACAAACGTCTCAACGACGACGAGCGCTTCTTCATCTCCCACGTCCTCGCCTTCTTCGCCGCCTCTGATGGCATCGTCAACGAGAACCTGGTTGAGCGTTTCTCGAGCGAAGTACAAATCCCTGAGGCACGATGCTTCTACGGCTTCCAGATCATGATGGAGAATGTCCACTCCGAGACCTACTCTCTGCTCATCGATACATACATTAGCGAGCCAAGGCAGCGCCAGTACCTTTTCAACGCCATTGACAACAGTAAGTTGCCCAACAACGCGCTTCAATTACGCGTCTAACGTGTCATAGTTCCCTGCATCCGCAAGAAGGCCGACTGGGCTCTGCGATGGATCTCTGACAAGAACTCCACCTTTGCCAATCGTCTCGTTGCATTCGCTGCCGTCGAGGGTATCTTCTTCAGTGGATCGTTCGCATCCATCTTTTGGCTCAAGAAGCGTGGTCTGATGCCTGGTCTTACCTTCTCCAACGAGCTCATCTCTCGTGACGAGGGCATGCACACCGACTTCGCCTGCTTGCTCTTCTCTCTTCTCAATACCCGCCCTAGCAAGGAGTCTGTCCAAGCCATCATCACCGAGGCTGTTGCGATCGAACAAGAGTTCCTCAGCGACGCACTGCCATGCGCCCTGCTCGGCATGAACGCCAAGCTCATGTGCCAGTACATTGAGTTCGTTGCTGATCGTCTGCTGCTTGCTCTGGGCAACACCAAGGTTTACCACGCCACGAACCCCTTTGACTTTATGGAGAACATCTCACTTGCTGGCAAGACCAACTTCTTCGAGAAGCGTGTCGGTGACTACCAGAAGGCTGGTGTCATGGCAAGCACAAAGAAGCATGAGCAGAAGGATGGCTCATCATCGCCCGCACCCGAGCCTCAAGGCCAGTCTGGTGACTTCTGCTTTGACGAGGACTTTTAGACGCCTCCCTTTGTTTCCTTGTCATGTTTCTACTATCTAATTCCTGTATACCACCCTGGACGCTGGTGCCGGACATCATTTGTCTGCATCTTCTGGCCTTTGCATTGCTGGAGTCTCCGATACTCCTTGGACATTGGCGTCATGGCGTAGTTGATTTTTTGAGCAAGACTCTGGATGAGCGACGCGGCTGGGTATGGACTTTGCACGCGATGGATCAACGACCTATATCCCCCACTGAATAATTATGAATACAATATATCAATCAATGAAACCTTGACCCAATTGTGATAACTACTTGTTTCCTTTTTGTGACTATTTCTGGCAGTCCGCGTGGCTTTGGTCCCACGAGGCCGGTCAGCCTTGGCGTGCTTGATCTCACGCAAGCTTCGGGTGAACCACGCCCATCGGGCCTACCGATGTCCGCGGTGCATATCGTCTCAACATGGCAGATCAGCCATCCTTCACTCCCCATTGCTCATCCCTTGGTTCTCCATGCGACCGAATCCAAGGTACAATTCACATGACGTCACTCATCCATGTGGCGTTATCGTGCCGAGGCTATCGTGATCCAAATCAGAACAAGCGAATTGTCCGCCCGCAGGCAGTTTCGCGGCGCGCCTAGCCTATCATTCGAGGTTCACTTAAGGACCCATTCGCCTCGGACGAAATCTCCAGGCATGCCCATCTCCAGCCGCGCGGCACGATTGCAGAGGGCCGGACATGACATGCATGACAGCAGCCGCCAACTAGGTTGTGTCAATATCCGTGACTCTCCGCAAAGACGACCCTGACAAAGTCTGGGCCTTACGCCTCTGGAATCTTCGCTTACTGTTCCTGCGCATCCAACGCATTGCCCGAGTACAGCTCACCTGTATTCCTTAGGCCAACACATACCTTGTGTGTTGTATGTGCTTTGCAATCTACTATATCAAAGCCCGCGTAGGTTCATGTCGCACTGTCACATGTACACATGGCCGATGCAATCCCCAAGATCATCACCACGCCTGCCGGTCGAAGCGCCGCTGTCCAGAGGCAGGAAACCGCATCCTCGACCACGATTGACGGTAACTCTTCACACCTCGCTATTCGGGGAGTCAAATCACTAACACTGAAGTCCCACATAGCGCCGTTGTCGAACAAGAAACTTGTCGCAAAGCTAAGAAGCCCTACAGCATCACCTGCGCAGCAACATAATGATGCGCAACAAAATGGAGGAAGCTTGGGGGGTGCGATAGGATTATCGGAAACGCCCTTGGATCCGCTCTCGCAAGTATGTCTTTGAGGATTGCCTTTGCGCCGAAATAGAATACTACTAATGCAATTGTGTTTAGCAAATCTTCAATAGAACAAATACGTCACCTGCGGCTCAGAAGCTTCGGTCGCAGAACTCGGAGCCCGTCGCAAGTCAATTACCGATAGAGTCAAATGATATTGGCATGGATAAGGTTAGTGGTGAGACAGCTCGCGGCGCTGGTGGGAATAAGGCCGATAAGAAGTAAGTGTTTGCAAGGACGAGGTAAGGCGACCGATAAATGAGGCTGACAACTTTGCCAGAAGAGTATCGTTTCTTAGTCGCTTTATGGGCAGCACCAAGAAAAAGAGCAACCCGGACGGTATAAGCGACAATGGCTCCGAACCAGACGACCCACGTCACGAGGGTATGAATGCCCAGCTCTATGTCAACAACCTCAGTTTCAGTCCAAAAACCCCACATCCCCCGGCATACATCAAAGTAAGGGCAAGGTTCAAGAAGGAAAAGGAGTTTGATCGCGTCTTTCTCGCGCAGGAGCTGCGATATGGGTCAGGAAGGAAAAGCCCGCCGGCTGCTGGATCAAATCCAGCGCCGCAATCTGGATCTGCAGCTACACACAATCCGATCTGGGCCGTTGAATTCAGCAAGGATGGAAGATATCTTGCTGTTGGTGGACAGGATCGGGTGATTAGGGTATGGGCCGTCATAGACAGTCCAGAACGACGTCGAGCGCACGAAAACACTGAAAGAGATCGACATGCGCACCATGAAGAGGCCAAGCACCTCAGTGCGCCAGTATTTGAGCAGAAGCCAATTCGTGAATACCAAGGACACACGTCGACTATCTTGGATTTGAGCTGGAGTAAGGTATGTTATGGGATGATGAACTACCAGAATGGTGTTACTAACAAGCAAAAGAATAATTTCCTCTTATCTTCATCAATGGACAAGACCGTACGCCTGTGGCACATAAGCCGCGATGACAACTTGTGCACGTTCAAGCATTCCGACTTTGTGCCTTCGATACAGTTCCATCCGACCGATGATCGATTTTTCCTCGCTGGATCCTTGGACGCGAAATTACGGCTTTGGAGTATTCCGGATAAAAGTGTTGCATACTCAACGACAGCTCCAGACATGATCACATCAGTCGCCTTTACACCCGATGGAAAGACGTGTATAGCGGGCACGCTTGGTGGACTTTGCCTATTCTACGATACCGAGGGCCTAAAGTGGCAGGCGCAACTCCATGTCAAATCGACCAGAGGTCAGAATGCAAAGGGCAGTAAAATCACAGGGATTCAGGCAACGTATTGGCCACCGGGTAGCGACGATGGTGAAGTCAAACTTCTGGTGTCGAGTAATGACTCAAGACTGCGGATATACAATATGAAGGACAAGACGCTGGAGATGAAGTTCCGTGGCCATCAAAACATGTGCAGCCAAATCCGAGCAACTTTTGCTGATGGCACCGGACACATTGTGTGCGGAAGTGAGGACCGTAAAACGTACATTTGGTCGACATCCGCGCTGGAAGGCGGCGAGAAGAGAGACCAGCGGCCAGTGGAAATGTTCGAAGCTCACAATTCAATCACTACTTGCGCGATCATCGCACCCATGCAGACAAGACGGCTTCTGAGCGCATCAGAAGACCCGATCTTTGACCTCTGTAATCCACCACCGGTTACATTGGTTTCAAAGGCGGAGTCTGTAGTATCATCGCGAGCGCCTACGGAGACAGGATCAGCACATCTGACACCTGCAGCTACAGACACGCGGTTCAAGAAGGCGGCTGGAAGTCCAGCATATATTGCGCGCTCTGCACATCGCGGAGGCAACATTATCGTTACAGCAGATTATACTGGTGCTCTCAAGGTGTTTCGACAGGACTGTGCATTCCAGAAACGCATACGACAGAGCGAGCAGTGGGACACTACTTTAATGAAACGAGCATCCGTCATCGGCCGACCAAGCAGCATAATCTCACGTACCAGCCGGTCTCGACGAGACAGTGTATCTACCCAGCCACCCAACGACCGCATCATGACCTGGCGACAAGACATCACTCACGGCAGCATCGACTCTGGCACCTCCCTTTCCATCCGCAGCGCCTCACCCCGCAAATCCCTCGCAGCCCTAAACCTCAACGCCTCGCCCTCCTCCCGCTCCCATTCCCCCGTCCTCCGCCCCTTAAAAACAAACGATACCCCCGGCACCTCCTCCTCCCGCGACCCAAGCACACCCCCCATCTACAGCACTACCCACTCTTCCACCTCCTCCCTGCACAAACACCCCGAAAAACACGACCTCGATGACATCGATTCTCCTCTTCCTACTGCCCCCCGCAACAACGACGACATCGACACCACAAACCCCCTCCTCCAACTCTCCGACCCCATTTCCAATCCTCTAGCCCTACTGAATGGTCAAAGCTGGCTCTTCTGGACGAGCAACGCGAAGAAACCTGTGGGTGGTGTAGCGGCGAATACGCGCCCGGATTTACTGGGAAGAACAAGTTCGACGAGTCAGGTTAGTCGGTTGACGGATGAGAGGAGTGAGGGGGGGTCATTTGAGGAGGGGAGGGGGAGGTAGATGGTTGCTTGTTTGGGGGGGGGGGGGGGTTTGAAGCCTATTTTTTCACGTTAATTTTTTTTGGTTTTCTTGGGGTTAAAATGGATAGAGGTGTTTTGGGATGGGAATTGCATAGATATGTGGGATGAGTGGAATGAATTTTCTTGCTCGGTTGATTATTTGGAGTGTGCTTGTCTCTATTTTTTTCCCGCTGCCCTTCTTCCTGGTGCGTTACCATTTCCTTACCGTTGAAGTAATCCAAGATATGTTTAGGGCATAAATCAAAAACACATTTTGCAGTCACTGGGTATCATTATTAGGTGAGGTCAGTAAATATCCGACTAGCGAAAAATCTGCATCCCACGCGCATGATATCAATGTTATACAATGGCACGCAACTCGGACTTGCAAAAAAAAGAGTATCCTCTACCCAATACTGGGCAAAAAGGATGACCTAACCAGGGGTCGAACCTGGAATCTCTTGATGTCGAATGAATCGTAGTCAAGCGCCTTGCCATTGGGCCATTAGGCCGATTGTTTTGAATCGATGTAAGACATGGGATTTGATATGTAAATAAACACTACCAAAAAACATGCAGCATCAAGACATATCCAACTCATAGACTTCCAGTCGCAACCCTCTTTATCAGCGTGAAAACTTTTCCTACGGCACTCATCCCACCTCCGCTCCACACAATTGCCCTGTGGAGTCACAAACCTCGTCCAATTCCACTAACCCGATCCGACACTAGCGTTCCCGGACCCCTGTCCATATACCTCCCCATCTCCCAGTCGGTCTGTCAGTCGCGCGCGCCAGCAAACAACCCGGCTACTACCGCATCCCCACGCGCGAAACAGCATCGGAACTTGTTGCTAACTCTCCTCCCTCCCTCCCTCCTTTCCAAAGAAAAACAAAAAACAAAGAGAAAGAGCTTGGAAGAAGACGAAGGGGGTTTTGAAGAGAGAAGAGATGGAAGCAGACGCCGATGGTATCGCAGAGAAAGTGCAGTCGCTGAGTGACTTGGAGCTTGCGGTGCTGATATGTTTGATTGCGGAGCAGCATTGCGTTATTGAGTGTGAGGTGGAGGGGTTGAGGGGGGTGCAGGTGGAACTTGAGTTGGTTAGCGTCCCCCATCTCCACGTCAGTGGAAAGTCGGTGGAAAGGAGAAATGTTTAGGGGTAGTGTTTGAAGCTGACGTTGCAACAGGTAGCAGCCAAGGTGTTCGGACTTGCGTGTGCGGTGCTGGAGTGCGACGAGGGGATGTCGCTGGATGAGTTTGGGAGGGGGATTTTAGTGGATGGCGAGGGGGAAGAGGACGGTGGGCGCATTGCGAATGTGGTTGTTGCGAGGGAGTTGAATCGGGCCAGTGAGCAGGTGCAGGTTCAGGCTTTGGAGGTGAGGTGAGTTCTATGGGTGGGTTGGGTGATTTTGCTGATTTATGATGGGGTTAGCTTATACGGGGAAAACGGAATTTCACGAGGACGGCGGTGCATGCGGCGCCGAAGCCGTTTTTGTTTATTGCATTGAATGCGGCGGATAGTCCGAGGTTGACTATACATTTGGTGAGCTGCGGTTTAGGTCTTTTGGTTTCGGGGGTTTGCTGACGTGGCTGCAGAATGATCAGTTTTTCATTTCGCATAGGCATCAAGTCGAAGATGGGCTGCCGAATCTTGAAGAGTTGCAAGAGAAGGAACGCGTTTTTGATGATGCCTCTTCGATGTCTTCTGTGGTGCGTACGGTTCCGTTCATGGCAGGGAAACATAAACCGCAGAGTGCATTGTTCACATCAGAAGTAAGTCTCTTGGATCGATTACCCAACGATAGCTAACAGTTCCAGGATCTCGCCAATCTATCAAAGCTTACAGCAGGAGTCAAGATTAGCTCAGAAGTGCGGGCATATCTATACAACATTGTCGTCTTTATGAGGCTACATCGTGCAGTTGCAGGAGGAGTGTCGGCGCTAGCTACAAGACACTTTAGCATGTTGGCCCAGTGAGTTGAGCGCTGCTTGAGACGAATGAAGCTGATTGTGCTAGTACACTTGCCCCGCTCCACGGCTTGGATTACATGTCACCGTCCATGGTTGCACTGGCCGCTCGCAAGATATACCCACATCGCATAGTCATCACTGCGCCGGAGCACGAACGCAGCATGCAATGGGGTAGCTCTCTGGAAGCGGTGAAAGCAGTGTTGGAAGGTGTCACCCCCGAGGACGTGATTGAGGAAGTGCTCGAGTCGGTTGAGGTACCACTGTAGCAGTGCCACTAGGCAAGAGCTGAGTAAGAATGTGTGTTGCTCATCTCATCGGGGCGTGGTAGATGTGATTGGCAGCTGGTGGGGTCGCAAGCCCTGCCCCTCGCAAAGTGGGACCGTGGCGGCGCGTTGATTCATGCAGCTGCCTCGACGTCAATTACGCACAGGGTACCAGGGAACAGACTACAAAACGCCGGCAGTACCTCGCAATTTTGGGACTGTTCTGCTACCCTTTTGCGCACTTCCACAATGGCAACAACCTACTTCGACCAACTGAGTCCGGGCATCCAGGGCGCAATCGAGGTACCTGACGCCCACCAGACGTCATAGCCATGCGCTTATACTAACTTCCTTATTGAGAGCGAGCTTGGGGACCAAGATTCCAAGAGCATTGCCAGCGTAAATAGCCATGATGATGCCTTAGAGGTGCGCATTGAGTTATTTCTCCCCTTTTTTCTTTCACTCTCGCTCACAAACACCGGCAGGTGGTTTTCGAAGGCGGATACAACGGCCACCGCCGCAAAGCCTCACTCGCACCCCACCCTTCGGGCAAGATGACGTCGCGTCCGGAAAATGACCGACGAACCACCGCGTGCATTGTTCATTCGCTTCTCGAAAAACATGAGGGCCTCCCCGTCAAGGACCATTCGCAGTCGTATGAGGGCCTGGCCCAGGAGCGGCGTGTCGACAAGGATGCAGACAAGGAGCGCACTCACGAGCGGGAGCACTCGCGGCTATTGACCAAGAAGGAGCTGTCGGACATGGCTTTTGGTATCCGGGAACTTTCCAAGAAGCTATCGCAGATCCGCCTGAAGCTGCACGTCAAGAACATCTTCATAATTGGCAAAGCCCACGACGAGGGTCTGATCAAGCATTCGCATGAGGTCACCGAGTGGTTGCTGACCAAGGACTCGGCATACACGGTGTATGTTTTGGCTTTTTGATACAATGGGCAAGACTGACAGGATGTAGCTATGTGGAACAAACATTGAAGGACAATCACATCTTCAATGCCAAAGACCTTCTCGACAAGGACAGGTTCAAGGGGCGTCTCAAGTTCTGGACAAATGAAATGTGTGCGCAGAGGCCGCAGACCTTTGATATCGTCCTGGCAGTATGACAGCAAAATCGATTCGAACCGTACAGGACTGACACTTATGTAGCTAGGTGGTGACGGCACCGTCTTGTACGCATCATGGCTCTTCCAGCGCATCGTTCCCCCGACGATTGCCTTTTCGCTAGGATCTCTTGGCTTCCTTACTAAATTCGACTTTGAACTCTATCCACAATCGCTTTCCCGAGCTTTCGCAGACGGTATAACAGTTAGCCTACGCCTCCGATTCGAAGCTACTATTATGCGGTCCCAAGAGCGCGATCCCAAGGGACGCGATTTGGTTGAGGAACTTATTGGAGAAGAGTCTGAAGACCATCACACACATTACTCGGATGGAACTCACAACATTTTGAACGAAGTGGTTGTTGATCGAGGGCCAAACCCAACCATGTCGTCCATCGAGTTGTTTGGCGACGATGAGCACTTTACTACTGTCCAAGCTGACGGTATCTGTGTGTCCACTCCCACGGGATCTACTGCGTACAACCTTGCAGCCGGCGGCTCGCTCTGTCATCCAGACAATCCAGTCGTTCTCGTAACTGCCATATGTGCACACACGCTGTCGTTCCGACCAATTATCCTACCTGATACAATTGTACTACGCTGTGGTGTGCCCTACGATGCAAGGACAAGCTCCTGGGCTAGTTTTGATGGAAGAGAAAGAGTCGAACTGAAGCCGGGCGATTACGTAACCATTAGTGCCAGTCGTTTCCCGTTCCCGAGTGTGCTACCGTTGGATAGGAGGCGGACGGACTGGATCGATAGTATATCGAGGACTCTGAACTGGAACAGCAGACAGAAACAGAAGGCGTTCAAGGAGTGGAGCTCGTAGAAATAGATGCTGTTGATAGTGATGAGGACTAGTCACGTTTAGTAAACCAAATAGATGGCATTGTCTGATCAGGGCTATTTCGTGTAATTTCCAGCATTTGCCAGTTATATTCGATCTATGCAAAATCACGCTGAAGCAACTCTTGATATCGTGCTCGTCTCTAATTTATCCGCCCTGTTTTCTTTTTTCACAATACTCGAGAAGAGCTGTTTTACTCAGCGATTGATTTGCTATGTTGAAGAGAAGAAAGTTTAGGTTACGAATACGATTTTTTTTGAATATAACTCATGAATGGGACGGCACGCATTTGTTTTGGAGTGATTCATACGCCCTAGTGAATACACAGGTATGACAATGTATCCCTAGTTCGCATGTGGTTCATGGCATTAGTATTTGGATATCCGATATCGCCGCGTGCAGATGCCTAGGGAAGTCAAATGTCTTTCTTACAAAGTATTACATCCGCCATCTTGGGCTAAACCTATATCACAGCTACAAAATTTAAAATTCTCTGGTATCTCAAGTCACACACACACACACACCCAAAAAAAGCACCCCCTAGCATCCTATACAAACAACGGCCCATAGCCCGTTCCCTCACCCCTCTCAACATGCGCCTCCATCGGCTCCTCAAACTCGACTCCATTCTGCGCTTCGCCCTCGCTAACCGGCAACGGCATGTCCCTCCACATACCCTGTATCCTCCTCGCACTCTCAAGAAACCTATCCTGCAAGCCCGCATAATCCTTTGCTGTAAGCTCCCCGTTTCGCTTTTGAAACACGCCATTCACCATGACATGCTTAATGTCTCCGACGTTGGCATGCAGCATGATTGCGGCAATGGGATCGCTCCAACCGAGAATGCTGGGCGCGCGGCCGTTCCAGACGAGGAGGTCTGCTTTGGCTCCTGCGGTTAAGACGCCGATGTCTGGGCGGCGTAGGGCGAGGCCGCCATTGCGGGTTGCGAGGAGGAAGGCTTGGTTTACGGACATGGGGTTGCGGGCGGGGAGGTGGCGGCGGTTGATTATCTCTGTGTAGAGGGTTTTCCTTGCGCTCTGGAGCCAGAGGCGGGCTTGGGTTAGGATGTCGGAAGAGAAGGTGAAGTGGGTGTCTATGCCGAGCGATGCTTGGTCCATGATGAGGTGGCTGTTTGGGTGGAGGTGGCCGTAGTGCATTTCGGACTCGGGGGTCGTGGAAATGAAGTGGTTGTGCTGGCGGAGGAGCTGGGCGTCTGTGGGGGTGTGGTAGCTGGCGTGTGCGAAGATGATGGGGATGGAGGTGTTGAGGAAATTGAAGGGTTGAAGGACTGAGGGGAAGTTGGGGGCACCGTAGACGCCGCCGTTGGCGTGGGTGGTTAGGACGGATACGTTGTGTTCGCTGATACTTGGGTCAGTACGCGTTGAAAAATCCTTGCTGGAATCCACTTACATTGCGAGATCGAGGATGGATCGCGTTTCGCTCTTGTTGTCGCTACTGAAATTATCGTACGAGATGCCCAAGTTGGTAGGCGAGCCATGGAACCGCTCGTCCCTGGTCAAGTCTCGGAAAAGCTTTGTTTGTCCTTCAATTGTAAAGTTTGGGTAGTTTTCAAAGTAGTATGCGAACTCAGCTCGGACACCGCTTTCAAACGTGGCATTCAGTGCTGCCATGGCATGCTCTGCTGACCATGTGCAGTGCGGATAGTCCACGATAGTTGTGACACCTCCGTTCAGGGCTTCGTACAATCCGACTAGCTGACCAATGTATACATCCTCGGGCGTGAGTATTGTAGCAGCAGGCGAGTCGGTGCCATAGCGTTGGAAGTAAGTCATGAGAGTGGTATTGGACCCTAGGGTCTTGAAAGCCGTCTGCCAGCTGTGGCGATGGGTGTCGACAAAGCCTGTTGATATGATGTCGTTGGTCGCATCAACGACTTCCAAATCGGAAGGTAGGGTGCCATTGTACGATGCTGAAAAAACAGCGGAAATGGTGTCGTTTTCGACAAGGACAGAACCATTACGGATGACATTGAGGTAATTGACAGATTTATCCCAAGTGATTACTGTTCCGCCCTGGAACAGTGTGGCAGCACTGCTGAAGGTAGCATATGTTAGGACATAAAGAGGCCAAAGCCGGGACACAAGGTAACTAGACAGCATTTTGACGGAACTCAATTGCAACTTGATGCATCGAACTCAACTGAACGTCGCATCTTATACTGCATGATATTTTACACATGAGATGCATAACATCATATCACATGTGCTGATCCGACAAAACAAGAGTGCTGCAATAGCTGCACGTGCATGGCCGATGACGTGAAGCCAAGATGAGGTTGACAAAGAATTTTGTATACGGTCCATATTTTCCAAACTCTTCCACCAGCACAAGATGCTTGCAGAAAATTCCAGTGGAGCTTGAAAAACACGAAAGATGGCAGTGGAGAGAGAGGACTTGGCAGGCCATGACGCACAGGCCAAGGTGGTGGAGTAGTTGCTGTGGTCCAAACAAGGCACCAGGTCACGTGGGAAAAGCACGGACTCCTTTCCATCGGGTATATATAGAGGGCATCCCCCTACCTTTGCTCTGCATACTTACCTTCTTGCGATGGCCCAGCTCAAGCTTTGGGTCCATCTGATAGTCTCGTCTGCATTGCACAGCGCGGTATGGGACTGTCACGAGCTTCCTTCGGGAATCTCGGCGGGGCAATTTTTGCTGGTCGGCTTTTGAGCTTTTCATTGATCCTATCGCTTTGGCGGTGCATTGAGGAAGGGCTGCTATCGAAATTGTTTGCACTGCGAAAACCGATTCAACGCACTCGAGGCACACGTGTCCAAGGCCTGTACACGTGTCGATAACCTTCATCGTTTGCGCATCAAACGACCAATTGGACGCGCCGAGTGAGGCGAATGTACGCGATACGACGCATCAGGATGGCGGTACTCTGTAGGTAGACCTTCACGCAAACCAACCACTCCAAGGACCGTACCCAACTGGACAACGATAGAAACATCAGGCGACGTGTTTTCCTTTTTGTTTATTCGCCTATGCCTCTGCTCCGAACCAGACTTCTTTCGCGAGTGAGACCCGGTTCCATAGCTACGATATCAGACCATGAGAAGATGTGCAAAAATCAACGACTATATTCATCGACTTGTCTTGAGAGATCACGGAAACATATAGTGAACAGACATGGACACGTCCAACAACTTGCTGTACTACGCGTGGATATGAGTAAAGTTGTGTTTGAAAGCCTCCGCGGACCCCGCCTGTACGTACATCCACTACGTCACTAATACCCGCGTCAGCACCCCCAGCATGATAGACACATCTAACATCACAATTACAGTGACAGGTGGATGTACCATGACAATCAGCTACTCGGGCAAACAGCACAATTGCATCGTCATCGAACTCCAGTGGAACCAGAATCTGGAAGAGAACCGACCGCTAGTCATCAACAAGACCTACAGCTTATGCGAGGCAGTGTTTTGATATAGCGATTAGATTTGATATGGCTTCTCTGGGATTTCCGAATGTTGCTACTCGTTCACTGCATCTACTTCGGTATTGACGCGGTCCCATGGAGGTCGTAAGAATCCGAGCGGTAGTAGCAAACCCCATCATGGAGACTCTTGGAGCCGACGTGTGGCAAAACACCAGCCATATGCAATCTTCCTGTCGTAAACACCTGCACCAGTCTTCTCCAATCTCATCATCGGTGTCTTGGGCCCAAAATTTCGTATAGGCGTTCCTCAAGTCAGCACGTCATATCCACCATCAGATTCGCGTAGCTCTAGCTCGAGTCCGCGGAACCCCGTACAATGTAGTGAATGACTACATTTCGTCACAGTTAATACTAAACTGGAGATAAGCGAGACGGCCATGCACCGCACTCTCCGATCGGGGTAGGGCTGCCAATCATCAGTCGCATTGAACACTATTGCTTCTGCCTAGATGTACTCTACTAGCGATCGAAAGGAATGTGGATGGAAAGCAACTTCATGACGCGTTGAGCTCCAGTTGTAGACAAGATGGCGCACAAGAAGCCGCTCATTGGAACGTCATCTAGCCATCTATACGTACATAAATCTTCATCTTAAAGGTTTCCTGGAGACCATTCACCACCATAAATACCCATTCAAGATGCTCTTCACTCCTCAAATCCGTACCATCTCACGACCTTTGATCCGACAGATACCCGTCTTCAAACAAACTTCCATCAGAATGTCTTCCACCAACCAGCACGGCCAGGGCGCTTCCCACGCTACCGGACAAAGCGCTGTCCCCGGCAAGATCCAAGAGGCTGCCCCCAAGGGCCTTGAGGAGTCCCTCCCCGAGAGCGTAAGTTTTGACATCTGCGTGGCTTTTTAACTTGGGGCTCTTCTAACATGTTCACCCTAGGTCCATCCCACCGGCAGCAACCCAAACAGCCAGTCCACAAGCAAGACGCACGCCCTCAACGACGGCGAAGACTCCATCGTCCCCAAGAAGGTCCAGGAAATCGTTCCTGAGTCTGTCGAGAAGGGTGAGTATCCAAGACTATGTTCAGAATGAAAAGTTGCTAACTTTAACAAAAGCCCTCCCCAACGCCATTCACAACACTGGCAACAAGTAAATACTTTAATACCGGTCTGGATCCAAGAAGGGCGAATGAACGCGTTAATGCGATGAGCTTGTAATGCCACTACCATATGGCATCTGTATATAGCCTGAATGAGTAAAGAATTTTGCATAAAATAAGTTGCGCTACTATGGTGATGTGTAGTGTGAAGTGTAATTTGCGCATTCCGCGTCACAGATTTGAGCCCGAAAACACAGTCGTATAAGCAGAGATTGATTTTGTCTACTAGGCAGGATATGGCTCGAGTATTGAAAGGTTATGGATCTGAGTTCGACGGAATACCTGGATTAAAACAGCCACTATTAGAATAAAGCTACCTTTTGCGAGAAGCCGCATTCACCACGAAGTACGTAATTAAAAAGAAATTATTTCATCTATAAAAGTTATAGAGTTTAACGTATAGATCTATATGTTTTAGGAAATGATTGCATGATACTATAACACTAGTATACAGTTACATCTTATTGATGCTTCGCTGTTTTGGTGGGTGTACTTTGCCTCTGTGTACTTCGTCGAACTAAGAGCGTGGGCGTACCTGACGCTAGCGCAGAGCCGCGGCCAAGGTGACGTTTGTTGCCCCGCCACCCCTCCACGTCTTCAACTGTTTTTCTAACCGCCATCACCATCGCCACGTCGCGACACCCGTGACACTATTCACACCAAGATAATCCAACATGGCGTCTGCTACCGCTGCCGATATTCAGGGACCTTCTCACCCGAACCCAGAAGGGCTCAACACGTCCGCAAGCACGCAATTCCCTCCCATCAATATCGGCACACGCAACTCGGTTCTTGCCCAAATCCAAGCGCGTGCGGTTGAAAGAAGCCTAAAGGAAGCAAATCCCCAGAGGACCTACAATATATGCCCTGTAGTGGTTCAAGGTGACAGGGACAAGATCACGCCTTTGCAACAGCTGAGCCAAGGTGAAAATGCAAAAAGTTTGTGGACCGGAGAGTTGGAGAGCATGTTGGAGTCGGGCGATCTGGACATAATTGTACACTGTCTAAAGGGTATATGGGCCCATATCTAGGATTAATCTAGAGTTGAGCTGACGGGACCTAAATAGACATGCCTACTCAGCTACCGGAACACCTCGAACTCGGCGCCATTCTCGAACGTGAAGATCCTCGCGATGCCCTGATTATCTCCCCCCGCCTACCCAAAGAAACCACACTTGCCACACTGCCTCAAGGCGCCACCATCGGAACGTCGTCTGTACGACGAGCTGCGACACTACGAATGCTATACCCACACTTGAAATTTGCCGATTTGAGAGGAAACGTTGGTACAAGGTTAGGTAAGCTCGACGCCGAAGATTCGCCGTACTCAGCTATCATCTTAGCTGCTGCTGGTTTGAAACGCATGGGTCTTGACAACCGCATCACACAATATCTGAGTGGCAGCAATGGCGGTATGCTGCATGCCGTCGGTCAGGGTGCTTTGGGCATTGAAATCAGAAAAAATGACAAGGCCATGAAGGAGCTTTTGAGCACTATCCGATGCGAACGGACAACGAGAGCGTGCTCAGCTGAGCGGACACTATTGAGGACCCTAGAAGGGGGCTGCAGCGTACCCATTGGTGTTGAGACATCATGGAGAGGAGGAAAAGGCTTGGCCGTTGGTACACAGCCAGCAAAAGACTATGACAAACATGGAAATGCCATGGAAGAGGAGGAGCCAAATATTGATGAGCAAGAGCTGGTGTTGAAGGCTTTGGTGGTCAGCGTCGATGGCAAAGAATCCGTCACATCCGAGGCCGCCCGAAAAGTTCGCAATGTGGAAGAGGCCGAAGAAATGGGAAGGGAAGTTGCCAAGGCGCTTATCGAAAAGGGTGCGGATAAAATCTTGCAAAAGATCAGTGTAGAGAAGCAGTGGGCAGCCAAGAAGCAGCTTGAAGAATTGAAGGCAAAGTCTGCCAGCTCTTAGATTTCGACTTGGTTGATCAGGAATTGAAGAGAATATTCACAGGATATTGACAGTGCATACGACCAATGAATGATGCTGGCCACGAAGTTCCCAAACAATACAATACTTGAATCTTAGATTATGCAAACACCATGACTGCATACTGAGAGACCTTATATATATTGGAGCCCCTGATAGCTTCAGAATACGGAAGGCAGAAACTATACAGTACTGCGAGTCCAACAAGTTATAGTATCAATCTCAACAAAAGAGACAATTTACCTAATCACCAACTCAACCCCCCCTTTCCCCAGCGCAAAAAAAAGGATTCAAAATGTGTGAACGGCACTGGACCCAATACCTCCATTGCAACCACGAACACCTACCCATGAGACACACCTATCGCTGTCGCCGCGTCGATGCCGATGCGCGCCCAGAGTCGTGTCCCGTGTTCAAGAAAGTAAGGAGGAAGATCAAGTTTCCAGACATGTGTGATGATTGTAGGAATGCAGGAATTGAGGCGGATGAGGGGTATAAGGCTGGGAGGTATGGGTAGGAGGGGGGAGGGGGACGGGGGATGAGATGTGGGATAGTATATGAGACGAGAAGTATGTAAAATTAAAGATTTTTATCCGTAACACACAGAAATAAGAAAGAGATTTAGTTTCCAGGCAGACTGAACTGAGTTGATGAAAAGTTCATAATTTGCCAACCATGTATCAAACTGTGTAGGTGTTGATATTATGAGAGGCGCAGAAGGGTAGAGTCTTTGATATACATACCTTGTTTCGGCAGAACGGTGCTGCTTTCCAGGTTCATTGTCACCATCTGGAACTATTTCTTCAAAATGATTTCGGTTAAATAGGCTCTGATGGATGCCATGTAGCACTGTGGGGAGATTCTATTGTGTACATTGCCAATGCAGGCTATGTTGACTGCACCGCTAACTCAGGTGGGAAAATTAAGGAAGTCACTTATCTCGATTCAGCAGGAGTAGAAACGCAGAAAAGATCACAGTGGTTGGGCACTGATATCCTTATTCCTGGCGGATACCGGTGGTGGTGTGCCATCATTTTGGGTGAGTGTGGTGAAGGGGTGTGTTACCAGGCTTGAGTAAGGGTGTACAGCCATGACCGTCGAGTTGGATTAGGTGGCCTGGCAACCTGGTACTGTGCGGTTGCATTTTGGATCGACGTACCCTAGCTCGCCGCCTTCTGCGGACATAGCGGGTGCACTGGGCAGCGGCCTGAAGTTCCGCGCAAGCCTCCTCCATAGGTTGCTTGATCGATGACGGGACATCCCGAATCCGTGTTCGTTCTTTTTCAAAGACACGAGATAGTTTCTTTTGTTGGTCTCGTGCTGTTATGCAGTTGTGCATCGTCGCGTTGAGCAAGGTTGCACTCTGGACAACATTGACTAGTTGTATCTTCTGCAAATTGGTAATGACTGACTTGTTCATAGATATCTTTGTGGACACATGACCGCTTCTACGAAAAGCTATATCTGAGTACGTGTTACCTATTGAGGTGGAATAGCAGGCATGGCCCGTGAGCTATCATTTGTTTTTGTAGGCGTCCTGGTGCTACGATCAACCTCCTCTGATCAACAGTCTTTGCGCCGACAAAACTGCAATTAGGCTACGTATTGTAATTTATTAGTCATATGCTATAATGCATAGGCTATACAGCATAAAATGCCGCGGATAACCGGCAACAGGTAAGAAGTTTATTTTTGAAGACGTAGTATGGACAGTTCCTTGGAATATCATTGTCTTGACTAAGAATGAAGTACCAAAGCTTTTGATAAAATCTACGTATATTTCTTCACACAAGATGATAACCGACTTGAATTAGCGAAATGTCTTGGAATGTTGCCAGGTTGGAGTTTTGTAGGCTGCACGATACGGTGCCGAGCCATAAATAATATTAGGAAAACCAGTTAGTACCTGCTTTGACCAACCGAAGATGATACAAATAATCCCTTCTTCTCGATGTGAAGCTATGCCCCCTGATAGATTTCTGGATATAGGAAAATAGTCTCTTCATCCCTTAGTTGAGCAATAATACGGACCCAAGGGCTATGACAGCGCTATGGCCATAGCTTGACCTTTTCTTATTATGTTGTGTAACCTGATCGGGGCTCTTGCTTCGAAAAATGAAACTACTTGAATCTTGCCAGTATCGGGTGCAGGTGCCGAAAAGTAGATCAGTGCCTCGTCCCCCTTGCTCACAAGCTTTATGTCAGCGAGAGAAAGTAGAATCGTAGTGAATCATTGGACCCACTGCAATCGTTTTATGGCTAACAGTAAGGATGAGTAGTACCACGCTGAATGCTAAAAACCTCATCTGCCCACTATTATGGTATTCACATCAGGGATATACTGTCTGGATACGCTGATTCGCTGCGTAAAGTATAGTGGATTGAAAGAAAGAATCGCAGTTGATAGTGATTATCGGCGAGCATAGCACGCTAGTGTAAAGCGTGTGCCATGACGACGCTGCATAACAAATACCACTGTGGATTGAGACAGACGGCAAAAGCCGTGTATTATATTCTGGGAGCAAATACAAGAAACTTCTGAATTGAAATTTCATGTATACGAGATCGGGCTAGAAAATATCTGACTACAGCAATAGACCATGATTCCCGAAGAGAAAATTTTGGACATGATGCACGGAGAACAGAATCTGATCTTCCTCCACTTATCCCAAACGAGGTTTACCGTACAACCACTACTATTCCGGAAACTACCGCAAAGCGCTGTTTTAATACCACCACGGGCCAAACTCAGTGTGGTTCATGTTTACTTTGTCCATTAGTCTACCGAATTTTCTGGGTCTAGTGCTTAGTCGAGTGTATCTTGGCAATGTCCGCCCCCCAATCTTTGTACTGCTCCAATAGCTTAGAATCTTCATGATGTTCTGATGAGTCCCTATACTCCACCTGCGCTTGCATTGAGAGCGAAGTGATAACCGCGAATCGTAATAAATCCTTTTCTGTAGTACCAGGTGTTGCGTGTATCCGGTCTGCTCAGCTCCACTCCATCCTTCGAATCGACCTCATCAAAGGCTCAAAATACTATCGACCTTTTCATTAAAAGTGCTCAATCAGCCATCTGAATCAGGGACATCTTTTGTCGAAAAAGACAGTATCAATGACGATGTTCCCAGAGATCTCCAAGAATGATGCTGACGTGTGTACTGACCATTTGCTAAGATCTTGGAGCATCTGATCGACGGCACCCATCTCCCTTCGTTTTTCTTCCGTACTTTTGAGTAACTTGTGTTCAGAGATCATGGGGTCGCAACAGTCATCAGCCAGCGCATGATGATCCATCAAACTACTCGAGATAATCTACAGTACAATCGCCTGGAGAGGTTGTATGACATCGGGAAAATGGAAATATCCAGCCCTAAGAAGCTCTTTCAGGTTTGTATCCTTACACTATCTCGATCATCTACAGATCTCGATGATAATCTAGCGCATCCACCGGCACTTCACACGTAGAGGAGGGTATCGTGTCTCCTCTATGATCGAAAGAAAAGAAAGAGAGACAAATACCTAAACCTATAAACTCTCCCGGTTAAGTGCTCCCAGAATGTCGAAACAACCCACACTTCCAACCAAAATCTTGAAGCCAGATCAATCCTCGCAGCAATGGCTGCCCTCCTCCAATTCCACGCCATCCGCGCGAAAACAAAAGAACAACTCCGAACCCTCAACCTAACCTCCACCCCTCCACCCATCAAACCCCGCCTAAGCCCCTACGAACCCCCCTTCGAACGCGACCCAAAAGTCTTCCCGCAAGATGAAGAATCCCACGACCCAGACACCAGCACCTCCCCTTACACAAACCTCCCAGGCATCTCCCTTCAACCCACCCAAACCGGATCATCCTTCTACCTCGTGTCCTGGGACTCCACCTCCGACCCCACAAACCCACGCAACTGGTCCCTTTCCAAACGCCTAAAGATTCTTTTCTTGCTCGACCTCATCGCCGCAATCGTAACAACAGCAAGTTCCATCGAAGCCCCCGTCGCTCCCCAAAGCGCCGCTTTCTTCGGCGCTTCAGAATCCGTACACGCGTTTTGTAGCACGGGAATTTATCTCATGGGGTTCGGTCTCGGCTCGCTGGTCGCGGCGCCGGCGTCCGAGATACTGGGGCGGTACAAGGTGTATCTGTACTCACTGGTCACATGCGAGTGCTGGCTCATCGGTGCGGCGCTTGCGCCGAATCTTGCTTCGTTGGCGATATTCCGGTTCTTGGCTGGTTGTTTTGCGTCTGCGCCGATGACCGTGGCGGGGGGGAGTATGAGTGATTTGTGGTCTACGCGGGAAATGACGTGGACGTTTCCTTTGTTTGGGGCTATTTGTTTTGGGGGCCCGGTGCTGGGGCCTTTGATTGCGAGTTATATTGGGGAGAGCGAGGTGGTGAGTTGGCGGTGGGCCGAGTGGATGATTGTGGTTTTAACGGGGATTTGTATAGTGGTTGTTGCGGTGGCGATGGAGGAGACGTATCCGCCGCAGCTGCTGAAGTTGAAGGCGAAGCAGTTGAGGAAGTTGACGGGGGAGAAAAGGTTTAAGACGGCGAAGGAGGATGAGGATGAGGGGCTAGGAAGCAAGCTCAAGAAGAACTTTACACGGCCGTTTCGTCTGGCGCTCGAGCCGATTGTCGTCTTGCTCACGTTCTACAACACGCTCGTGTATGTGGTGTTGTTCACATTCCTCGTGGGTTACCCATACACATTCCAAAAGACTTACGGAATGAGTCAGGGGCTCAAGAACTTGTGCTTCCTTGGTTTATTGGTCGGCATCCTGCTATCGGCAGCTCTCATTCCCTTTATTTGGACAAGAACAGAGCGGCTATGCTGCGAGAAAGGAGATGACGGGTCGGGGAAATCGATTCCCCAGGAGTCGCGACTGATGTTTGCGATGTTTGGGGCGCCATGCTTACCGATCGGGCTCTTCTGGATGGGCTGGACAAGCTATGTAAGAGTAGAGCTAGATGAACTTCTTTATCGGTTTATTGACGTAAAGCAGGAAAGTATATCAGTTTGGTCACCACTTGTCGCCTCGGTCGTCATCGGTTTCGGTACGGTATGCATATTTATGAGTTCTTACCTGTACATCATCGACAGTTACCAGATGTACGCTGCATCTGCACTGAGTTTTCAAACTACGGTACGCTATGTCATAGCCAGTGTCATGTAAGTTCCCAGTTCTGGATGTTCCCCGGGGGCTCTTCATGAGACTGACTAAAAGTAGGACAATTGGTGGTACAACAATGTACAGGGATATTGGAACGCACTGGACGCTGACTGTGCTTGGGTGTATCGCCATAATTGTTACTCCTGTTCCATATGTCCTATACCGCTACGGTCCAATCATTCGCGGGAAGAGTCAATTTGCTGTTAGATAGTTGCGACACCAAGTATCAGTAAACACGAAAGTAGTGCTACATGTTAGATCAAACAAATTTCATAGTTGGCTGTCAGTCTTCCATTCGTGACATTGATGATTGCAGAGGGGTGGACGCTGGGCCGAAGCAATATCTGAAGATCGCAATTACAGCAACAACAGTAACATTCTAGATTGAATCATCCATGAAGGCCGCTGAAAGAAGGTGCAAGAAATCAGGAAAAGTACTCCTGATTATAGTAATGTGTATGTAGAAATTTTGTTGATCTCAGGATACAACAGACTATGTTACAACTAGAAATGACCGTGGGTATCGTAAGGAGAGCGAATGCGCTTGAAAAACGACATAGAAAAGGCTCCTGAATGTCTCTGATAAAAAACTTATTGCTGTGGTTTGTATACCATGCTGCCACTCCTTGTATAAACATCAGTGCTTGCTGGTCCAGCCCACCGCCGGCTCGCTTCTTCCCTACCCTTTACTTCCCTCTCATTTTGTACAACAACGCAGCAGCAACAGCAACATCCTCTTAGCAAATCGCTGCCAAGACTACCCTTGATCTTGTATGCTCTTCGGATGCGAGTCCGCTGTAGCATTGGAAACAGCCACCATAAACCGCACGACAGACCCATTACGATGCAGTGTCCATTAGTGGTGCTGTGACCCAACATATCTGTCGGATCGTTCTTTGCAGATTTTTGAGAGAGGCGATACGAGGTTCTTCCGTAGACGATGCAGGGGCAGAAAAGACCGGTAAAGCATGTCGCCGGTTCTGGACTGCATGCGCAAAGGCCGTTTGACCATTCGTGAGAGCTTTCAGACTCCATATTTGGATGCGAAATCTGACCCGGTTGATGTGCAGCAAAGTCCAGGCCGTTGGGGCCGTGGGCAGCATCCGGAGAGAAGACGGCATGCATATTGTTGGTTTGGCTTGTTACGAAGCCATGAGGCGAATATGGCTCGTGCGCATATGATGCTTGATTTGTAGGCGAAGTAGCAACCTGCCGTGATTGCTCTTTGTGCATGGAGTTGGCTGAAATGGGGGTTATGGGTGCTTTTTGTGGTAGCGGTGACGTCTGATGGGTTCCTGATGGTGGGGTAGGTGGAATGGTAGGCATAGTGTGCACACGTACGTTTGTGTTGATGGGCGATAGGTTGCTTAGTTGCCGTGCGTGTCTGCTCTGCTGTGTATTTGCCTGTGGGGCTTCATGGACAGGTTGCGGATGTGGTATTGGCGATACAGGAGAGTATTGTTGAGTTTGTGGATATGAAGAATGCTGAGGCGACACAGGCGACACAGGAGGCCGTACTTGATGCACGTGAGAGGGCTGCATGTCAGCCGCACGAGATTGGGGCGGAACAACCGGAATTTGCGCATCGAGCATCGACTGAGGGCGCGGGTCGATTGGTGTGTACCCCACCGGTGACGTCGGAAGAGATATGGGCATAGAATGTGGCATTGGAGGGTCGCTTGGAGAGGATGTGTACACGAATGCGCGCATCTCTGCCGGTGTCTGGGCGTAAGAGAAATGACGTGACGCATCTGTGTCGACACGTTGCTGGGGCTCTTGCTGGTGTTGTTGCGGTAGCGGTTGCGGCTGATGATGCTGATGTTGATGCTGATATTGCTGCTGCTGCTGCTGCTGTTGCGGCGGTTGCTGATACTGCTGATACTGCTGTTGTGCTTGGTACTGCTGCGTCGCAAGCTGCTGAGGCTGATGTTGTGGAGCTTGCTGCTGTCGCTCTTGATAGGGTGGAACCTCGTCGTCCAAGGGCTGCTGCCATGAGAAGCGGGTGTGCTGTCGTGAAGTCATCTGAGGCTGAGCTTCCTCACCCCGTCCGTAATTCCTGGGGTCCATGTTGTGCAGACAAGCTAAAACGAGCCGCTTCTAAACCTGGTGGAATGGTAGGTGAACGGGTAATGAGGTATGTCGATGTTGTATCTCAAGATGCCATTGATTTCAGGTGAAGTGAGCAGATAGGACTTATGGGATAGCTGGCTATAAACTCTTAGAGCGTGGGATGTGGAACATGATCAAGCTGGGGGCAAGGAGGCCTGATATTGGGGCCAGGGGTCTGTACATCGAGTCCAGAGCTGCACAAGTACCAGCCCGAGCAAAAGGCCGCCCTGAAATGGAGCTGCCTCGCGCTCTGGTTGGTTCTTGGCCGTGCCTCATGTCGTAGGCGGGTGGCATTGCGAAATCAGATTCGCAGAGCTCCCGCCGTAAGATGGACCTCTTTTTAGACGTGCAGTTGAGGCGCAGACGTGGCCAATTGGAGATAGAGTTGACGTGTGACAAGGTTGTGGAGCGAGATGGTCGGCGCTTGCGGGTGTCTCGGCTCCACTACGCCCGGCCAATCAGCGATTCGCCTCGTCCACCTCGCGCCTTTGCGGACCGCTGTGGGGTGGCTCTGACCCAGGCACCTTGACGCAACTGGAGAGCGTTGTTGGCATTATCCCGGGCCAAACAAACTCACGCACAGCCTCAGTGGCGGCGATAAGTACATGTTTGAGTCAGTCTTCATCCTCTCAACACGGTTATTTGAGGCCTAAAACTGCCGCTCACAACGACCCGCTTCACTTAGATACGTACACCTTCACTGCATGTCTGCACTGACACGAGTCATTTCGCGGAAAGATGCCGAGCAAGCTTCCTTTTCATCTGCTCCTCGGTCGGTACATGTTTGGAAAGACAAGAGTAAGTATTGATGTAATTGGTTGATTTAATAACACACATTATACAAGGGAGACGACATGGACGGTCGCCTCGAAGCTTCTCAGGCAATCCAGATGCAGAGGATATGAAGATGCATCATGCTTATGCGTCCTTGTCGACCTTGGTGTTACCACGCTCCTCCTTGTTTTCCGCGCCAGGACGATCGGTAGAGACGGTTCCTTGGAGCTTAGCGGTTTCAGCAACGCCCTCACCCTTCTTGCTCTTCTCAGGGTGCTCGGAAATGTGCGAAGTGTGTTCGGTGTTGTCGTTGGACAAGCCTTTTTGCTTGCCAGAGGTCTCGTTGGTGCTCTTGGTCTCCTCTTTACGGGGGTCGGCCTATACGCGTTAGCATAGACAGTCTCTTTTCGGTCTTGGGTCTACCAACCTTGTCAGACTCATCGGGAGACTGCTTGTCCTTTTCCTCACTGTTCTCCTTGGTGGGCTTGGAAGGGTCCTGGTGCTCGCTCTTTGGCTTTTCCTCAGACTTATCCTTGGACTCCTTCTTGGACTCCTTCTTAGGCTCTTCCTTGGGCTCCTCCTTGGGCTTCTCGTCTGCCTTCTTTACGGTCGAATCGGTACCATGCTTGGGGGCATCTCCTTCGCCGTGGGGTTCACCGAGAGGGTGGTGTTCGGCGCCGTGGTCTGTATCTTGGTTGATGACAATGTATAGACCGACAGCAGTGCCGATGACAGCTGCGCCTATCCTTGAGGATTGTGTTAGCATGTGCTCGGCGAGGAAAGAAGTGCTCAAGAGGTATGTGTATGTCCTCCTTGCCAAGAGCTGTGCCGGCTCTTCGGACACAACAAAAAGGAACCCATCGCAGTTGAGCTTGCTCCATCGAGACTGTGTCTACAACTGATGTACATTCGTCTGGATAATAATAGCAAGAGATTTTCGACATACCATGGGGCGTCACTGCTCTTGGTCTCACCATGTGAGCCATGGCCGCTGGCGTAGGTTCTGCGCTGCACAGCTCGTTGCCATGGCTGGAGCTCGGCGGCGCGGATATACCTGGTCGGGCGCGCAATTCGTGCAAAAGAGGAAGCGCGGGATGCGGAAGTTCTTAAGAAGGACATGATGAAGCTTAGGCAGGCTAATTAAAGCTCGCGACGGGCAATTGATAAGAGAATCGCAGTTATGATGCGCGTAGAGTAAAGATCAGGTCATGAAGGCGAGAATTAATGGGTACGTCACTCGAGTGCGTCTAGCCCTACCGGCTCTAGTTGGTCACGTGCATGTGCGGCAGAGCTTACCAGGCCGGACATTGCGCCATCGCGACAGGTGACTTCGTTTTGTAAAGAAACACGGGGCTCGAGCTGACTAGTTGTCGCGTAAATCGTTTTTTGTAGCACTGTCATGTTCACAGTTGCGAGGGATGCATTCGTCTGATACTCGTTCCGCCGTGTCTTGACTACGATGGACACGACGGCCGTGCGCATGGTTCGAGCTCTCGAAAGCAACGCGCAGGCAACGACAGCCCATTCACTTCGATAGAAGCTTCTTTTGTCCGTAGCGGCCAGTGGTGCCTTCACCACCTAACAATTCCACCACCAAACTCCCAGCTCCTCGCTCTCAGTTTCTTTCCTTCGTTCCTGTTCTCCTTCTGTCTGTCCGCATCAGCTTATAACCCCAACCCCAACCCCACTATAGCTGCCCCGCCTGCCAGTGACAACAGTAGACCTCACAACACCACACACCATGGCGCCCTCGTCGGTTCCGCCCAACCCGACCGCACACAATGTTGCCCAATTGTTGCCGCGATTTGTCGACGATGACCCCGACTTCCGCTTCATGGCCCTGAGTGACCTGCACGACATTCTCGTTGTCGCCCACCCTGGCCTCCTCCTTCACGATGACGTTGTTGCAGCAAAGACTGTCGAAGGCCTGCTCACGACGCTTGTAGATACCAATGGCGAGGTTCAGAACCAGGCTGTCAAGTGTCTTGGCCCGTTTGTAAACAAGATCAGCGACAAGACGTTGCCAGTTATGATTGACAAGCTCTCGACGCTCCCCACAGGCAATACAGTCGACCAGTCAATACCCGCTCTTGCTCTTCGCGAAGTCGTCGTCTCCCTCCCGCGCCCTGTCCACGGTGCTGCGCGCAGCAAAGCCGTCGTGAACGCATACAGTGCCATCAGCAGGGTACTCATTCCCCGTCTGATTGGATACAATGTTATACCCCCGGCACAACAGGGCCTCACGCAACCGCCCAAGGGTATGTTGCAAGAGGATTTGGACAAGGGAACAGACAGCAATACCATCGATGTGCTGACCGAAGTCGCCCGGTGCTTTGGCTCCATGTTGCAGGATGTTGAGATCCAGGCGCTGCAGCAGATCACATTCGCTATTCTTGAGAATGACAGGGCGAGCTCCATGATGAAGAAGAAGTCGGTTACTGCTATCTCCACACTGGCTGGCTACTTTTCCGATTCATTGTTGAGTGGTTTCCTATCCAAGATGATTGAGCTTCTACGTGACCCGCATCTTACTCGCAGCAAACGAAAGCTGTATATTACTATACTAGGATCTATGGCGCGTTCCATCCCACGGAAATTTGGTCCGTATCTCAAGACTCTAGCGCCTTTCGTCCTAAGCGCATTGAGCACCGAGGAACAAGCCGAAGAGATGGACGTATCCGATGATGAGGGAGAGCGCGACCCAGAAATCGACGAGGTTCTTGAGGCTGCCCTCATTGCGCTGGACGGCTTCCTTGCTTCCTGCTCGAACGACATGCGTGCATACACCGAAGAGACAATTGAAGCCGCGACACGATACCTAAAGTACGACCCAAACCTGGCGCAAGATGACGAAGATGACGATGATATGCCAAGTGACGAAGAAGACGCATTGGAGGGCGAGGACTTTGAAGAGGAGATTGGCTACGACGACGATGATGATGCCAGTTGGAAGGTCCGTAGGTGTGCAGCCAAGGTTCTGTACACACTCATTTCGACACGGAGCAACGGTGATCTTCTTGAAGATGGGACTCTCTACAGTCGAGTTGCACCAGCACTCATCGCACGGTTCAAGGAACGTGAAGAAAATGTCCGCTTGGAGGTTCTGGCGACACTATCCAACTTGGTGAGGAAGTCGGGCGATGGTCCCTCGCCAGTCAAGTTTGCTGATGAGCCAACTCATGGCGGTATGATGTTACCACCAAGCAAGAAGCGCCGTCGTGGTGGTAGTGATGCAAGCATGTTCGATCTTCAGGAGAGCTCTTCCTTATCCATGGGTTATTCTTCACCTGCACCAGCTGGAACTCCTCCAGTGGGTCCTCGGGCTAGCTTAGCAAAACTCAGTCCAGACATCGTCAAGGGTGTTGCGCAACTACTCAAGCAGACGTCGTGTCCACCCACTACTAAGCAAGCATCCATTTCATTGATCAAAGACATCGTCATCACTCAGCGTGGCGGTCTTGACGGCTATCTTAATCAGCTCATCAGCCCTGTTGTAGAAGCTGCAAAGACTACTGGAGGATCATCAAGCAGTGCTTCGGCAACAGCCAACAGTTTACGAACTCAAGCTTTGCAGCTGATAGGAGCCATAGCAGATACCCACCCATCCCAGTCTATCCAGCCGTATTTGGAACCCATTGTTGACGCACTTCTTCGTGGCGTCAAGGAGAAGTATAGCAAGCTATCTATTGAGGCTCTTGCAGCAACCGAACAGGCCATCAAGTCGCTCACACCACCTCGATCCGCTGCGTCAGGCACGGAAAACCGTCAATATCTGGAATCCCTGTATGAAGCGCTGGTCAGTAGGATATCAGCAAACGATGCAGATGTTGAAGTGCGCCGGAGTGCCATCCATGTCCTTGGACTACTTCTGGGTCGAAGCTCAGGAACCGAGGGTTTGCTTGCCTCGGATAAGCGAACAGCTGGACTAGAGCTTTTGGTTGAGCGTCTGAAGAATGAGCTTACTCGTCTTGCTTCGGTTCGCGCAATTGACTCAATCGCTGCCCATACCAAGGCGAAGGATGAACTGTCAGCCAAGTGGGTACAGAGCGTCGCAATGGAACTTGGTGCACAATTGCGAAAAGCTAGCCGTGCTTTACGTGGCGCAAGCTTGAGCGCACTTCGCACCCTCGCACTGAACCCACAATCGCGGAGTCAACTCGATAACCAGACTAGGATGCAGGTAGTCGATATGCTGTTGCCATTACTCAACGCAAACGACCTTCACCTCCTAGGTCCTGCTCTTGTCATTCTCGCTACCTTCGTTAAGGACGATGCACAAGCTATCATGACACCAAGTCTTACTGCCGCGCTATGTCAGGTTGCTCAAGGTTCCATAAGCGGAATGCCACTCGATGCGTTACTCAAGCTAGTCCGTGCCATTGGTGAGCAGCG